CTGTGTATCGGTGTTAGCGTTTAAGAACCATGGCCACTTTCTCGAAGAGAGACCCTGACATATTTGTGCTCTGGAGAGTGCTGACACGCTGAGCGTCATTCTAAAACCACGCTTGACATTAGCACCATTCTGCTTTGCCTCCGCGTCACGAGTAATCTTTGCCGCAAGCGCGGCGATTTCAGCAAGAGCATCCTCGCTGATATCCTTGTTGAGCAGGTTGGCTGGGAAGGCAAAAGTTGCCCAAAGAGAACAGCGCCGCGCTGCAAAGCACAGAAACCTTCATGGTTGCGAAATTCGACAAAGTAAGGAATGTGGTTATGAGACGATCTTGAAAAGTGAATCGAAGCTGGGTTAAAGAGTGCAACTGTACAGACCCTGAAAGCCTGAGCCCTGACGAAGGATATATACTCATGTTAGCCTATCATTCGGGGCAAGTGAACCTTATTCGCACACGTAGAACGACTGACTCTCCTTCCAAAAGCTTCCAACAAAACAAGTCGATCAATTCCCCAGACTTGGTGTCAGTGCAGCCTGAAAAGTCGCCGTACCTGCTCACACTCACAAGTGTGGCATGAAGATCGACACTGGAAACGACTCAGAACGTCTTCCTTGATTGGAAGGGAGATATGGGATCTGCGGCGGAAGATCAGGTCCACGGCCCACACCCGAACCTAAATTTTTAGCGCTGGAACTAGCTGAGCGATATTCAGCAAGGTTCAGTTGGTCCCTGAAGCCAGCGACTCATGCCGGAGATAACTGCGAACGCTTTGTAGATCTTGGATTTGCAACACTGGGGTTGGGTTGTGGCACAAGGATCGAGTTCCTGGTAGGGCCGATCCTTGCCGGGAGGCAAAATCGTTCTCGCTCTCACTGCCGCGAACCCATGTCACATGGGCAGGACATACGCTCAGTCTCGGCAGTGCGATGATTCCAGCAAACAAGCGCTCTTTGTTAACCCTGTGATCCGAGACGCATTGCAAGATGCATTGCGTGTGATGTTAAAGTTCAAGATTGCCGCGGGGCTGCACAGTGATCCTAAACTTTACCACAAACTTCGACTCGAGCGGGGAGATACCGAGATCTGGGTTGTTTCGTCCAGGAAGTGTCGCTTCACGTGGCGGTGTACGCTGGTTGAGATCGCTGTCAGGCTTACTTCACTTCTTCCCTCGTATCACCATCATGAAGATTGACCGCGGAGAGCCGGAGCAACATCCCGACTGTCCGGTTGAGTTGCAACCATCACGCTGAGTAGGAATGATATGGTTTGAAAGATTCATCTCGTCATTATTCCAGCCATCTGAGATACGCCAGTCGATCATGATGTACTGATACCTGAAGCTATCATTACGTTCATGAACTACACTGCCCCGGTCTCACGTCCGAGGGGCCATTGAGAAACATGTTGCTCTGTCGGGTTCATTGACTCTGGAGTTGCGGTTGGGACGCGCCTGATACTTTCACTGGCCGTCAAATCATCCAGTTCCAAGTAGCCTTTCGACGTGCTTCGGTCGGTCTCCACCAGAGACTCTTTGCTGATATTCGTAAACCCTGTCAAATTTGTGTCCGTTCGTCTCTTACTCATCCGCCGCTTGCTGACGTCGGCAAATGTGCTTGCGGTATTTTCTGGGTTGATTCGCGAATTTCCGCTGCGACCTGACGAGTTGTTATAGCTCTCAATCACAGAGGTGACTGCTTGCTTCAGGAAAACACGGAGCACTGGAATCGAAGTGGCGACAATAGTCATAGCTGTTTCTGCGAACGACCAAAGTACCGTGTTGTACGCATCGTCTATCTATGTTAATGGCAGTAACCAAATATTCCGCGCCCGACTTACAAGATAAATCCTGTTTTGTCAATAATTCAACGTATCTAGCTCTGACAATCGCTGTAGCTCCGGCTCTTTGACTGTGTTAGCCAAACACTGTAGGCGAAGTTTGAGTCAACTTACAGTATTCCCAAACTCATAGCCACACAAACTCCTATCTTTTCCGCAAGTTGCATCTGAAGTTTCCATAAGACATGCCAAGGCAATAGTGCGAGAGATATGTCCATTATTGCAGACCACACTGCATTCAGATTAGCCCTGTGTCGTGGTGATTCTTCTTAACACCTTGTACTTACCAGCTTGAAACCGCCCGTATACTACGGAAGGGTGCTTGTCGATGCATTTCCCTGGGAGAATGTCTGCAAACGTCTTCGCAAGAGGTTTGCATTGCACCCAAGGAATTACTGCAACTGGAACAGCAAATATTGCCAGCGTTGCCATTGCAAACCAAACGTAGTATCTTGGCCACGTGATGGTCAAACGAAGCAAGGTAATTCCGAACGAGATCTTGCTGAGCGTGATCGCGATGATAGATACTGACAGTGAGGTGGCCCCATAGTATGCGATGCGCTCGAGATTACTGAAATCAACTATTCTAATAGTGAGTGCGATTCACAACAGAAAATGGCTTTGAACTGACCATCTAGCGCATGCTTGCCGAACCCCAGATTTATTGTGAGCTGATTTATGATGGCTTGAACTAGAAGGAGTACCTGCAGTATGTGAGCTATCGAATACTTGCTTTGAAGCTGTGTCTGTTACTTACCCAGCTAATACCAAGTGCAAGATCGTCAAGCCATAGCTTGCCTTGACTTTGGCGAATATAGAGCCGAACAAACAAAAAGGCGGCAGATGTTCCTAGCATCGACCAGGCTCCAGCACTCATGAGAGGGCCATGAGTCTCGCTCGGGTTACTGACCCAGTTCGGGAGTGAAGCCATCTCGGACGCGTGCAGGGTCAAGATGCCTCGGAACAACCGTGCGATATCTATAGCAGATACGAGTTGTCAATGCGAACGGGTGTTCCCAGCCTTGCAGGTTTTTCTCAACGTGTGCCGAAATCTGAGCCTATATGTAGCAACAGCGTAGGTGTCATGGCATGGCGTAAGTTTGGTATGAACATCCAGCTAGTGCCTGAATGTCAAACACTGTCATGTTAGTGCCTGGTGATAGTTGGCCGAGACAGGGCGGACTCGTGCGGCGCATTACTTACACTGTTTGGCAGATTGTAAGGGGTTTCTCTGTAGATGCTCGTTCATAGATGATGGTCACAACATCGTCCATCAAGCGCGGCTCCACTGTGAGGTAACCCTCGTCTCGGTGCAGCATCAACCAATTGTTAATATTGTGGGCTTCCCCACTGTGAGGCATAAATAAAGAAGGCATGGAGATCCACAGCCTAGGTGTAGCCCGGCGAAGTTTTATGAGGCTGGGCGCCAGCCAACGACTTCACAAGGTTTCAGCTAGCGCGTTAAGCTGACGGCCCGCGGGCAGATCGTGGCCAGCAACGGTGTAGCACGCATGCTGTCATCGGGATCTTCAAAACCGAGAAGATATGGGCTCCTGCGCAGCGGTCACTTACGTGTCATGTCTGCGAAGATGCAGGTCCAGGTGTGTCTACCCGCGGGCAGGAAGCTATGATTTCTCGCCGCACGCAGATCGCTTTCTCGATATTCCTACCTCGCAATTTTAGTTTCGACAAGCTAAATCTCTTTCCCGCCCGTAGCTGCACTGCGCGCCAATCACAACTTGAAACAAGTAGTCATCCAGGTTTGGCGTGGAGGTCAGGCGGTCTGCAACGATCTCTTGCGCAGAACATGCCACCAGACAAATGCTGCATATCTAATCGTGGGAAGCTGATACACGTTCCTCTAGGGCTTGATGAGTAGCTCACTGAATTCTCCGGGAAGTTCATGGCCTTGACCAATCAGATAGAATTATTAAATCCCAGCCTTGGCCACACAGTTGCGCATTGGGCACTAGCTTGCGATTCGACGTGCCTTGAGCTATCTTAGCACTGCATGTCATTCCTCGAGTGCCGGCGAGCTTACCATTGATCATGATCTGAAGCTTTTACCCTGACCAACACATCTGCTGGTATGCGAATTAGCTCGGTGCGGGGGTATACCGTGATAAGGCAAAGGGATAACGAGAGCGTCAGGAGTATCCAAGCGCATTTCTTTGTGCGATAGAATGTAAGATGCAACGAACGAACAGCGTGCTTCCCCTGCGCACGGGTTGTTCAGTCTGTATAAAGCGCGGCTGAACATGTATACACGAGCAGTTGGTGTATACTCGCCGGCTAACATTGCCGAGTATCCGGCAGTTTTCCTTCCAGATCGGATAAAATTTCGACCAAAGCTTCTAGTGCTGTGAACCCAACGATCTTGTGACGTGCGATTCATTAGTCCTAGATAGAAGACCCGCGCTAACATAGCAGTTGGGCGATCACTCATCACTGCATTAGGGTAGCTCGTGCGCTTAGATCGAAGTCTACGACATACTGTGTGAGTCTGGGCAGCCAATAATTGCACCATGCTGGTGAACATCGTCTTTCCACGTGTCTTCCGGAATCGACGTGCATCTTCCTCGATGCTCGTGGCGATGGACAGGGCCTTGAAGAATACATGTGATGACAAACATACATTAAACATGGTTGAGATGGAAGAGAGCTTCGAACGGACTTGTGATTTCACCGAGGAGTCTTCACTTGTTAGCATCGATTCAAAGAGTTTACTCAATAATGGTGGGAGAATGACTGCAATATGAATATTCAGGTCTCATAAAGTGCCTTCATGCGCATCTGCACATACCCCCAAGCTGTAACCGGCTCATACTGCTTCGGATTATTCACCTCGTCGAAGCACCCAGGCAATGCCTCAATTACGGTGTCCATATTCGCGACGGCAAAGAAGGGAATCGAGTATCGATCGTTCACAACCCCATCAACGTTACTGGGAGGTATACCCACGCGATGCACAGTGCTCCGCCATCGGTCATTACTCCACCTAGCCATCAAATCGCCGATGTTCACCAGTACGGTACCCTCGATAGGTTCAGCGCCTCGGAACGTTCCGCGCTTATGCGGATCTTCAACTTCAAGACCACCGACCGAGTCTTGAAAAAGAAGGGTCAGCGTGCCGAAGTCTGAATGCGCATTGATTCTGCTTCTTTTATTCTGCGCCAGCTCTTCGGACGCGATCGCGGGATAGTGTAACAAACGCAGCTGGAACAATGATTTCGAATGGGTGGAACTGAGGCCAGGTTCCGGCACCTCCAAGGCGATGCTAAGACTACTCAAAATGCGGTGTACGAGGTCGGCGCAGAGATTGAAGTAACTCTCCATGAAAGTACGAAAACCTGGAAGTCTTTCTTCTACTAGCCAGATATTGGGCTGCGCATCGTCGTCAACATTGCCGGATTCAAATGATTCCTTGAAGTCGGGAATGTCTCGGAGCTTGCTGATTTCATTGGCATCGTACTCATGCTGACTGACTTTCTCAACACCAGGTGCGGAGTAGCCGCGATGATGCGAACCACCCGGAGGGTGAGGCGCAAGCATTTTGGTCTCAAATGACAGTTCAAAGAACTTCTTTGACTGCTGCGTGTGAGTAATGGTCTGGGAATCAATGGAGGTTCGAGCTCCAAGTTGCTGGCTTACCCAACCAAAGCAAGCCTCAACCTGGTCATCCGGCACACCGTGGTTCTTGAGGTACACAAAGCCAACTCGACGAAAAGCGTCGTCAATTTGCCCCGCTATCTCTTTCTTTTCTTCTTGCGTGCCGCCTGAGGCTTTGGCGAAATCGACGATTGGAATACCAGCCATGCTGTAGCGCCCTGTGAACGTGTAACACAAGCAAAAGACCTCGATTTGCGGCTGCGTCCTGGATAGTATCGCAGTACTGAGTAGCAGGGTCTGGAAGTGAATTCTCGTTCGATTAGAAATGCCGACGTGTGCTTACACAGTCAGTGTAACGACGGGGAGCGGCCAATGAGGTAGCTTCACTCTTGGCGGCTGACGTCGATAGCCTGTCGATCTTGCGTGGGTGATTCAAACAGCAACCACTCAGCCAAGAATCAAGCATCTCTATAATTCGGAGAGCGCCTAATTCGATGCAACCCTTTTGTAGACGGCTCTGAGTTCGATGGGTATATTCACCGCTCTCTCAATTGCACACACCACCCACCAGTCTTAGCCTCAACTCGCGACCAGGGATTGACCACTTCAGTTACTCCACGCATGTGAGAGAAGTCCTCCATATAATGCTGGTGTTTCGTTCCCTTGCCCAGCGAGAATGCGTCTGACAAAATAGCATGTCATTGCAGGTGGGTTGATTGAAATGCGAACGCTGAGGGAACATTGCCGGGCCTCGTGGCAAGACGTGATGTCCGAATGTAGTCAGTTTCTAGCATTTTGGTGAAGGTATGAGCCATGCACTAACTTGAAAGAGAAGGCAGCTTCAACCATAAGTAGGCTGAAAGAACGATGGAAACTCACCGCATCCAACGCTCCTCTCCTGCCAGACATTGTACGGATACGCAAACGCAAACGCAGTATTACACTATCGCTCATCAAAGCTTACCATCACAAACAATATCATCATGACAAATAAGAATCTCGATGCCATCCGCATCGCGCCGAAGAGGATCCATGCGTTCTTTGCGTTCGCAAGACCAACATGGATAAACGAAATCTCCGAAAAGGTCCACGACCATGCTGAGGATCAGTTCGAACTTTCTGGCCTGGTCCTTGACACCACCGCACTCGACATCATACGAGTCCACGAGGTCTTACGAGTTATTTTCATCGCCGCCAGATTGATAACCCAGGAGGAGAAGCTTAGGAAATTCGAGGAACAAGCAATGTTGAGGTCTGTCCTCGCACTGCACATATTGGACCACCAAGTCGACAGGGTCTCTCGCGAGCTGGCCGAATCCACGATTGACAATGCCGAGCATCAGAAAAGCCTCGACACAATAGAAGCAAATAGTAAGGCAGAGTTGGCGGCCCACAGACGTGCAGATCAGCAAGTCGCGAGGAGGGCTTTTGCCTTGCGATCGCATCAGACTCGCGGGCAACTCAAGGTGAACCGCATCGCATAGAAAGCGAGGATCCGCGAAGCAAAGCGGACACTATAAGCAAACTCATCTGGTAGAAATCCACGCGATATGTCAGTTGAAATTTTTTCCTGGAATTGAGCTTCGAGGCAATCAAGACCAACTCAAAGACAGTCGTTGGTGTCGTGGCAACAAGACTTCGCATTCCAGGAGCAGGTCGGCGCGGCAATTGTACTCGACAGCATCCCTTCGCCTAGCTAGGTAGCATCATACGTCTCTGCAGGTTATAATTACTGCTGATCGGCGTTTTGTCTTGCTGCAAAAAGCTTGTACGCGTCAAGTGGCATGCCCGCAATCACTGCTGTACATGTGCAAATGGTATGTCATTAGGAATTCTCGCTCTCCCCACACAGCTACATAACTTCGAACACATACTGGAGTTAATACATGGAGAGTGCGACCGAAGTTTGTCTCCACTCGTGAGATAATAATCTAGTGCACGCAAGACTCGCCCAGCTCACCCTCATGTATCTCTACCGAATCCTTGCAGCTCTTGAAACTTGCACATGGTTAAACTACTTTCTAAAAGTGAGCCAGAAACTCAGAAGACTCACGCAGACATACTCGGACCAGTTGCGGCGAGTCTGGAACGACCTGGTACACAAGGTGAGAAGCATGACTAAGTCATCACGGCCAAACATGATACCTACTCTTCAGCAGCGCCAATCGATGCCAGAAACCATGCGATCGATCCGAAGAAGTTAAATTTTTTTGCCTGACGTTGGTATTCATACCGTGTATGTAGATCTCCAACACTGTTAGTGGCCCGCCTGATCGACCAAGCACCATGACCTTAGAGCTTGTGAGCCATTATCCACAACCACGTGCTCTTGGCGCGAACTACAATCATACACAGCACGCCATTTTTGACTTCGTGCGCAGGATATCTCGTAAGCAGATACACAGTAGCTAGTGTTTCATATCCGGACCGTTTGGTTGGCTGCGCCCGTGTGTAGTTGGCTGGAGGCCTCACTGCGTTGCTCTCCGCCAAAGAAATCATGCTCTACGGACACGGACACCGGTATGGAACAAAACACCGGAGAAATATCCTGTGCCGATTTTGGAGGGAGACTTGGATCGTTCGCAGTGATAGATGGCGCTAGTCTCAGCTGGGAGGACTGGTTGGGGTGCAGGTGTCTGCGAGTACCAAAAATAGTGCGTACATCAAAATGCTCCCTAGAAACCACCAGCATAGACATGAACGTGGATTATGTCGTGCCTCAGGCATCCCGTGGTACTGCGTGAAGGTTTCGGCACAGCATCGGTGGAGGAAGAGGAGATTGACAGAAGACAGACACGATCACCGAGAACTGACGGCCCCGTACTGGGGCATCTCGAGGTATAAATGCATAGTTCAGTCGCGACATGAGAGCCTCATCATAGCTTTCCTGCATACATCTTCCTTCAGCACAGTCTTCTGCGCTCATACACTTCATCATGCGCTTCGCTCTCTTTGCCTTCGCAGCCACAGCGTTGGCTGCAGACGTCAAAGTCATCTGGCGCCACGAGAAACCCACGGGAAAGTCTTCCCTAACACTTGAATCCGCCGACCGCACCGTCCTCGCTGAGACATGCGGTAACTCGCTCGGTGCCCTCGACTTCTCGCGTCTTGATGAGCACGGCGTCGGCGACTTCAGCGTCGGCTCCAAGACCTTCGAAGCCACCAGCATCCCTCAAGACAGCGGCGTAAGCTGCCACCGCATCTACAGCGGCACCATTGCGATCGTCGAATGCACCGGCGTCGACGTCGCCGTGCCAGTCGGCGTAGCCAGATCCGCAGACTGCTTCACCCACGAGCATGCGAAAGAGTCGTTCCGCCGACTCAAGTCGCGTAGCGTGGATATTATGAACGCCACGGAGCACATTGAACCGATTGCTGAACCACCCAGCAGCGACGACGCGCCGTGGTTTCTTTCCCGCATCTTCCCGCGACAGAATAGATGCCCGCCAGGCACAGACACGTACCCCGCAGACAATCCCGACCCGCATCAGAACTACCTGCACAAGCAACTTTCGGTGAGCAAGCAATGCGTGTCTGTCAGAGAGGAGTTGTAAAGCTAACTGTTGTAGCAAACCATCGGCTGCGGAGCGGCGGTTGGATGCTCCGTCGACCAATCCAACACGGATTCTTTTTCCATTGGATTCTCCGCCGAGATTGTCCCTTTCAAGGGGAAATGGACCAAAGGCTCCTTCTCGGTGCAGAAGTCGTGGCAGACGGGCAACGCATATCGGTGTGAAGGCCAGCGGGGCGAAACAGTGTGTATCTGGTACAACACAGCTCACACAGCGTGTAAGCCTATTCCCGCGCTACCATACCATACATGCGTTCTGACCAGTTTTAGACACGGTCTATGATGTAAAAACTGACATCACTTGTGCGGGCACGCTGGGGAAGACTTATGTTATGAAGTCGCCGAACGAGGGGAACCGGGGCGTAATTGACGACCATTACTGTGTGATTGGAACGTGCAGGAAGAAGGGCGATCAGTACTGGGATAACACCGGTCCAGCTGGTGGACCGCCTTGAGTGAAGCCTAGTGGGGCTGAAGCATCTTGGATAGGGCGGCTTCACGTACGGGACCGAAGCAGCACCCTGCGGAGAAGGCATTTTTTTTACAGCCCTTATTGGATTGATTTTGATAGATGAGGTGAAATACAGTCATTACCAGTATTCCTCCCGTTCATTGTCTTTCGATTGGTGATCATCGTGCGGCATGAGTATCTCCCCATCGTAGGATCGGGTTTCGACCCGCAGTGGGACAGTGAGGAAGAAGGATATCGATGAGTACTTCTCACTGCGAGGAGAAGCGGTGGTGCCCCAGACCCCGAGTGAGCAGCCATCGAACATGCCCTACCTAGTTCATTCAACATTCCATTACCTGTCCATCTTTGACACGACAACAGGATCATGCAGTTCATCATCATCGAGATCAGAAATCAAAGAAGTCTCGTACTCCAATACTCTCATGGCCTTACCAGGCGAAAGCCCCCAATCTTGAAAATCACACCCACCACCTCTACTCACAGAGCCAATGCGGTACTACATACAACGTCCACATTTCAAGCCTCTCAGTCTCAAATCCACATTGCGCTTGTTGGTGTATGTGTGGATGATGCATGCTGTTATAGGGAGTCATTACGACGCAAAAAAACATCTGACGCACATGGTAGGAGGAGTGTATATCGTACTAGTACACAATTTATGAAGGTGTGTAGATCTTGAGATAAAGATGGGGAAACCTCGAGTCAAAACGTGTATAAAAAAACTGGAACTGATCTAGCATTGCGTTTGATTTGATTACTTTATTCTAAAACTATTCCTGTACCCTTGGCACCAAGAGATGTCGATCAAATGCATGCAGCATCTAAAGCCAAAAAGAAAAGAGAAACTATGCCTAAATGCTATGCATGAACAAAACGTGCCGCCCTAAATATCCCCATCCTTTCCATTCCTTTCTGCATACCATGCTTTCCATATTCCCGTATGCCTTCCACCGCACCCACTACTCCCCACCAAACATATCACTAACGCCCGCCAACCCCGGACTCGTACCCCTCACAATTCCCACGGGCTGGTCAACGCTCATGTACTGCTCCTGGAACGCAGTTCTCTTCTTCGGGCCCGCGCGCACCATCTTGCCTTGCTCATGAATACTCACGCCCTTGATACTGCTCAGCAAATCGAGCACAATAGCGCGCTGCGTGCGCTCATCCTGGCGATTCACGCTCTTCAACTTGGCGAGTTTGCGGTCCACGCGGTGGTCGTCCGCCATGCCAGGTAAGCTGAGGATAATGCTGCGCGGGGTTGTGTCGTCTAGATGGATGATGCCTGCGATAAGAGAGGCGAGTTCTTTTTGGCAGTCGACGAAGTAGGGCTCATGCAGGGATGTGATGGACGCTTTGAGGATGTCGTTGCAGAAGTAGGAGCGGATTGGTGAGTCTTCCTTGAAGCGCGGGAGCAGGGAGCGGAGCACGCGCACGATCATTATCACGGAGCGCGTGTCGCGGACGTGGATGGTGGAGGTGCAGAAAAGGAGGATGGGTTCGAGAACCGAGGGCGTGGCGAGGATGAAGTCGCACATCGGTGGGCTGGAGGGGTCGCGACGAGACTCAGTGTCTGCACGCGCGAACTCTGGAGGTGAGGTTAGTAGTGTGGGAGGCGGAGGGAAGTAGGGAACGTACCTTGCCGAGAGTCAAGCAGGACAGCGACAAGCGAGACCGACGAGTATGTGAGTTGGCGAAGAATGCTCTCCGTCTTCATCTCATCTGTCAGGTTGTCGTTGTCCCCTGACTCCGCCACTTGACGAGCGACCTCACTCCATTCACCTGAGATCTTGCGGTCGAGCTCTCTGAACAAACCCTGGATCATCGGTGGAAGAAACTGTGGTCGGAGTGATGCTGGACAACCCTCAATTAGATGCGTTGATACTGTCAACAAGACCGACAAGTGGTGCGCAGTTAATGCATGTGCGTGCCCAAAAAGTGCTTCACTCAGTGGTCCAGGCAGGTCCTGTATGCCGTAGAAAGCATCGCGGAAGCGTGTCAGTGAGTAGAGAATGAAGTACGAGCTTTCGCGAATCTGTCGAACTGTACCGCGCACGGTAGACGCAAAGCCTTCGTACGTCGATTTGGAGCCACTGACTCTTGCGAAAAAGTCGTCTCGACTCTCTGTGGAGATACCCGCCTGCCAGAAGCGATCAGTCAGGACTCGTCGAATGACTTGTTGTAGTTCGACGGGCAGTTGTGACCAGTTGCTGTCAATGTCATTGAATGCTTGCGCATGGCTGACAAGCTGGAGAAGATTGGGGAGTAGAATAGGAATTGCTTCTGCCCATAGTAGCGCAGCACTGTCGTATGCTGGTGTACCATCTCGCAGCTTTTCCGTCGTCGCCGCAAGCAGCGTCTTGGTCAGGCGAAGTGGAAGCTGCTGCGACCGCTCCAAAATCGAAGCCTGCAGTGCCTGTCCGTCGCCACCAAGTGGTTGATTTGACCAATCACTCACGCTCCTGAAATTGTTTACAGAGAGGAAGTCGGGCAGTTGGCCCATGCCAAGGATTCCACAGAATGATTGGAAGTTGGTGACAGCGCCTGCAAACTCCTCATTCTGCCATGCATCCTTGACTTGATTGAGCATGAGCCGCATCCGCTCTTCTTGTGTACTGCGATCCAGTACTGTGCATCTATGTATGATGATGAATAGGAAAGCAGAGTAAGCCATGCGTTGCCGCTCGTCAGTCGTAGGATCATTGATCATTTCGTTGACCTTGCTTTCTAGTTGGTCGTACACGTTCATGAAGTCATTGGCAAACTTTATAGCCAGCTTCTGCATCTCTAGACTACAGATGCGCTCCAGGTCCTTGACCGCATCTGAGTATAATGGGTAGGCAGTGTCGTCCGCCAAACGGATCGTGAGCATGTACTCGAGGAAAGTGAGAGCAAAAGCAGGGCGATCACCAAGGGCTTTCGTGGACAGCGTCGACATGAGCGAAACAATCTTCCTTGCGATCTCAGGATCTTCGAAGCGCGCTTGCAGCATTTGCCTGCCCCATTGCTCGAATGAGTCTTCTAATGCACTTCGTTTGCGCTCGTCTTCTTGCATGTTCTCGCCATGGCTTGCCAGCCACTTCAAGTAGCCTTTGAGCGCAGCATCAATTACAGTAATCTGAGCGTCAACCCTGAGCACAGTCGGCGAGTTCTTGGTGAATGTCTGTGGCGAGAAAGGAGGCTGGTCACGGTAGATGTTTTGCAGCACATTGGTCGCTTGACCGAGAATATGCTCCATTGCCTCCACTGGAATCCAACGTACCAGCGTCTCGATCATGTCGGCGCAAAAGCGGCGGTAGTTGCCGAGAAAGGCATGTCGCTCGGGAACGGTATCAATGTCTTCATTGAGAAACTGCAGCGTGACATCCTCGGTGTCTTCTGGCAATGACTCATATCTAATCAGTCGCGAGCAAGAAGTCTCGAGCAGACCAGCGATCATGGATTTGATCGTGTCGTTCTCGCGCACAACGGGCGACCTGAGTAGCTTCGTCCAGCAGTGTAGGACGGGGATCGAAACTACCAGGCTCGGATGGCGCATAATATCGAACAAGAAGCCTAGCATGCCACCAAAGTCGCTGCTTTCGGGGATTTGTCGGGGCTTCTGTTCAATGAACAAACCTAGGCTGTTGGCAAGCTACGCACATTAGTCAGAATTCAGGGGTGACGCGCGTGTTGGAAGCGCCTACCTCAGATAGCTTCCTGCACAGGGTGTACTTCTGGTCGTCCAGGTCATTGATGTTCAGATCGGCGATGGTCCAGTTGTATACTTCTCGGAGCAGCGACACACTTTCCGGAGCAAACATTGGCCATACCAGCTCGCCAAAGTCGTCGTCGTTTAGATGGTGACGGTTGTAGATGGCTTGGAAGACCTCGATGGCAGCCTATAGTCTTGTTAGCACAGGCTTTGGTGCTGTTGCGATTGCACTTACTAGCTGCAACTCGACCACGGGCACGGCTAATGCCCTACACAAAGTCCCAACGACTTGCGTCGCCCCAATGGCCTTTGGTATTATCCACGGCATAGCCGCCCGCAGTGCATTGAGCGTCTTGACAGCCATGGTCCGGACCGCCTCCTGGTTCTGGTAGTCTTGACTGAGGCAATAGCCCAGGTTGTCGCACAGCCTCCGCAGCCATCCTTCCTCTCCACAGCGAACGTCCAGGCCCTTGTCTCGCGTGGGAAGGTGTTCTGTAAGCACAGCTGCAGGCGTAAAGATCTCAACGCAGGCGCGCCCCAGATCGCTGCCTCGCAGACCAGCCGTGGCATCTTCGCGGTTGAAGACTTCCTCGGACAGCGTCTCCAGCACGTAGACGACGATGGCCTGGTGGTGCAGTGAATGCTGCCACAGGGCGACCAGCTGCTCGTCCATGTCCAGCCACTCGGCGCCCCAGCTGCGCTTCGCTATTTCGGTCCACAGCTGCGCGACCTTGTTCCTCAGATACACGGGATCGTCCTCGGCCGTCTGCTTTGCGAGCTCCGTCACCGAGCCGCGCAGCTCTGTGCCCTGCTCGACAGTGAAGTCTTCCCACTTGTACTTGATCGAGTACTCCAGCATAGTGAGGCCATAGTGGCGGAGCGCTGCAGGCTGCGACCGGTCATTCGCGAGGGTGAAGCCCTGCGAAGGCGCATCCGGGTGTCTCTTCGCCTGTTCGAGGTACTCGGTCGCTTGTCGGCGGGTGTCGTTGTTGGAATTGGGGGCGTAGATGGCCTGCAGCGCCTCCAGCACCTGCGAGAGGTCATTCTGTGTGTGTCCGTTCAGATGGCTCTGTTGCGCGCCGCCGCTGCCGTTCGCTAGGGCTGCTTGCGGGGCTTGGTGGCCTCCCCCAGCATCCATTATCGAGGCGGCTTGCGATAGCCTCGCCTCTGCTCAGCTCCTGCACCTCGCCCAGTGAGTTTGGTAGCAAAGTTTTGCTAGCTGCGCCTGTCTGCAGCGGTCGTGTGTATTAAGGTTGCGGTATAAGGTTGAGGCTATTCGCAGCTGCGGGTGGGTTGCCGGGGACGTGGGCGGTGGAGGGACAAAGATTATGGGTCGCAGAAGCTTTGGCACCGCCGCTGAACCAAAACTCGGTGAAGAGTGCAAGCGCCGGATCCTGGACGATGCAGAGTGAAGAGAGTGACGTGTTCCCGACTACCGGGCGTATATAGGTAAAGACGGTCCTGACTGAAGATTCTGTGTGCTACAGACGCGCTTGTAGGCTGCCGTTACGTGCAGGGCCCGGCGCGTCCCAGAAACGCGATGTCAGCTGCCAGGCATTCAGGCATCAAGTTGGCACTTTCCGAGAATCTGGTCGTGATATTTACAACTATATACCGCCATATAACCCCACGACATCCGCTCAAACGCCATGAAATGCAACTTCAAGTCTGACCTGTTCCCCGCGCCATTGCAGACACGCGCTGCTAAAATTGCTGACGGCGTGACCTGAGCATCGCGTGATCGTTACGCATCCGTCCGCAGCTGCATCGAGCCTCACCACCATGTACCACGCCTTTACATGACGGCACAATTCTGTTTCTGGCACTGCGCCAGATAGCCCTCGTCTTCTTCGGTTCCTACCGCGTTGCCAGGCTTGCGCACGACGCCCTTGACCGTAATGCTCTGGTCGCCCTCAGCATGCCACCAGCGAAGCGTCTGCTGCAGTGCGCCGTTCGTCTCCTCTGATACAATGGTCCACTTGCCGCCCGTGACTTCCACGCTCGTTTGACCTGACGGGAAATGGAACTCCGGCAGGTATACCGTGGTCGGTGCATCTTCGGCAGTGGAGCTCGGTGCGGTGAGCGCCAACTTGAATGTGCACGTCTTGAGGTCGAAGACGTATGATGAGATGTCACCGTGCACGGCGACGGGCGCAGGACGAATAAAAGCTTCGGCTGCCCGCAGCCCAGCAACATCGCCGTCAGTCCTTGACGAGCTCATGCGCTCTGTAGTTACAGTCTTCTTCAGATTGGACGGCGTCACACTGAGAGTGTCTGACGACTGTGCTCGCGAAAACGAGGGTGATCCTCGATCTAGCGATGCGCGGGAGTCAGACAAGGAGAAGGGGCCTGCGGGTACAGCCTTGTCATCTACTGAGAAAATAGACAAATCTTCACCATTCCATTGGTCGCCCCAGTAGTGGTTGTTCTGGTGAACGTCAGTCTGTGGGCATGATGAGAGATGGATATACATACTGTTGCGACGTAGGTCCATAGAGTGAAGCCATTTGCCAAGCTCTCTTCGAGCGCAAAGTGGTTTGCGTCCAGCGCGGCGATCTGGCTGCTGTAGTTGCCTGTCTTGTATGCATACTTGTCATCCATGTCGTACGGAATACCAATCTCCGTGAAGATGCAAGGATGTACGCCCATGTACTCGGTGCCTTCCTCTCGAATAGCTTTGAGCTGGTGCGCAAAGCAGTTTCTGATGGCATTTTCTCCAATCTTGATAGCAAAAGCTGGGGTGAGGTACTTTCCTCGCAGTACGCCAAAGACATCGATGTTCCAGACGCGGTTCCTGGTCATGTTAGTAAAGAGGACCAGTGTCGAGGAATTCTTGAACTTACCACTTCTTTGTCAACAAGGTGATGCCATCGTAAAAGTGCGGCGAGAAGATCATGTTCGGGTCATCGTCCTCTGTTCCTTTAATCTTTGGTGGTATCTCTAACACGGGGGGCTGGAAGAACATCATAGCATCTGGGAATATCGACCTGACCATATTCTTGTAACTCCGGTAGTGCGCCAGCCAGTAGTGGTTCGTGAAATATTCGGTATCAATGATGGCACCGTTCTTTGGATCTGTTCCAAAGTAGTCCTTCTTGAGAACATTATCGTTGGCTGGATCCCAGACGCCATGCTGGGCCCATATGCACTCGCCCAAGCGCCACCCGGGGTCACGTTTCCAGCCGTATTTTGTATCATCGTGCTCTGCCGACAGCCACGCACTCTGTCCTTGAGGGTCGATCAAGGCTGTGCCAGACTTGTATGGACCCATGCCACCGAACTCCCACGTCTCGACCTCGCAAGCTCTTCCTGATCCGGTCAGGATCGCTTGCCAAGCCGTGGGTGTGGTTCCCTTCTTGAGTTGCTGCTCCTTTGGTATAACGGTGATATCCTGGTAGCCGATCAAGCCCTTGTTAGGCTCATTCAAGCTCTCCCATCCCACGATTGGGTCGTGGTCCAAATCACCCGCTTCATGTATGCGCTTCGCAAGGTGCCCGCATGCCGCGATGTAGTGATCCTGCAGGTAGTCCTGGATGTTTTTGCCGTCGATGATGGCTTTTGGCGCGAAGTCTTTGCCTGCAAAGAAGAGTGTGAAGACAACCTGGCAGACCAAGCGTGTGTAGTTGGAGGCCCAGATCATCTTGGGAAATGTGCTGGGATCGGGGTATGTATTCTGTACGAGTGCGCCTTCTGTGATGGCAAAGTGCTGCGGGTCAAGGCCGCAGGCGTATAGTGTCCACATTGGTGCTCCTGAGCCACCCGAGAATCGAGACCACTGAAAAACGTGTCAGATGAGAGGGTTGATTTGAGCGAAGCCTACATACAACGTCTTGATGCGGGTCCATGAAGATGTAGAAGCCGTACTCTTTCGCCTTGCGCAGTATGCTAATGGTGTGCTCGATCCACGCCTCGTCGAACTTTCCCGGGCCTTCATGCTCAATCGCTTCCCATGTGAAGACATATCGTATGGTGTTGTAGCCCCAGGCTCGTAACCGCGTGAAGTGTGTGGCGGCATCGTCAAGGGAAAATGGTCTGTTCACAAAGGAAACATTGTCGCCGTCGAAGAAGTTCTCGGAGACGTGCGAGGGCACATCGGGTGTTGCGGGGAATTTTGCATCGGCGGCGCAGTTAATGCCGTGCTGTCATATGGCAGCACATCAGTATGAAGCCTCAGGAACGCATGTGAACCCTTACAAGAATGACCTCACGATTCTGGGGGTCACGGAACGTGCGGCCGTCAATGCGCAAGCGAATGGGAGACATGGCCTATGGAGCGGAAAATAGGGTGAGAGGGCGTGAAAGCAAGCAAGACGGCGGTTTCCCCATATATTGCCTGGTGTGGTTCCTGGGCATGCGGCGGTTCGCAGTCGCATGCGCGGCATGTCATCACCACGGGACCGAGCGCGCCATCCCTGCGACTTACAGCGACCGGGGTGTGCATTAGCGCGGCATGGGGACGCGGAAATGGTGAAAGGACAAGTTACAACTTCATCTTTGGGGAACGCAATATAAGCCCCGCCCGCCGTCGCACCTGCCATGACCTAGCACACACCACCAAGCTCGCAACCTTTGCTCCTTTCCATCGTCGCACCCACCTGCAGTCGCTCATTACCCTTCGCCACACCCGCCACGGCCACCATGATACTGCGACTATCCACCCTAGCCCTCGGGCTGCTGTCCGCGGCACCGCTTACCTGCGCCCTCTCTGCGGCCGACATCCCCGCCGACATTCCCGTATCGCAGCTGATCAAGGACGCCAGCGTGAAGCTCGCCAGCGGAGACACGCAGGACGCCCTCACCTACTTCGACGTGGCCATTGCCCGCGACCCGCAAAACTACCTCACATTCTTCAGGCGCGGCGCTGCCTACCTTTCGCTGGGCCGCGCGCAGCAGGCACAGCATGATTTCGACAAGGTGCTGGAGCTGAAGCCAGGCTTCGAGGGAGCGCTGGTGCAGAGAGCCAAGATACGGGCACGCAAGGCCGACTGGGCTGCCGCGCGCAAGGACTACGAGGCCGCGGGCAAGACCGACGAGATCGCACAGCTAGACGAAGCCGAGGGCGCTGCCATGCTGGCGCAAGTGGCGGTGAACCAGGGCGACTGGGACGCATGCATACAACATGCCGGCACCGCCATCATGGTCGCTGGAACCGCCTACGACATCCGCAAGACCCGCGCCAGGTGTCGCTTTGAGAAGGGCGAGGTCGTCGAGGGCATCAGCGACCTGCAGCACCTGCTCCAGATCAACAAGGGCGACATCGAGCCCCACCTCCAGAGCTCCGCCATGGCCTTCTACTCCCTGGGCGAGACCGAGAAGGGCATCAAGCACATCGCGCAGTGTCTGCAGTCAGATCCAGACTCAAAAGTTTGCATGAAGCTGAGGAGACGCGAGAAGAACCTCGAGAAAACACTGAAGAAGGTCCGCTCATATTTTGAGAAGCGTCAATTCGCAACTGCCTCCAAACTCCTCATCGACAAAGGCGATGGCAGCCCCGGCCTCCTCAAGGAGGTCAAGCAAGACTTCCAAGAATACGTCGACGCCGGCTACATCTACAAGAACTCGCCCCAAGGCCTGTACCAAGACCTCGTCGAGATGACCTGCGAAGCCTACGTCGAAATGGGCAACACCAAGAAAGGCACGCCCTACTGCCACGAAGCGCTCCAACTCAACCCAGACTCCCTCTACGGCCTCATCCACAAGGGCCAAACCCAACTCGAAGCCGACGACTTCGAAGACGCCGTGCGCACCCTCGAACACGCCAAGGAACACCACCAACAACACCAAAAGATCCACGAACTCCTCTCCAAAGCCCAGACCCTCCTCAAACGCTCCAAAACCAAGGACTACTACAAAGTCCTCGGCCTCACCCGCGACGCCGGGCGAGCGCGAAATCAAGCGCGCCTACCGCAAAATGAGCAAAATGTACCACCCGGACAAGGCCTCGGCTATCAACATGACTCCCGAAGAGGCCCAGAAGAAAATGGCTAATATCAATGAGGCGTACGAGGTCCTTTCGGATCCGGAGCTCAAGGAGAGGTTCGATCGCGGAGATGATCCCAATAGCACTGAGCAGCAGCAGGGTAATCCGTTCCAGGGGAGTCCATTTGGAGGACAGCAGTTTATGTTCAGACAAGGTGGTGGAGGCGGGGGGTTCAAGTTTCAGCAGGGTGGATTTCCCGGTGGGTTTGGTGGGTTTTAACTTTTTATGTATCTTATGTGTATGCGATGGGATGGAGTTTGGAATACGAAAGGGAAGATGGGCATTTATTGGCGTTCCTTTTCTCGGGGTGCCTTTGTGCTTTTCAATGTGTTAGCTATCAAACTTGCTGTTCATCACTTGAATTGCTTCAAATTTTGCATGCATACCGTGAGTGTGGGTTCAAGATCCATTTCACTTCATGTTGACACGTTGATTTGTGTCTCTCATGCCATTTGCAGCTAGGTAGTGCACCCCGTATCCATGACGCCTTCACACTTCCTTGAAGCCACCGGTGTCTTTCAGACCGCCTAGGCTTTCCTGGACCGACCGCGCGACGCCTTCGTCTCCTTCGCAACCCGGCGAGCCCTCTTCTTCTCCGTATCATAGTATTTTGCCGGCCGAATGACTCCATCATACATCTCATCCCGCTCTTTCTGGGGCGCCGTCAACTTCTTCATGACCGCGACCGAGTACTCGTCCTCGTACTGATAGTCCGAGCCTTCGAGGTCGTAGTACCGTTTCATCGTCATCTTGACCATGAGGCGGCGTATAGGCGATGTCGGAGCAGATTTGTTGTAGAGCGACCGCATAACATGATCGTGTGGACGAATGCTGTCCTTCTCGCTGGTGGTGACCATGGTGTGTACAATTTTGTTATGAAACTTGATGTCGGATAGCAGTTCGCCGAGGCTGAAAAGGGCTGCCAAATCGTCCCAGGTCTGTCCCATAATCTTCCCGTTCTGGCTCATGTTTAGATACTCGGTGTAGACGGCGAAATACTTGGACTCAGTGTCAGAGAGCTTGATAATCTCGTCTGAGTTGGTGCCCTCGAACATGTCCTGAAAGTATTTGGATCTCTCGGTGAGAACTTCCTTGTCGACATGGAAGTTTTGATCGCCAACGATCACGGTCACTTTCTCGGTCTCTACGTCGTCCTGTGTCTCGTTGGAATCGGTAGCGGTCTTTGTCTTCTTAGTTTCTGTACTGTTCATTGGTTAGTTTCTTGACTCTCCTCGCAGTTTCATGGGCACTTACTTAGGCTCCGGAGACTCCATCTCGCTGACTGGGCGCTTCGAGGGTACAGCCATACTGCACTGCCTAAAGCCTTGTCAGTGCTCGGAAAATTTGTTTAGTCTGAGAGTAGGCCACCTACTTTGGTTGAGTTGAGGCTTGCGAGTTGATTGAGTAGCAGGATAGTGTTGGTGTAATGGAAGTAGGACCGCTGATAGATACTAATACAATTCTCTTCTGTACTTTACCTCGTATGTGGCTCTCATGGCTCATTTCTCACTTCTCATCTCTCGCTTCTCGCCTCTCACCTATGCTTACCGTGATTCAGGATCACACATAAATCATCCTTCACCTCGGGAGGTTTATAGCCAAGATTAGTCTGCACTTACGTATTTCCTCTGCGCGTCACAGTTTTGTCTTCATTATGCGTGCAGCTTATGCACAATACGGCCACGCTAGATTATCTCGAGGTTCTTGCATTGGGTGTCTCTGAGCTTTACTGCGTGCAGCATCTCAATGCGTGAGTGAGGTGTCTAATTCGGAACAGGGTCATGGTCGTGGGAAAAGCGAATGATGACCCGGCAAAGTTTAACATTCAGATGCTTGCGACTGTTTCCCAGTTTCAAGTAAAGAAGGAAACGCCAGGACAATAGTGCAGAACACCAGCCTTCTTCTGTCCGTCATGGGGGGGGGGGTGTGGGGGGTCAATCCTTGAGGCGCCTCTTCGGGCCGCCCCACAGCTTCCCCTGCCCCGTGCCCCACTTCGCTACCCGGTAGCCGCACACGTCAACAATCCCTGCGCGTCGCGTCTGCCTCGCTTTCACCATCACCAGTCTGACGACCAAACAGCATGTCTCTTGGTACTGGGACACAGCGATGTCATTTTCTGTCCACCTGCCCCGACCCCTTCGCCGCCGCCCCGTGAGACAGGCCCTGCTCCTTGCACTCGTCCTCCTTGCCTTATTCGACGCCAGCCAAATCCTCCACTACCAATCGAGTATCACAGCCGAAACCGCGCCCGCTCCTCGATCGTCTGAACGGATCTACATCGCTAGCATACACTGGAATAATGAGAAGATTCTGCGAAGCCATTGGAATGATGCCGTGGTAGAGCTGGCAAAAGAGCTTGGGAAGGAAAATGTGTTTGTCACGGTGTATGAGAGTGGGAGTTGGGATGAGACGAAGAGTGTGTTGAGTGAGCTGGATGATAAGCTTGAGGCGCATAACATCAGACGCAATATCACGTTGTCCAACACCACCCACGTGGACGAACTATCAATTGCGGAAGAGAAGAAGACTGCTGGGTGGCTAGACACGGCATCAGGAAAGATGCTACGGCGGATACCATACTTGTCTCGACTTCGCAATTGGTCGGTGGACCCTCTGCTCGAGCTTTCACGGCAAGGACAAAAGTTCGACAAGGTCCTGTTCCTGAATGACGTCGTCTTCTCAACACAGGACGTTCTTCGATTACTGAACACGAACAACGGAGACTATGCAGCTGCCTGTTCGCTAGACTTTAGCCGACCTCCGCAGTTTTACGATACGTTTGCCCTACAAGACACGGAAGGCCACCGGATGCTCATGCAGACATGGCCGTACTTTAGAGCTAAAGAGTCGCGTCAAGCAATGCTCGCGAGTTTTCCCACACCAGTAGCAAGTTGTTGGAATGGCATGGTTGTAATGCCCGCAGAACCTTTCGTCTCTGGCAAACTCCGGTTCCGGGGCATTCCAGACTCGCTCGCAGCCTTGCATCTGGAAGGATCAGAATGCTGCCTTATCCACGTCGACAATCCTCTGCACACGGCACAGAAGCGCACGTATGTGAATCCTCAAGTTCGAGTAGGCTATAGCGGGGAGGCATACGAGGCAGTTCATCCCCAGGCAATTCTTCGGTCGTTCTTCCGAACCTATGCAGCGGTATGGGAAAACCGCATCAGACGGTGGACGACATCGCCCCGCACAGCGGAGTGGAAAGTGCGGAGCCGACTTCATGCGTGGAGACGTAGGACAGAGGAGAAGGAAGCTGGAGAGGTTTGCATCGTCGATGAAATGCAAGTGCTGGCTGACAATGGTTGGGCACATGTTTGAGACAAAACAATGCTTTCACAGTCTACTCCGTCGATATGGCCTTAGCTTGGCATGCGAACAGGCAGCAATCCTCGAATTCAAGGCCAAGACCGCACTGATCAGTTGTCGAACATCTTCAGATGTCCAGGAGCCTACAAAGTACGCCTCGTACGTGCACGGGCCTTGTTGAGATGTCCGTGGTTGCTACTTCACATTAGGAGGCGGCTCAAGGCGACCAGGATAATGATCATTCAGCCACACACCCAAGTACAAATGGACAGTACCCAGCCACAAGTCCTCCAGATTTATTCAGGAGCTGCGCATCCCAGAAATAATTACCTTTGCCTTCCATCTCGAATCACACCCACAATTGCCTCTATGGAGACCCAAGTGTCTTCCCTCTACGGGCCCGGCGCGATCATCTGCTGGCTCTGCACCTCAGTTGCGGTCATTTTATCCTGGTCTCTCAATCGCTCGAGCCGAAGATACGATACGATAACGGGAGATTTTCTCGCATGCCTCTTGCTTCCCGTCATCGCCTTGAGCCATTTGCTATACGAGATATCTCACGCGACAAGATCGGACAACTGGACCGCAACCCCAACGATGGACGCCACATTCGCTATTTGCATGGACTTTGTGCCTTTCTCCTTCGTCCTATGCTGCCTGGCCTACCATAATGGCCATGTCCGGAGATTTCTTTTGACGGCCACGGCCACGTTAGCTTCTTCCATCATGGGTCTTGTTGGGTATAACGCAAACGGTCACAATTTCCCTCACTTTGATCATGAAAACGCTGCATTCCCGATGATCTTGAGCAGTTTTGTTATGGTTGGCAGCTGCGCCATGACCCTTGTGTGCGTGCTCATCTACCACGATTCTCGTTCTCAACGAAGTCGTGCTCGCTTGAGCATTGTTGTGGTCCTTGCTGCATGTGCTCTGTCTAATCTCGCTGGATTCTCTCGTTTCAGGCCGAAGTGCCCAGAAGGATCAGAATGTGAGGTTCAATGGGTTCCACATACCGGTTACTCCATTCGCGAAATCGACCAAGCTGTGGCACTAGGCATTGGCATTGCGACGCTTCTTCTCTCCATTTACGACATCCTCCGGGACATACGATTTTCCCCCAACGACGAATTCGAATTTTGGCGGAGCCGCTGCATCAAGAACATCGAGGCAGGCTATACCGAGATCGAAATCACGCGGTGGAGGAATGAATTGGACCGCATCGATACGCAAGCGAAGTGTCAACGTACGAGGGCTAGACATCGCGAGCGGGAGCTCAAGACTTGGAAAGAGCTGCCAAAGAATGTGATGAGAGAGATCGAAAATTACGAGGTGGCCAAACGCATGCCAGCCATTTTTGCGTCTTGAGCTTTTCACCAGACGCCAGCATCACTCGTCGTCTGTCACTGTAAGCACGAGAAAAACGCAGCCAGCTCGGAGAAGACCACATTTTTTCATTCGCACAAGGCTTGATGTATGCATACTGCTAGCGAATAGGCAGTAGCAATACGTAGACTTTCCGACTTGTGACGACATCGCTGGACAACTCCATCTGCTTATACCTTCAAGCCGCACCCGATAGTCGATTGGAAACCCGAGGCCTCCATCTTCCTACCCTCCGCTCACCCCTCCCTTCTCTCTTCCTCTTCGCTCCTCCTCACCCTTTTCCCCAGCATCAGCAGAGGCCAGCCAGCACGTTTGAACGAGGAAAGAAGAACAGTGCTTACAGAGCTATTCGCGCCACGGGCTGCAAATGCCTTTGCACTCCGCCTACAAGGTGTATTAGCATTGTCATACGTTACAAGTACTCTGCAAAGGGTACTTACCGGAGTGGACACAGTGCAACAACAATGGCCACCTCTGTTGTATCCTCGACACGCTTGACCTCCCTGAGCTTCGCAGGCTTGCGCGCGCGGCCGGAGGGGATTCTCTCCCAGCTGCAGCTTTCCATGGTAGCGTAGCCTAGAGCAGATGTAGCGAATACGATCGATAAAGCGATGGAAAGCTTTATAGTGAAAAGTGACTGAAGATTGTTTGAGTTCCAGTTGTAGAATTGTTGGAAATGAAAATGAGAAGTTGTGGACGTACTTTGTTTGGCTTTGTATAGAACTGAGAAAGAGGTTGCCCGTGTACTCGCTCTTGATGCTTGATCTTGAGAGAGGTCTTGAAGGGCCCTTCTCGGTAGTACTACTAATACATCGTCTTACTCGAAAGGCTTTTTACAGTATCACTACCATGACATCTTATTTGAATAACCCTTCACATTATCATCGCATGTTACTAGCTCCGGTGGGACACTTTGCATAGGCATAACCACAACGAGAGCACAACGCCTCTATCCTCCGTACAATCAAGCAGGAACTTCGTGTAGGATCAGGCCCTTCATCTCTCTCTCTCTCTCTCTTCTAAAGAGAGTCGCTTTCATTCTTTCCACTTCACATTGACGCCAAGCCATCCATGTTTTCGTCCCACCGCAGGTAGAACGTAGCTATGCATACTCCGAAAGTCTCCAAACAAGATCAACGCCAACATGGAGCCTTACTGGCTGACGTGCCTCCACCTGCACAGAGCTTAGCTACAATGGAACGGTACATGGCGGCGGTTCAAGCTTCTTAGTGCTGAGGTTTGTTATCTGAACTTTGAAATTCAGCCACTGCGGACTGGTCATCCCCACGGAGCATTTGGCGAAGCGGGCATAATTATGCGATACTACCTACATATGTACTGTACATCCGATAATGGTCTCCTCGGTTTCAGAAAGATCTGGCACGCACGGGGACTCGAGCGCGCATTATTGAGGAGCGTACGCTTCCGCGCTGCCGCCGATGCTCGAGAGAACATCACACTCTCTGCCCACTGCTCGTCTACCGGACGGTTGGTAGATGGTCTTGCATGCTCGCTATGGCGACCCGACACATCCGCTGCCTGCTCGAAGATGCATTGAGCAATCACTGGCTGTATCACCCACGGAGCTGAAGGTTTGACTGCACACCACAACACGAAAGCATCAAAAGTCATCACAAATCATCAAAAGCAAGACTTGCGGCCATACTAGAGCTTGTTTCAATATTACATGCTAGACTCTTAGCCACTCGTAACTGGTAGTACATGTGAGAAGAAACCCTGTCTAGCTAAGAAACAAACAGCCATAGGAAGATCATAACCCCATTAGTCGTGAACCATAGTGTAAGTATGTGTAGTTGAACCGCTCCAGCAATGCTAGCCGCGACAGGCGATGCACGAATATTCTAACGCCCTGCCGCAAGACCACGCAATTGGCACAGACCATCACAGATACCGGACTGCGCGCTCGAAAAGTGTATACCCAACTTTATGCAAAGTGGGCGAAAGCGAGAGCGACAACGATGGCTGCAATGGAGCTCTTTCCGGCACCGATGACCTGGCCCATGTTGACAGGGACCTCACTGTACGTAGGCTTGGGCGAGACAACAGTACCGTTCATGGTTCCAGAGGGATGCCCATATCTGATGAAGGAGTTAGTGTTGCAGTTAGATGATGGGATTGAATTGGAGGAGTATGACTTACCCAGAAGAGGGGTGACCGGAAATGCCGGTTGCTGTGCTGATGTCGGTAGCTTCAACGTTTGTATTGGTGTTGGAGTTGGTGACATTGGGCGCGCTGGACTCTGCTGGAACCGTGACGACCGAGGTCATTGTTTGATAGCTCGTGACTCTAACAGTGCTATCGATGGTGGAATCCGATGGGGTAGGAAGACCAGAGTTTCCGAACGTGGTCGACCTCAGGGTTGGGTGCGTGCCAGAGATGGTTGTGTACTCAGATGCGCTGCCCGAGGGCCCTGGTACAGGAGTGACGGCTGAGGCTGTGGTAGCGGGTACAGACGAGATGGAAACTGCGTCTGTATTGGAGCTTGAAGCGACACCCGAGCTGGCGGGACCAGAAGGCCAGTTGTATCCGGTCGAAGCCGATGCAGTTGGGAACGACACATGAGTAGCATCTGTGAAAGTGTTCGATGGAGTAGCTGAGCTGTCAACTGGGCTGGGAGAAGCATAGCCGCTGGATTTGCTGGATGATGCTCCAACTGGGAATGAAATGTGAGTAGCATCCGTGTATGTGTTCGAGGGGACTGCAGGGCTGCTAGTAGGGCTTGAGGCGTAAACAGAGGTGTGATCAGTGGCAGACGAGCTCAAATTGGTGACAACGCTCGGCTGAGGAGGCACAGCACCAGAAGGTGTTGCAGTCGGAGAGACGACGCTGACGGTGCGCTCGATTGACGAGCCAGAGATGATGCTGATCGAAAAGGCCGGAGCCGGGAGCGTTGGAGAGGCTGAAGAAGCCAGTGATGCAATTACGCAGCCCGAGATTGAGATTTGCGGAAGACCAGGTCCCAAGACAGGGCAGGGCCTGCCTGGAAGTTCGCTCACGGCGACGGTGCTGACGGGAGTGGAAGCGATGGGCAAGGCCGAGCTGCTAATTGGAACAGTGGAGGCTCCGACAGGTGGGATGACCGCACCAGGAGTCGAGCAGATGGTGGTAGTAGTGGCTACGACCGTGGTGGACGTGAGCAAGACCGTGGCACCAGCGGGACAGTCTGCGGGAACGGTGCACAGCGACGTATGGACGGAGGTTGAGGTGACGAGAATGACCTCAGTCGTGGTCGAGGCGATGTCACGTCGATCACCTGTTCCCATGTTAGAAGATTCGCCATCGAACGGAAGCAAAGATGCGGATGAAATGGCATCTTGCCGGTGAGAGCAGCGAGCAGGACTGAAGCAGCTTGAGACTGGATGTAATGCAATGTACTCACCGTTACGAAGGACCAGACGATTAGCTGCCGAGACAGCGCCTCCGAAAAGGGCAGCGAGCTGGAGGACCTTCATGATCGGAATCGTGCACCTGGTGGTGATGGAAAGGACTAAAGAGTGTACTTGGGGGTGGGGGCAAAGAAAGCAGAGGCAAGGCCAGTTGCTGGATGAGCGAGATTGTGGTAAACGAGTGTAGAAGGTTGGTGGGGAAGAGGAGGGTTTAAGAGTCGCACAAACTTTATGATCGGAGGGCAGGCGCCAAGCCTGGGTGCAAACGGGCAACAGCGAGAAGGCGCGCGCGAACAAACAAACACAGAGAGCTTGAGCACATTGTTATGAGCTATTGAGGTAGTCGAGGATTGAGACTACGTCATTGCGCGATTTGTTGAGCAGAGGCATACGCAAGCTGGAGAAGAGACAGTAGCACGTGAGTGCTCCTTCACCCTCGCGGTTCCACGATGGCATGTGCCGCAAGCCAGTCACGGTGGTAGTATAGGCACACAATCACCTCGATAGATTTAGATTACTGGGTACTTGCTTGAGACGGCTCAATAGGCAGATTGCATCTGCGCGACGGCACTGACGCTCTGTGTGGTCAAGGTGGTGACACAAGTACGCCTGCCACACGGTACATAAACACGCCTGCCGTTCTTTCCCACTGCTCGCTCGCTCTCCTTCACTTTCGACCCTGTTCGATAACGATCTGCTGTCTTCCAATCGCGTGTTATCTCGCGGGCGAAAGTTTTTCGCCGCCGCGCGTTTGCTCCTGCCATATAAACTGCCCACGCCGCACCTCCTCCGCCTCTTCTTCTCCACGACCCCAACCTCAACCACCTCATTCTCTGATTTACATCAATTGCAGCTCATCATCTTACACCAGCTCTACCTCATCCCCAAGCACCAAAGCACTTATCACCGCTATCATGCTCGGTTTCAAGAAGCTCCTCGCAATTGCTGCGCTCGTTGCTGCCGTCGTTGTCGCTGACAGTGAGCTCACCACTTTAATTCCCAATTGCGTAGGCTAATCTTCCTCCAGCTCCTGCCTCCTGCGCGGCTGCTGTCACCGTCACCGTCACCAACACGGTCACTGCTTGCGCTTCGCCTACCGGACCTGTCGCGCCTCCTCCAGTTTACTCTTCGCCTACTCCACCCGCTTCGTCCGTCGAGGTGCCGCCTTCTCCGCCTGCCTCATCAGCTGAGGTTCCGCCTCCTCCTCCCGCCTCGTCGGCTGAGGTCCCGCCTGCCCCTCCGGCTTCCTCGGGCGAGGTTCCTCCCCCGGCTTCGTCTGGTCCGGCTGAGTCTTCCGCCACTCCTCCCGCGAGCAGCGGTGTTGAGCCCTCCACTGGATCTATCACCACCCCAGGCCCCTCTACCACCGCCGCCATGAGCTCGCAGCCCGGCACTCCCACCCCTTCTGAGGTCTCGACCGCTGGTGGTGCCATCGCGACGCCACTCATCGGTCTGGGCTCGTTCGTGTTTGCCATGGCTGCCCTCGTCTAGGCGCTCACTCACTGTTCGGTGCCACGTTGTGGTCGATGTCGATAGGATAAGACCTGACATCATTTCCGTTTTGATGACATGTCGACACAGATGATACATCTCATGCAAGCTTCTGCATTTGTCGATTTTCTGGAGGATGGGTTTCATCATTGACGAACAGCTATTGCATGACTAGCATGTTACAGCTCTCCTCGATGCCTAATACAAAAAGTGACCCGGTCACGCTTTCTTGATACTCTTGCTGCTCATGGTTGTGATGTGTCCCTTCGCCTTAGCTGCCCGTGATCGTGACCCACTGCAGTATATTTGCCGCCGCTCCCTGCTCCCTGTCTCCCTCATCGGTAGACCTGTTTCACTTGTAACCTCCTCCTAGCTTCTTCACTTCCTCTTAATTGTCCCCACCTGCTGCGGTCCGTCAACCACCACCATACTCAGCGCCATACATGCCTAGTCCACCTACCAGGATCCCAAAACTCCTCCACCCCGCGTCCTCAACGACACGCAAGATGTACTCTTGCTGGGTGCATAGTGTGGCATAAGCAATAATGATGGTGATGAAGTACTGCAGTCGTCATGTTACAGTACCAGTTCCGTTCGAAGTGATTGCGTGCCATGGCGAATTCTGCTGTGCAACCAGGGAAGGTGTCCATGTAAACTGACGAGGTGATTCAAGAATTCACAAGAAACTATGTGAAACGAGCTTGCGTCACCAAGAGGGTATATCTAAGCGAGTATGCAAGAGTCGTATTCCAACCTCTCCTAGCCCTTCTTCCTTACGCTATGCCGAGCCATATACAAATCGCCACCATCCCCATCGGCAAAATACGCATGTACACTACAACCCCTCGCCCTCGACCTTTCAATCCGTTTCCCCTGTCTCAATACACCCACCTACTTCGCCCCAGTATTCCTCATCAACTCCTCAATCTCCCTCTGGAACTTCTCCATGTCATCCAGTATCCCCTTCGCATCCCCTAACTCCACCTCCTTGTCCGCTCCCTCCTTCACCACCCCGACCTCACCCACTGGCCTCAGAGAATGCTCACTTGCCACGCTCGTGCGCTTGTTATTCTCCAAACTCGTGCTCGTGCGTCGGCTCTCGCTGGGCGACAAGGGAATGGTCGGACGCTGGTGATCGAGACTCGAGCGGTTTGATTGGCGCCGACGAGGTGGTGGAGGTGGAGGAGGCATGTGCGCGCTCCCCGTGCTTTCGCTGGAGACGATGCGAGTGGATGAGATGGACGACGTGCGGCGGGCGGGCGATGCAGGCTCGGAGTCTAGTGTGCTGCGCCTCGAGGACGAAACGCCTTGTGTGGAACGGATTGATGCGGTGCGCTGGGGGAGCTCGGTGCTGGACGAGTTGGCGCTGGATGTGCTGGTGTCTTTGAGCCGAGCGCCGTGTCTTGAGCGCGGAGGTGGCGGTGGAGATTTTGCGACGGATAAAGGGTCCTTGATATTTGGAGTGGGACTGAGGAGAGGTGCTTCGATGGAGTGTTGGGATGTCATGGTGAGGGAGGAGTTGCTTCGCGATCGGTTCCCCGTTGTGGAAGAGCGCAGTTGACTCTGTCTGCGGGCTAGAGGGACGGGTGGAGGCGCTCTCTTTTGCGGCTTCGGTATCTCCGTTGTCAGCAACGAATCGCTGGAATGCTGCTTTAGCGGTGCTGGCCGCTGTTGTGAGGTGTCTTGCGAGCTGATGTGCTGCTGTTGAGGCGACACGACCGGAGTCGGCGGAAGTGGCTTGTTGTTGTCTGAACTGTCGTTCTGCTGTATGACAGAGGGTGCTGCAGGCTCAGAAGCAGAGAAGCTCTCGAAGGACACTGTCTGCGGCTGTCTCTGGGTGACAAGCTTGCCATGACGATGCTTTGGCGCCGGAGGTGGCTTCTTCTTTCCCTTCTTTGCTTCCGAAACCAGCCCCATGCTCTCGTCTTCGTCCGATTCTGCCATCTCGAATGACGTCCTCGGCGATTCGGCATGTGTGTGCTGTGATGATTCGAATAATGATTGCCGTGATATAGATGAGGTGTCTGTGCTGCTGCTCTCAAATTGTGCGCCGCCTGGTACACCACTCGCGGAGGCCATAGTTTGGCTGGGCTGTGTTGAAGGTCCGGGGCCCGGCTTGCCTGTCATGAGCAGGTTCTTAAAGCTTTCCACGTCCAACGAAGCCCTGTTGCCTAGAGCCGCTCTTTCCGCGGGAGTCTGTTCCTCGCCCGTGTCCCTCTCCTGCGGCTCCATCGATGCCAATGTCCTCGAAAATGGATTGGCCGGGACGCCGCTTGGAGATGTCGCGGACTGCAGCGCCTGGTATCCCCTACTTGGGCTTGCCCATGTGTCTGGTGCTGTCATATCTTGAACCCCGCTACTCTGCACGCCCGACTGCCCCACGAAGACGTCTGTATATGAAGCATGCGCCGATTGCGCAGCGAGCGAGGGGTTTACATACTCGCTCTGGTCCAGGCGCTGTGCGACAGGCGACCTCGGTGAATCGTCATAGCCATCGTCCGGATGCGGAGGGATGAAGGTGGTGTTTGATGTTATTCGGACATGTTTCTTTGTCTTTTGCGGCGGCGCACCGGTACCCTCGAGCCCTGTAACACGATTACTGCCTATTCATTCTTCGGGGTACGCATGAAGTTCAAGGCAGGTAAGGTAATACCGGAGCGACCACCGTCCTCAGACACACTGCTGTCGGCGGTGATAAAGGAAGTCTGCGGAACAGACGCGGGGTTGTGTGAAGGAGATGCGCGGAACGGGTTTCCGGATGACATGCTGCGAGTTAAGAGTAATGCATTGTTCTATGTACACGGAAGAAGCTTGGGTTGTTGCTGCTGATGCTGATGTCGGGGCGTTGGAGCATCAGCGCCGACATGCTGGGACGATCCGAAGGCACGAACGTCGTAGCACACCCCACGAACGCCGCAGTGCTTGGCCGGTACGCCCCTCATTTCCACCGTCACGTAAGTGGAGTAGGACCAAATGCATGACCCCTGTCTCATGTATGAAAAAACGTCGCGATAAGCGTTTTGTGGCTCACCAGATGATGATAAGGGCATCGTGCAGGTGAGCTATTCATTGAACGGTATATTGGGTATCTTCAAAAATGCCTATAGATGGACGCGATAATCACCATGGTAAGTACTGGCTTCAGTCGATGTACACATGCCATCCGTCCTCACGTCCAAACCACTTCCGCGCCAGATTCCCACCACTCTCCGTAGGCTGGCTGAACGCGACCTGTTCCTTCTCGACGGTCCATCCATACAAGAAGTCGGACCTTGCGCAGTCGAGCAGTCTTGAGGCGATACCTTGCTTGCGGCGCTGGTTCGAAGTCCATATCCGCGATATGCCTAGTAAAGCCGGTGTCGTTGCCGTGCTGATCGAGATAGATGAGCTCTTTGTCTCCATAGCGAGCTTACGAGTTTGGGCGGATGCATCGTCCTGAGCTAGCACAGTATAAGCCTCCCAGATCCGCTCTGCGAGACAAACCCCAATGCACTTATGGCCCCGGATGTAGAGGTATGTCTTGAAGCGATCGACTGGTGTTGGTCGCGAGCTATCCTTCCCCACATTGCCCGAGGCGCGTGTCTGACTCCACAACTCCTCATCCGATATTGGTACTGCCCCGAGCTCTGTGTTGACGACCTTCAGCACGTCGCTTGTCTTGTTGCGCAACGCAAGCGCATCTTTCCGTCCGATGGCTGCGATGAAGCTCCCATCGCCTCCACTCCAGACCTGATTGTTCCTCAGCCGATCCACTGTAGCCTTGGTAAAGTCCACTCCTCCCACGTTCATGGCATGGAACTTCCGATGTAGCGCTGCATCCTCGGCGTTTGAGGGTATATACTCCATGCCGCATGTCTTACAGGCCTTCCGCGACTCGCTTGCCAAGTCCAGCTGCATCTGCACCATGTGCTTCGGTTTCGTCTTCACTGGCAGTGCTGCTGGCGGACTTCGAGCGTCATTATCACTTCGTTCTGATAGTGGTTGTTTTGAGGTGGAGTGCTTTTTGGCTTGCTTCCTGAAGAGAGAGAAGACCGGTCGGCGCCTCTGGAGTGGTGGTGGGGAGCTGGTGGGTACGGGCGAAGATGGCGGACTAGACCGTGGTGCCTCGTCCGACCACACTGCAGGCGAGGTCTTCGGACTTGATGTCAGAGGTTCTGAGGAAACGGGTGGATGTTTACAGTCGTCTTCTTGGGTTCCAGTCAGGTGTGATATGGGGGAATCGGCTTTGGCTGCGTCTACTGCGCGTTCGACGCGTCTTCGCTTGATGGGCGGTTCTTCATCATAGAGCGAGCGCTTTTGTCGCGAATATGTTTTTGGAACCTTTCTGGTTGCTGTTAGTATTGCTACATCAGTGTCCATAGTGCTGCTTACTTTGATGGCACGGAAGCCATTGCTGTGGTGGTAGAGCCGGTAGATTTTCGGAGAGATGGCTGTGTTGCGCGAAATGCCCCACGCGACACGCGACTTAGCGCGTTGGCATAGCGCCATGCCCGACGTCACATCCCTGCCCAGCTCTAAGACAGTCGCAAAGTATGAGGAAATCGTTAGAGATCGATTCGGCCTTCGGACTTAGGATGCCACAGCGTAGGCAGACCTTGCGCCCTTTTCTCCTCAACGGCTCCTAGTCGGGAAGGTGCGTATGCAGTGTGGCTGATGACTCAGCGCTCCATTTCGTGATACATATAAGCACTTCGGGAGCGCAATTCACACGCACCCTCTGGACTCTGACAACACCTAAAAGTACGGAAAAGCTCAAATCCACTGCATTGCACAATATGGCAGGTCAGCCTACCAAGTCACCATTCACGGATGCGCAGATCAATGCCCCCATCCCAGCACCCATCTTCACCACAGCACGCCTGGGTGTTCGAACCTACCATCCCCAAGATGCGCCCTCCATGACCCGCGCAGGCAACAACCCTGCGATCTTAAAGTACATGACCAACTCTTTCCCCAATCCATACGACCTCATTGCAGCGAACGGCTGGATCAGCATGAACATAAACGAAACCCATCCTGCTCACTTTGGTATCTTCGAAAAATCAGCGCCTGATGTCCTGATTGGTAGTATTGGGCTCAACAAACTCAGTACAGACGTACATGCACACACTGCCGAAATCGGGTACTGGCTGGCTGAAAGCCACTGGAATAAAGGGATGATGTCGGAGGTCGTGGGAGGCTTCACCAAGTGGGCTTTCGAGTCCTTCGAAGGCAAAGATGGTCAGAGGATGAGGAAGCTGTACGGCGGAGTGTATAGTTGGAATCCAGGGAGTATGCGATGCTTTTTGAAGAATAGGTTTGCACCAGAAGGTGTGATGAAGGGCCAGGTTGAGAAGAATGGCCAGACATTGGACTTGCACTGGTTTGGTTTGACAAAGAAAGACTGGGAAGCCAGACAGTGATCTTGATCCCGAGGGCTTCTTGTTGATGAGACCGAAGTCTTATCAAGGCCCAGGGCGTGCTATGTAGGCTTGAAGGCGCATGAGGAGTATCGTAATCGGTACATTGTGTCTTGCTTGCTTCACCACCACACATCCAGCTCCTGTGTATTGGCTGCCTTCAATCAATTGCAGCGTCTTATCTTCCCCTAACAAATCTGCCAGACTATACACGGCGACCTTTGCCCCTCGCCAGGTTGTCGTGTGAAACTCTAGTTCGGGGAATCGGATTCGCGGCTGCAGACGTGGAACGAGTGGATCGCCATACCAAGAAGGCGGTGTATGAGTGACTTTGGGTGGAGCATGGGGGTCCAGCTTGTCAACGTAGCTCTTGGCGAAATACGACGACCACTTGTCCATCTCATCGTACGTGTCCTCGGCAAGATCCTGAGCATCGTCTGCTCGCGTGCGCAAGGATCGGAAAATCAGCACGCACGAGACATGGTCGATGCTCTCAATATCCTCGGTTCTGGGGCTAGCAACGGGTGCCAGGCGTCCCCTGAACCCAAAATTCCAGCTCAGCTTCTTTATAAGCTGTTTCTGCATAAGGTCCAAAATCAGATCCGGCAGATCCTCTCTCCAGACCAGTTTTTTCATGTTGTCGGAGCCCAGTTTCTCTGTCATGCGCGAGTAGGTGCCTCTCTGCCACTGCTTCTTCTTGCCCAAGTGTGTGGTCATCCAGTGGCTGCCAAGGAAACGATACGGTGGTCCAAGATGTTCCTTGTCTGTAGTGAGCGATACTGGGAGGAGCCATGGCTCGTTGGTCGTAGGGTGTGGGCGAGCATGTAACGATGTGAGGAATGCAACGGGGAGGGAGATCAGGGTCGCGCGGCATTGGCGAACTGGTGATGCCAATGCATGAGCTACACGACGTGAGCACTGATCTGCCGTGTACAGTCATTGTCATTGTCATTCACCATAGGGATTTGCTTGCAGCCTCTTCTGGAAAGGAGTGAACTCCGCGGCTTTAGGCTGAGCCTTGGTGTTTTCCCACCTTGACCTCTTGTCCAGTACTATGGGATCCAACAGAGGAGGGAGAGGCAGGTCTTTTGCGCTCTCATCTTTGCGCGAGCGTACAGTGTGGTGAACCTTGTCGCGTATGGGGCTGAGGTCTTCACCCGTCGCAATGCAAACGTGAGTGTACACAGAGCGACATTGCGCTGACAAGGCCTTGCCAGTGAGACCAGAGTGTGGTCCCAGGCGATATGCGCGTCGGCATAGCATCGGCGGGGGAGCAATGCGTGATGGTGTTGTGTAATGAATCGTGGAGTAGAATTGCTCAAGTCAAATCATCGGACCTCCGTCTTGGCAGAGAGCTACGGTGGACATCGTCTTCGAATCGCACAAGCGGCTTCCCCCACAACACACACAACATGGCAACAATATTACGGCGTGGCGCAAGGCCGTCAGTCTTTCAAAAGTGCATCAAGAATGGGAGCCGACCAATGTCGAACCGCTTCGGCTTCGGCGCGCCGTTCCCGTCACACCAAGAGCAGCGGCAGTCACCACAGGCCTTCAGCCCAATTCCATACGTGACAGAGTCAATGGTATGTTGTGCTTCCATATCTCATCACATGCATAATCTAACTTGATAGGGTGGAGGCTTCAAAACCTCGGATATCTTCTCGCGACTACTGCAGGAGCGTATCATTACCTTGAACGGAGAAGTCGAAGACTCCATGTCCGCTGTGGTCATTGCGCAACTGCTCTTCCTCGAAGCAGAGAACCCCGAAAAGCCAATCTCCATGTACATCAACTCGCCCGGTGGAAGTGTCAGCGCAGGGCTGGCAATATATGATACCATGAACTACATAAGAAGTCCGGTCAGCACGACATGTATGGGCATGGCCGCTTCCATGGGCTCATTGCTTCTTGCTGGGGGAGAGCCTGGTCAGCGGTATATTCTGCCGCACGCGAGGGTCATGATCCACCAACCAAGCGGTGGTTACCGTGGCAAAGCAAGCGACATTGCAGATCACGCGAAGGAGATCTTAAGGATACGGGATAGGCTGAACAGGATCTACCAGAACCATCTCACAAAGGAGCGGACATTAGAGGAAATTGAGAAGTACATGGAACGCGACTACTACATGGATGCAGAAGAGGCTGTGGAGTTTGGCATCGTGGACAAGATTATGGAGAAGAGGGTCGTACCGGGAAAGGACGAAGACAGCAACTAGGCACCAGCGCGAGTATACAACCAATGCCTGAGCGATCTTGGGAGCAATGCATGATGTCTGTAGTACGAGTAAGGAACCATTGTAGGACTGCACGAGGCATACGACTCAGGTGGCCCTTCATCCTGTATGATCCCGAGTCTAAAGCCGAAATACCCTCGTCGCTTTACACTTACACTTTACAATGATGGCGACAAACAGCCTCGTCATACGTTACGAGCCATGTTCGGACCCAATGGGGTTTCGGCAGCGGGGTCGGACGAATAGGAACTCGACATTTGTGAGCACTGGACTTATCTCATGCGACGACTGATCGCGTCTTACACAAGAACTTCGACTGCTGTCTGATACGCTACCACTGATGTTACACAGGCGACAAACAGCAGATCATCCTTGGAATTGACAGGAAAGTCGCTGAAACGATAGGCCTCACTTGAAGTCCCCTTTCTCTACTATCCTCATATTCCCTCTATATCTCGAAATATAAGTCAAGGTGAAGGCAAGTCGATCGCACTTGCACGTGAACGCACGCGGCACTAGCGCGGTATGCACTCACCTGCTTCCTACCTAGGTACTGTTACGTGCCTGCCACTTTCTCCTCCCCTCACTACACTACGACCACACTATCGCAACGTCGCTACCACGATAGTGTCGCTGCAAGCGCTTCATATCCGCCATGGATATCTTCATCACCAACGTACGTCCCTCGGTCGCACAATTATCCAGTCACCATTTGCTAGACGCTAATGATTTATTTAGGTGCCACCCCGAGTCAACCGTGTTGAGCTCAGGATGTTTTTGAAAGACAAGCTACAGGCACATGACATATTGGCTTTCGACGTCTTCAAGAAGGTCGGCGAGAATTGGGCAACCGTCACTGTCGCCCATGAGAAGAATGGTAGGAGCTTCATCAAACGACACGGATTTCGCGGTCCTGAAACACTGAAGTTCAAGTCTGCGCCCCTCGGTGTCAAAGCCAGTAACCGGAAAGGCCAACCTGAGCCGCTAAAAGTGCTTTCGCTACAAGAGAAGGAGTCTACCATGAAGGCAAAGCACATACGTCAACTTCCTACTGCGCGACATGACGGGTCCCCAAGTTCAATCTTCCCAATTCATTGTTTAATGACCGGAGTCTGGGGCTACGATCACTTAGGCAAATTGATTTTCGACCAGAAGCTCAAGGATACACGTGCAGGCTCTGTCATTTTCGGCAAGTATGCATTAATGATTTATCTCAAGAACGCGGCCCACACCGAAGATGACTGGCATTGTCGGATTGACATTCCATACGCCATCCTGGAACACACTCTCCCATCCGTCGACAATGGTACAAGGGGTTCGATTACCCTTACTTTGAAGGCGCCACCAAAGATCTATAAGATCTTGGACACAGAAGACCTGCATCTCTATACTGGCCAGTTGGCTCCACAAGTCGAGGTCAGCCTCGGTCAGCTCATGAGAGATTTGAAACTAGACACCGCGAGTCGCAGGCCAAAGCCGCCTAAGTTGGAACGACTATGTCGTCTCCACCGCCAGTCTGACAAGAACACGGCCTTATGCATGGTCTACAAACTCCAATTCCCGGATCGGCATTCAGTACGTCAAGCATGGACTTTCTTAAAAAGCTTCTCTGTGCCCGAGCTACACTGTTGGAAGACTATGGTGCCCCATGTGCCTACCAAAACCATCGAGGGCGACTTCAACGATCTTGTGAATCGTGTATCAAAGGAGGAACTAGCATATGCCGTACAGTTCCAGATGTTTGCGCTTGTCTTCGAAGGCACCATCACCCCCAGGAAGATGACTGAGATGTTGCCCTCGATAGTATCGATGGCTGATATTTACGGTCCATTAGTAACGGCTTCCGCTGTCAGATTACTTCAAAGCAAGGTTCCTACCCCTGGGCCGCATGTGGGATCAAGCGATTTCCAGATTACCACGCTTCGTGACTTGTTGGCGCAGGGCATCAAAATGAGCCAGGACACGGAGCACTATGTAGCGAGCAACAAGCGGGGACAGCAAGACCATGTCGTCTTGACTCACAAGGCTACGATCACACCAACTGGTACATACTGCCCTTGTGCAAGGTTCTCTTGATATATGGATCGCCTCAGTGCTGGTCAGTCAGGTTCATCGTGGAACATAGTACTAACACGTCTGCTCTCAGGTATCTTCCTCCGAGGTCCAGACGCGGACACGTCGAATCGGATCCTGCGCAAGTACTCACAATATACCGACTACTTCATGCGCGTTTCATTTACAGATGAAGATGGCGTGTCAGTATTCCATGATCCGAAAGCTTCGCAACATGAGGTATACGAACGGTTTCGAAAGATTCTTCGAGAAGGCATCCATGTAGCAGGTCGGCACTTCGAATTCCTAGGATTTTCGCATGCCTCGCTGCGGTGCCATCAAGTCTGGTTCATGGCCTCTTTCATATTCAAAGGTTTGCCAATTTGTGCAAGGGACGTGATTCAAAATCTGGGTGACTTCAATGGATTTACCTGCAGTGCAAGATGCGCTGCTCGTATCGGACAAGCATTCTCCGACACGATCTTTGCTGTCCAAATCCCCAGTACCGCTACTATTCTGGAGACGAAGGAAGACATCACGAGGAACAACAGAGTGTTCTCAGATGGATGTGGAACGATGTCACTCGAGTTGTTCCAACTGCTGTGGCGTAAACTTAATCCTCAACAACGTCGGAAACGCCCAACAGTGCTACAGATCCGGTGCCGCGGCGCCAAAGGAGTCCTATCGCTTGATAGCTCTTTGGTTGGCGAGGAGCTACACATCCGCAAAAGCATGACGAAGTTCATTGCTGGATCAGAGTGGAGAGACCTAGAGATTTGCAGCGCTGCTTACAGGCCACTGCGAGTGTACTTGAATCACCAGTTCATTAAGATCCTGGAAGACTTGGGGGTTCCTCCGCAGAACTTCATCAAAGTTCAGAACGAAGCTCGAAAACAGCTCGAGCTGATCGTCAAGCATCCGCTAAATGCAGCTGACTTCCTACGTAAGTTAATCTTAGATACCTCTCTATCTGTCTGCGCAGACACAAGACTAACATCAGGACAGGCTACTCTCACTCAGCTGATCACGCCAAGATCCCGAGGTTGTTTGAACTAATGCACTACGCTGGACTGTCATTCCAAACTGATCAGTTCCTATGTGAAATCGTCGAAGTTGCCGCCATGTCAAGTATTCGTGACTTGAAGTATCGGGCTCGGATTCCCGTAGAGAGTGGTCATCTCCTCTACGGCATCATGGACGAGACCAACACGCTCAAAGAAGGCGAGGTGTATGTCGCTACGGAAGACGAGACTCCTAGTGGGCGGCGGGAAAAGAACATCCTTATCGGGGATCGCGTCGTAGTGACTCGAGCCCCGGCGCTGCATCCTGGAGATGTACAGCTCGTCTCCGCCGTCAACGTTCCTGACGGCTCGCCACTCAGATCGCTACACAATTGTATCGTCTTCTCACAGCAGGGAGCTCGTGATCTCCCTTCGCAGCTCAGTGGTGGTGATCTTGATGGAGATTTGTTCCACGTCATCTGGGATCCTCTACTGATTCCCAAGTACACGGTACCAGCGGCAGACTACGCTGCTGCTGCCCCCTTTAATCTCGGTAGACCTGTTGAGGTCAACGACATAGTCGATTTCTTCATCGGGTTCATGCAGAACGACAAGCTGGGTCAGATTTCTAATATGCACAAGATCAGGGCGGATAAAAGGGAGAATGGAACGTTTGATAGCGATTGCATCCTACTGGCAAAGCTAGCTTCTGACGCTGTTGACTTCAGTAAATCCGGTGTCCCAGCCAAAACCTCCGATATTCCACGCGACATAGACATAATCCGCCCAGACTTCATGGCCCCAGGTCACAACTTCGTCATCAATGACCTCGGCAGCACCGAGCTTCAAGATCTAGAGATAGAAGACATTGAGGACCCAGACAGCCTCAGCATCCTCGACCACGACATGTCGCGAGTGCGCTACTACCGCAGCAAAAAGGCTCTTGGCCACCTCTACCGAGCCATCGACGAGCGCGAATTCTTCGACCACATGAAATCCGACTTCGCCGCGATGCAGTCCTCCACGCCGGGCTTGTCCCTCATGCAAAAGCTCGAGCAATACATCGACCGCGAAACCCATCTCGTCCAATGGGCGCACCACACCACTTTCGCCGAGGAACTCCGCGAATACTACGAGTTCAACATGATCGACATCATGGACACGATGCGCGTGCACCGCAGAAGCCCCCTCACTGAGCTTGAAGTGTTCAGCGGTAATATCCTGGGCAAGAAGGAGCGCGCATCCACGCGGTTTATCCGTCAGGCCAACGAGGACGTGCAGGAGCGGTTTAACCGCGACGTTTCGGGTATTGTGAGTGACATTGTCCGTGGCGATGGGGAGGGTGACGCAGAGGCGCTGCCAAGGGCGATTGCGTGCTTTAAGGTGGCACTGCAGACGGAGGGCTGGGAAAACCAAGTTCTGATCAAGAGCTGGAAGTACGTCGCTGCTTCGGTGTGCTTGGAGCAGTTGTGGAAGTTTCAGGGCGGGAGTTTGAGGCCGCTTTGACGTGGGCATGGGTGACGGAAAGGGTGTGGCTATATGGCGTTTGCAGAGCTTGAGCTGCACGTGGGATATATGGCTGAAGGGCCTTCGGCGCATAGCTAGTAATTGCTCGCATGCTGTGATTAACCTTACCTTGAATGGCGATCCGTATGACTCTGAACCTCGCTCTCACATATCACACCGAACATTACATAGCGTCGATGAAGCATAGTCCAGACTAGCAGCAAAACGATTTTCTGCACCTCTTTCCGGCCAGTATGGGCAATCCGGTAGTTGCTATTGGACTTCTCTCTTCCAACTCCAATGAGAGATACTCGTATTCGAAGAGAAATGACTGCACAAGATTCCCTCAAGTGCTACATCGATCATCGGGAACTTCTTCACTTTTGCCCAATCAAGCAAATCGAGCTGAAAGCTATCAAGTTGATCAACGACTACGCAAGATGGCACTGAAGAATAGCTTGAAGATGTTGCTAGAATCATAAGATTGTAGTTCTTGTTTTCATTTGTGCATTTCAATTAGCATACGTAGCTTAGCATAACTCATTTCATATGCTGACATTAGATCGATGTAATCCCCATGCTCAACCATTTGTCTAGGTTCAGCAGCTAGACATGCCAATTAATCCCACGGATTTATACAAGTTCGTACATTGTGCCGATGGGATGAGGGTGATTGGGGGGAGTGTTGGAGGGGTAAAAAGGCATCGATGATTATGTGCGTTACAGACTTGGCGAGGTTGCGAGGTGCTATTGGAGTGGACTTCTGGGAAGCAACTACTCCAGCGCATAGCCGCATGTGTTTTCCGGCAGCTCCGTCGATATTTTCATACTGTTCACACCACCCATAAAGATTCGTGGGGCCAACGAGAAACCTGAGCTGACAGCGGGGTCTCAGCCTTATGTCTTACCATTTTCGAAGAAATCAACTTTACTTGTCCAGATGATAGCTTTACCTACTAAGTCTGATCACGGTGCTTGTTTTTGGATATTGCTATGATTTCGTTGATCCTTCATGTCTCTATCGGTGCCTTGCAAAAGATATGCACCCCCCTAGAACTTCTATAATGACAAAAGTCTATGATAAATAATGATGTAACAGGAGAGCGGTGATGTACTTGATGATATCATATTGCGGGCAGCAATCTTAGAGGTTAGAATTATCTAGTTCGCTCTAAAAGTAACACCTATTAACGGCTATCTAGACCCTCTTAGACTATCACGAAGATCTAAGCTAATAGGAGTATACGGAGGTGTCTCTACGCTCTATTCAGTCAGGCTGAGGGGGGTGCACATCTTTTGCAAACGATAATATTCTGATTGCTTACCGCGATGAGTGTTGATAATTCGCCTGCTGCTAGGAATCTGTATGCCTTACTACGTACGAGGGACCCAAAGAGCCTTGTAGGAAGGATGGCTCTTGCACTGATAGTAAGTAATGCACCTCCATGTTTGTACTCATCTCGCGCGGGTGGCAACATTGACGTAGCTTGTGCAGTCAGGTAATCCGAGGAGTCAGCGTCGGCTTAAAATGGCTACCCATATCATTGTACATGATCCACTTTTATGTTGCAGAGACATACGGTCGCCAAATTATCAGTACAGTTACCTGCCACCCAGATATATCCGTATATTGGTTCTACAGCCTGGTGCACGCTACGAGCCGTTTCGAGGACATTTCGTCATCACCCCGATCCATAATGCAGTCTAATATGAGGCTCTTTCATACACTTGGGGTGATCCAGTGCAAGCCGGCCAGGTCCTTATCAATGGTGAAGCTTTGCCGGTAGCCGAAAATCTTGCCAACGCGCTTGAATATTTGCGTATGCTACAAGGACCACATGATCTCAGGATTTGGATCGACCAGATATGTATCGATCAGGGTGATGTCATTGAGCGTGGGCGTCAAGTTGCCATGATGCGGCTGATATACAGCAAAGCTGAATGTGTTCGCATATGGATAGATGCCCCTGGACTGAAGGATACGAGCGAGGTAGTGAAACCCCTGAAGACATTCCAATTTCAGGACAGTGAATCGAACTTTGGCCTCGGAAACGACCTCCACGTTTGGGTACCTTTGAGGGGTATGTTCCATAGCGGATACTGGAAGCGATTGTGGATGTAAGTAGCCGTCAACTTAGGCCGAGACGAATCGTAGCTGACATAACATGCGATCCATGTCAGTCGACAAGAGATATTCTATGCACAGCGCCTCACGCTTCAGAGTATGAATCTTTCAATTTCTCGTACCATTCTGTCACAGTTTCGCAAGAGCTGTGATGAACACCAACTCTAAACTCGGTACAAATATAGACATGCACTCGTGAATGACATTGAACGCGGTATTGAACTGTCGAATCTTCGCTGATAGGGCTCTTGCATCCAACAACCCGGGGAAAGAACAGCAAACGCTGATTGATTTGCTTACAGAAATTCGCGATCTGGAATCATCTAAGTTTCATGATCGCGTGTACGCAATCATGCACTTGGATTATGCCTTTCGAGAGGGAGAGATTGAGGTCAATTACACCAAAACACCTGGTCAGGTCATGCTTGATGTTGCCAAGTACCACGTGAACAAATTTTACAACCTTCGATTTCCACATGAGAGCATCCGGCGGCTCCCTAATCAGAATGGAATCTGCGAACATGACTTGGATCGCTCCATCCCCACATGGATTCCGTTGACCTGGAGGGGGCGGCATCTTGGAGGGGTTCCTGTCAAGTCTCGACAGCGAAAATACGAAGCTTCTGTGTACGCTAGGAGTGACAACCCTTTTTTACACAGCAATTCTGATCTTGGGGACTACGACGGAAGCAATGCCGACCAAAGCGACTTCGATCACGACTATTCTGACAGAAGCGATTCTGACGAAGGCGATTTTTCACGAAAGGGATGTTGGGGAACGGAATTTTGATTCTGATGACGAAGAGCTGTTTATCAAATGTGCTCCAAATTGCGTTGATGCAGAGACTATGCAATTACGCGCCTGTGGGTTCCGAGTCGTCAGCATACAGAGTCCGTTGAATCTTCCAGACAATGAAGAAACGATGACGCTCCTAAAATTTTGGTCTTCTGCCCTTGGCCAGCATATCCACTCATTTATCAGCTGCGATACCCCATGGTTACCACTTGATATGATCCGAGCCTTAGCATCCATTCGACTGGAGATAGACAAGGAGACTATCTACGAGGCTTGTGTGGCCGGACTCACGCATCTATTCGAGATCAGTCAACGTCCAGATTCGGCAGATCGTCCCTTCGGTTTCCTTGGATCCACCATTCTCGACTTGCTAGAACCCGTGCGAGACATACACGAATACGGGCTCCGCGCTGTCAACAACATCACCTCATCACTTGTGGGACGCATGAGCATTTTAACCGACAAACACTGCTTCGGACTTGTACCTCGGTGTGAAATAGGAGCTGGAGACGAGATATGGATGTTATCCGGATGTTCTCTGCCCTCAGTTCTGAGACAACAGAGCAACGGAACATATACACATATTTGCACGGCGCGTATTCCTTCCCTCATGAGTGACATCACAGGACATCCGGACATTCGACGATTAGCACCAGAGGCTGCGCCTGGAAATCAAATTGGCGAGTGGTCGATTGAGAATATCGAACTTAGTTGAGGAAGTTGGTTTCCAAGCTATGTCGACATGCTGTCATGGCATTTGGAGAGGTTAAACGAACCAGGGGGTGGTATATGAATTCGATATATCGGCGCTTGCAAAGCAATGGAGCGATTGATGTCACCTAACTTCGAGGCCTTCAACCAGAGCCCATATTGCGCCGACATGTCTGAAACAGTAAAGCCCTTGGGTGAAGGTGTAATGGTTGAGATGAAGAATCCACGATAGCCTACTATACATCACAACCTGACATGGATTAAGCCACAGCTGCATGACTAGGTATGCGACAGGACACGCAATGCATACTTACACTTTAGCGTTAGACAGTCTGGTCGAGCGATGTCTCTTCACCACCATCGACAAGGTTGGGTCATTACCCGCTATTGGAACGTTTTGATTACTACTATCGTTGTTTTACAGAAACCTTTAGAGCCGTCCCTGGATTCTAGCTAATAGAAATAGCTAGCTAAAACCACACCAGGAGCAGGCGTACCCATTCACTGCCGCTGCGGCAGATACGCTCCACCCGCCAGTACCAAATTCATCCTCGTGAACTGCACTTTGTACACGGGACTCTCCTTCGTCGGGAACGCACTGATCTGGTCTGCACTAACACCAGTCTCCTTGGTCGGTTTCTTCGCCGTGACGGTCTGTCCGCTTGCGCCCTTAGTCGTCAAAGCGCCGTCGGTGCCAGGCTTGCCCTCCTTTTCGCTCGTTTCTTGCAGCACGTCCCATACGCGCACTGTCTTGTCTGCGCCAGCCGAGACAAGGACGCTTGACTCCACGCTCCATGAAAGCGACCAGATGCCGCCCTTGCCGTGGCCGCGCATGCGCTTGCGGCGACGGCCAGTCTCGAGGGTCCATAGGATGATGTTGCCAGCGTCGTCGGCGGATGCGAGTGTCTTACCGTCTGGCGAGCAGGCGATGGCTGTGACGTTGCCAGTGTGGCCGGTGAAGAGGCGCAAACAGTTTCCGCCGGAGATGTGCCACATGCGGACTGTGCGGTCACACGAGCCGGTGAAGACGTAGAGGTTGTTGGGATGGAAGGCAACGCAGTCCACGTCGGCATCGTGACCCACGTATATGCGCAGAGGCTCGATGTGGTCCGTTGACCAGAGGCGGGCGGTGCGGTCGTTGCTACCTGTGAGGAAGTAGTGGCCGTACGGACCCCATTGCAGATCCCAGATGGGATTGTCATGTCCCCTGTAGGCAACCAGGCACGTGAATGTGTCTAAACTCCATAACCGTACTGTCTTGTCTTCTGAGCAGGAGAGCAGACATTGTGAGTTCGTGGGCGGGCCTGAGGGATCGGGGTTGCTTGTTGATGGCGAGAATGCGACGGCATACACGGGGCCTGCATGTCCAACTAGACGTCGCGATGATGATGGTTGTGCATTTGGTAAGTCATCTGGAGAGGTAAGAGGGCTGCCGTCCATGGCCCAGACGCGGATGTAAGACTCGGACATGCCGACCGCCACGAGGTTGTTGTCGCCTGAAAAGTCGATGCAGTTGACACTGTCGTAGGTGTTGTGGAACGTGTACATGGTCACGCTCACGGCCGGGCCCACGCCGCCCGTTCTGCCCTCCAGTTTGTATCGGTCGCGGTGCTCGATGATCTTCTGTACCTCCATCGATACGTCTCGTGCCAATGATGGTGGAAGGGGCACCGTCTCCCTCGATGGACCGTCTTCTGTCGGCTCACGCTTGATGCGCTGCTCAAACTCGTCCACGAGTGTTGTTTGCCCGGGTCTTGGCGCGGCCTTAGCGTCCTCGTCCTGCAAGGCGGCTCGGACATCTTCCTGCAGCTCTTGATCCTGCGGGTATGCGCCCAGCTGCAGCCTAATTCGCGATGCGTCTGCCTCAGGATCGTGACGAGCTGTGAGAGGATGGCCAGGGGCATGGCCGGGGATGCCTTCGTCTTCAGCCGGCAGATCATCATCACCTTGTCCACCAGCTAATATAGTAGCTAAGCTCTTCTCTGCGTTTGCTGTGCGGTCGACAGTCACAATATTGATGTGCTCTCTAATCACATCGAGTAACGCCTGTGCGCCGTCATGGACCTTAGACTCCAGGAATTGTATCAGGTTGAAGAAGGGTATTTTCGTCATGGTCAAGCGGTACTTGTTGTCTTGGTACAGTTTTGCGACGCGGCTCTCGGTCAGGTGCACTGGCAACCGCACTTGTCGCAACGATTTGATGTCCTCCTCATGATCTCGCTCGAACAGATTCTGGAACAGAACGAAGAAGGTCTCTGCGTCCTTGGTGTAGAAATCGCGTACCAAGTCCAAGAATGAGTATACGAAAACGGGCCATAACAGCTTTCTCAGCTCTGGCTTGTAGATGTCGAGATTATCCTCCGTGTATTTTCGCAGGAGCTCGAATGCTTTGGTCGCCTTGGGGCCGCCAGATTCGGTGCTCTGGGCCGCAAGGGTCTGGCCGTTGGCTTGCGGTTCGGACTCCTTGCGGAGCATTGCCTCGGTGCGGACATAGCCCTTTTTGGAAAGATATTCTAGCACCTGGGGGCGTTAGAGCGGTGTTCAGTACATTGCATTGCGCCTGAGTCAAATTCAAAGAAACGAGTAGCAGAACATCCTGAACTGACAAAAGGAGTGTTGAGCAGCCTAAATAGATCCTGATAGTATTCGTTGTTCCCAGGGTAGCTGACCTCCTGTAGCACATGTGCTCCGAGATTGTGATGTGTTTGCGCGTTGCTTCCGTATGGCGTCGCCGCAGAACTTGACCGGTGACCTGGCGGATTATTGCACAGTGGTTGAGACATGCTGGGTGAGGCGCGCAAGTTGAGGTGCAAGTTGGCCGTGCGGGAGGTCGTAAATGTTGTTTTCTTCGTCCATGCAATAACATGACGAGGTTGTCGGCGCAACAAAGAGCTGTAGGCTCCCGTGCCGATGCATTCACTCAGAGCTTGACTCAAATGCGCCAATGGAGGCGCGGAAACCATAACATAGGACGACAGAAAAGGAAAGATTCACTAACAATTTGATTGAGATTCTGCTGCGACTGCGGTCCGGCGGCGCCCACAGGCGGAGGACCTTGCTGTGGTGCCATGGCGTTGTGCGGTGGCAGTCCAGCACTTGGAGGTCCATTTCCCACACTCATCGCCCGCGCAGGTCCTCCCCCATTTGGGGGACCGGACATGGCGACGTTGTTCCTTCTCTTTCACGGCTTGCGCAGATGCCTATATTATACAACGAAGCAGGGACAGCTCGAGGCGCGTTGTGGACGGCGGTCGAATCGAAGCGCGCGTGAATGGTCTCGATGGGGAGAATGACCGATTGAAGACTTGCGCGTCAGTTCAAACGAGGGAATGTATTATGGGGCGTGATTATGTGGCTATTAATGGTGTTAAAGCAGTAAGATTGTCGCATGCGGTGAGAGCACGGAAGTGAAGTGAAGTGAAGTCGATCGCGACTGATGTGGCCCGTGCGGCGCTGTGGGGTTTCCCGTCGAGCTCCAGCCTTACCTCAACTCCCATTCCTCTGCTCAAGTAACGGTCGCATCGCTCCTTTGCTGCCTTTACTTGGTCGCGGACATTCAACTCACAGGTTATAATAATATATCACGCGCACAGTCATTACCACAACCGCTCAATCGCACCTTCCTCTCTACCATGTCGACCGAGGCAGACCAAGCGATCAAAGAACAAACATCAACACCCGCCCAAAGCGGCCTCCAGTCCAAATCCTCGCCCGCGCAACAATCGCAGACATACAACCAAATCGCCGCGACCCACATCGACAAACTCAGTAAAATCAACGAGCAGATCCCCAAGCTGCTCACTTACTTCGCCGCCGCCATCAGCCAACTCACCAACAATCCCGTCGAGACGCCCGCGCAGAAAGACCAGCCAGACACGCGCCAAGCGCGCGAACAGGCTCTATGGATGCAGACCGTCTTTGTGGGGCTGAGTATCAACCAGATTCGCGAGGCACTGCTCACGCAGATAAGCGACCTTGAGCGGTATGGTGTCATACCGGCCACGCAGGCAAAGTACACGGCCCAGCAAATCGGCAAGAATGCTCCTCAGCATGATCCTGAAGCGAGTGTGAAGAACGGTGGATATGGCGACTTTGACGTGGGTGTGCTGAATGCGAGGGCGGCGTCAGGACAGGTCGGCGGGGAAGATGTTTTGGATCGGGTTAAGGCGATTGTGGAGGAGCTGAAGAAGCGGGATGAGGGCGAAGAGGATGGAGAGAAAATGGCTGTGGATGGATGAAGAAGGCTGGACGTGTGACTCCTGGACGTGAGCTACGTTCGGATGAGTCGCAACTCCATCACAACCAGCCCATCGCATTGCTGGCATACCCAGGCCACAAGAACACTGCGACTTCATGCTTACCAGCGAAGATTTGTCTGAGGTAGCGTTTTTGCTAGTTGGAGCTACGACTACGAGGGGACCTGCGTGCTCACAGCCATTGGCGTGATGCAGAAGACCGGTAAGAAAACCGCCACGGAAGGCGATGAATGTATTCCGAAAGGTCAACCATACGTCAGACCGAGCCAGTCAAAAGGTCATCTGGTAGCTCCAATAATCAGCTGTAGAGACAGCACGACCTCAAACTCTCAAGGACACCTCGGAATGGAGGACCAGCTTTTGTAAGCCAATGCATCCCTCGCGGGGGAGTGTCCAGTAGATAGTACCCGATAGAACACACCGATATCAACGTTCTCAATGCCAATCCTAACCACCTCATCTCCGATCAAACAACGCCTCCCCCATCGTCCTAATATCCTCCCGGCGTCGTCCGACAACACCCCCCAATCAAGCCCGCCCCCGCTCTCTCCCACTCCACCGTCTTACTCGCCAAACCCTCGCCCTCCGTCCTGCTCCCCTCCCACTCCCTCGCCTTCGCATTCCACTGCTCCCCTGAATTCGGATACACAACCATTGTCCCCCTCTTCACCAACGGCTTGAGATTCTTCAGCGCCGCGAGCGCCAAATCGTCTGGCACGCAGTTAAACCCCAACCCCACCACTTGCTCCGCGGTCTCGAAGAGCGCCGCGATATCGACGAGTGAGGTCCCGTCGGCAATGTGCTCGGCGTCCCGCAGCGTGAACGTAAACCACGCTTCCGCATCTCTAAACTCTGACTGAAGCAAATCAAGCAGCGCCTCCGTCTCGCGTCTACTCGGGATAGTTTCGCACGCGAGAACATCGACGCCAGCATCAACAAGCGCCTGGACGCGGCCGCGGTGGAAATCCTTCATGGCCTCGTGCGCGACGTCATAGTCGCCGCGGTATTCAGACCCGTCGGAGAGATATGCGCCGTACGGGCCGACACTGCCTGCGACGAAGAGGTCTTCGCGTAGAGAGGCGGCGTCGACGCTTCTCTCGCATGACTCTTCTAGTTTCGATTGGACGTATTCGTCTCGCGCTTCGATGGCGAGTTGCACGCTCTTTTTCACAACATCTTTCGCTTCATTCTCACCCAAGCCCAAGTGCTTGACTAGGCCGGGGATGGACGCTTGGTAGCTTGCGGTGATGGCGATGTTGGCGCCGGCGCGGTAGTAGTCGAGATGCGTTTTTTTGATCAGGTCGGGACGGGACAGGAGGATGGAAGCGGACCAGAGGGAGCCGGATATATCGGCGCCCAGGTGTTCAAGGTAGGTTGCTAGGGCGCCGTCTATGAGGAGGGGGATGTCCGGGGAAGAATTTAGGTGCGTGGATATCTTATTTGGCCGCATGATGTAAATGTGAACCGTGTTTTTGAAGCGTGAAATGTCTTGTGGCCTAGCAGGAGACGACAAATTTTTCTTGCAGGTGGTTGGATTTCGCGCTTTGCGACTGTAAGGACGGTCTCACGTGTAGGCTCGACATGGAATCTGGAGAGAAAGATGTGATTGCAAGTGCCGATATGCGGAGACGGGACCCGAAGCTAAGCGCCATGGCATTTGTACTTAGTCTCATTGTGTAATTTGTATATCGCATGGCGATCTGATTGCAATCACCGACTGAGTTAGATCGGCTCGCAGGAAAGAGTGTTGCTGCTATGAGAGACCGTTCAGGATAGGGTAGGTTGATACCAACTGGTCTGTGCGCACTCACCCTCGGGCCCTCTCATGATCGACTTCTCCTCCTTGTAACAACAATTTACTCAAAATGTTGAAAGTCACCTAGTACACCTGACCTCAGTGGATTTGATGAATTGACGAAGCGATGGTACACGTAAATCTTCGCCTGTCAACATCCTTGGAGGTGTGAAGGTGGCGCTCATAGCAGTCGGGGAAGCTCAACCCCAAATCAAACCAACCGTTTCCACAAAGTATCACGGATCAGAAAGACCAATATGAAACGCTTCGACAGAGAAACCCGGCGTGGTCTACACCGAGACCCACATCCGCCCGTAGTGGAATCCATGGTCCCCAACATGGATGTACCAAGCGCCGTGGAAAACGTTCCAAAAAGTCCACCTTACGAAGCCGTGGCTCCGGCTGTTCCACCCTCCAAGCCATGGCCCTCCGCAGCTGCGCCTTCCACGCCGACTTCTTCGAGCCCGAAACACTCCAATGGGGCGGGTGGCACTACGCCTCGCGTATCTACCACCACCTCCTAACCACGTGCGTCCCCCATGCTCGCACCCAAACACCCAACTAATGAATCGCGCAGTGAAGCACTCACATACAACTCCTGGGCCATCTTCCAAGCCGCATATCCCGCGGACATCAACCCCCACCAGCACTTCCACATCCCCCCATCCACACACACATACGCGCCCACCCTCCTGCCCTCCCTAACATCTCGCCTGTCTAATCTCTCCCACCCGCTAATCACACACCTCTGCATCCGCAACTTTGCCCTCACGTTCACGGATCTAACCTCCCTCCTCTGCATCCCCACGCTCGGCGCCCTCGTCCTCGAACAGGCCCGGCCCGGCGGACTGTCTGAGATTACTAGCCGCCACTTCCTCGACTTCGCGCGCGCGGCGCGGGAAAAGGGTGGTTTGCAGCGCCTCAGAGTGTTGGTGGTGTGCGATTTTGGGCTGGGTAAGGGCGTGGTGCTGCGTGGTATGAGTGGGTTCCCCGCGTTGCGGCTCGTCGGGGTGGTGAATAGCAAGACGAGTGTGATGCATGGCGAGGATGTTGCGGGCTGGAGATGTGTGGAGGAGGATGAGTGAGTTTCGACAAAGAGGATGGGGCTTTGAGGCGGTGCTGATTCGTGTGTTAGGTTGGGGAAAGGGGTGAATGGGGTGTGGAACGCGTCGTATTTGACGAGTGAGAAGAAGATGCAGGACTTGTATGGTCTTGCTGGGGCGAGGGGTGGGGAGAGGGAAGGGGGAGAGCGGTCGGTTTCGATTACGTATGGGGGAGGTATGGGGAGGAGTATGCATGAAGCGACGGCGTGGTTTGTCCGAGATCACGCAGTGCAGGCTGAGGAGATGAAGAAGCCGGAAGTTGGTCAGCAGAGAGTGGAGGGAGGGGTTGCTAAGAAGCGTAAAATTCGTACGGGGAAGCAGATGGATGTTGGGTCTTTCTTGGGCGCGTTCAAGTGAAGATGATGGGACGTGTTAGTCGCCATGGCAAGAGATGGATCAATGCAAGTCGCATTCGATTAACATCACCATGCAAACGCCATGTGGCTTTGCAATGAAATCGGTTCTCCTTGACATCGAGGAAGTGTTGTAACGATTTGGAAAGAAGATTAAAAAGTCGCTCAAGTTGCACAGGTACGGTAAGAAAAAGGTTCTTGTGTTACTTCCAAATCGCATATTGTGCTCAATAGTTGGGCCAAGTGCCATATATATTGCGGACGCTGACGACGCACAACCCTGTTTCGGGCAATATGATGTTCCGAAAGAATAAGGAAAAGGAAAGAGCTCCAGGCTTCGTGTGAAATGTCGTCCATCTGGGTTTAAAACATCGCGTTGACCTCGAACCTCAACTCATCATCGCTTACTCCACAGACCCTGCTGTGTTTCCCTGATCCGCCTCTCCTGTTCCTTAATCATCTCTTCAGTCTGACCATGTCCATTCCCTCTGCTATCAATCTCCATCGGATCCTCATCTTCCGCCGGTTGCGGGATATTCGCAGGCGGCGCACCTCTCCTCGGCTCATTCGACCGCAAACCATCCATCATAGCCGCCCCACCACCTGCGCGAAGCTGATTGATCGCGCGGATAGTATCAATCGCGGCATGCAGCGTCCGCCTGGCGTTGAAGTTCTTCTTGACGGTGGGCAGTAGATCTTCCTCGCCCTCGCCTGGTCTGCCGAGATCGGCGACCCATGGGTGTGAGAGAGCTTCGTGGGACGTCATTCGCGACGCTGGGTCGACTGTCAGACATCGGCGGATGAATTCACGGGCTGTGAGGGAGACGCCGCGCCAGTATTCGAGGGGCGTGAAGGAGTAGTCGGCGACGAGGATGGCCTGCATCTCTTCGAGGTTGGAGTCTCGGTCGAAGGGGGTGTAGCCGCAGAGAAGGAAGTATGTGATGACGCCAATGGCCCAGATGTCACTGTTTTGGTGTCAGCAAAGCTCGCACGAGTTGGATTATGGCCTTCTTACACCGGCTTGCCATGGCCTGTCTTCCTGAAAATCTCAGGTGCCATGTACCCTGGGGTTCCACATGTGGTTGTAAGGACATGGAATTGCTCCTCGTCCATGATTCGCGATAGCCCGAAATCAGCAATCAGCAGATCAGCGTTGTCCTCTGGTGTTCTGAACAGAAGGTTCTCGGGCTTCAGGTCTCGATGTACAATGCCGTGATCGTGGAGATAGGCAACGGCGGAGAGCGTCGCTCGGATCAGGTCGGCGGCATCAGACTCGTAGTAGTTGCCTTTTCTGCAGATGCGATCGAACAGCTCGCCTCCAAGCGCGAGATCGGTCACGAGGTAAACTGCACACAGAGTCAGCTATGCGCCCAGCCTAGAAGCATAGCATATCATACGGTTGTTCATGGTCTCAAAGTAGTCAACCAAGGTGAGAATGTTCCTGTGGCCCATGGACACTCTCTTCAACACGGCGATCTCATTTCTGACCTGATTGTATCATCAGCCTGGGATCGAACTGGACCATGGGGTGTCCACGAACCATGTGTTCTCGGCCAGCCATAAGCCTTTTGTTTATGACTTTGGCGGCATAATATCTCCCCGTGTCGATGTGCACGCACTCCTTGACAACCGAGTAACTTCCTGCACCCAGCGTCTTTCCCGTCTTGTATCGACATGGCTGCACTTGTGCCTGTGTTTGTGGTGTTTGCGCCCCAGAAGCGCCGTTGGAAGCCATTGTTGCTTATGTCCCTTAGGTTCGTTGCGCCAGAATGACAAGGTGTGTATGTTCTGCGTTCGAGTGGTGGGTGCGCAGTCGTACGCGTCGGGCGGCGTAGCCTTCGTTGGGCGCTGATGGTATTTACCGCGACTTATGGCGGATTATGGTCGCAGGGCAAGCGAATGCGATGCTTCTCGGTTGGTTTACAGGTCCAATCCTGTATGAAGCAAGTAACGATGGTCACGCGCAAAGATGTCTAGTAATCGCAGGACGTCTTCAGCAAGATTGGTGGTACGGTAGCTGCTGCCCCTCACTGCGTGTATTGGAGAAAGAAATGACACGTTTCGTGAACGAGGGATAGAAGCAGATGCTGGGTATGTGTTGCAATACCAGAAGAGTCGATAGCAAGGCTGCGAACGGTGAATCAAAGAGGATTGTGATCCAGACGTCGTTTGTGGAGGGGTGCGATCCGCGCCGGTGAAGATACCCCAGCTACCCGCGACTCGCTAATTGGTCTGATAGTGGAGACGTGGGGCAGCCATGCAGGGCCTCAGCTTGACATGGTTCATGTGAGATTGTACGCATACAAATTGATGTCATGTTTCACGTTCTATTATTCAAGTCTATCAGATCTTATGCCTACACCTGGTCGAAAAGGTCCATTGTCCATAGAGTGATTCGGAATCTAGTCAATCAAGACCGGGCTATGCGCATGCGAACGTAGTAGCACGTAGAGAGCTTATGACTTGACAAGCAGACTGTGTCCATCCATGGCTTCTGGTTGTTGCAGGCCCATGACGGCAAGAACTGTGGGCGCGACATCACCGAGAACGCCGTCGGTCTTCTTCAGACTCCAGGATTCAGGGGCATTGGCCATGACGAAGGGGACCTTGTTGGTGGTATGCGACGTCTTGGGCGTGCCCTCCTCTGTAAGCATCTCTTCGGCATTACTGGTGTCTGTCAGTATCGTACCCACAAGCGCCTCGAATTGATTACTTACCCATGGTCCGCAGTGACGAACAAAACGTAGCCGCTCTCCTTGCACTGCTCATAGACCCTCTTGATAGCCTTGTCTGTCTCTGTGCAGCCCTCGATGGCAGCCTTGTACACACCAGTGTGGCCAACCATGTCTGGTGGCGCAAAGTTGTTCATCAAGAACTCAAACTTGCCTGTCTGAATCCTCTCACAAAGCTTGTCGGCAACCGCCATTGCACTCATCGTAGGCTGGAGATCGTAGGTGGCAACCTTTGGTGAAGGAACCATCTCACGCTCTTCATTTTCAAACTGCTTCTCAACGCCGCCGTTGAAGAAGAAGGTGACGTGGGCGTACTTCTCGGTCTCTGCAACATGACACTGCTTGACGCCCTGCTTGCCCAGAGTCTCCGCGAGTACATCGTCCATTCTCTGGGGCGGGAAAGCAACAGGGAAAGTGTACTTGGGGTTGTATGAGGTCATGGTGGTAAGGGACATGTTCTTGGGGTAGGGGAAATCGGCCTTGGGTGAACGGTCGACATCGCCGAGGAGCTGTGTGATTTCACGAACACGGTCGGAGCGGTAGTTGAAGAAGAACAGTGTATCGTCGTCTGCACCAATTAGCATTCGGACATGCGGGTACTCGGGCTATGGGTTTTTCGTCTTTACCTTGTATTCTGCGCTCCTTTCCACCCACAATGATGGGCTTCAGGAACTCGTCGTTCTCGTCTTTGCTGTATCGCTCCTTGATGGTGGCTACCGGATCGCTGCTCTCCTCGCCCTCACCAGTTACAAGACCCTTCATGCCAATCTCTACTCGGTCCCACCTCTTATCGCGATCCATGATGTAGTAGCGACCGACCACTGTTGCGATGTCACCGAGTCCGATCTCCTTGGTGGCCTTCAGAAGAGTCTCCATGTAGCCAGCCGCGGACTTGGGGTCAGTGTCACGACCGTCAGCGAAGAAGTGGATGTACGCCTTGGGGACGCCCTGCTGCTTTGCGACCTTGAGGAACTCGATTAAGTGGTCCATGTGCGAATGGACACCGCCATCGGAGACCAAACCGCAGAAGTGAAGCCTGCCATTGCCATCGATTGCCCGCTGGAACGACTTCTTGACCGTCTCCACATCTTTCAGCTTGCCCTCCTTGATGGTCTGGGCAATGCGGACGGAATCCTGCCATACGACGCGGCCTGCGCCAATGTTCAAGTGGCCGACCTCGCTGTTGCCCATGAGGCCCTCAGGAAGTCCGACGGCTAGGGAGGAAGCCTCGAGCTCAGTGAATCCCTGTGCGGTTTTCGAGCCGTCCTTCATGAATCCATCCATGGTAGGAGTATCGGCGGCCAGGATAGCATCGCCATCTTTGCGCGAGTTTTCGGTCGCGATGCCCCAACCGTCAATGACGATGAGGACGGCTTTCTGGTCGACCTTGGCCATGTTTTCGGCGATTCTGGTGATGTGCGGATATGAATTGAAGAACCGCTTCTTAGAATGTATGAAGAAAAAGCGATCGCGCCGTGAGAGAGAAAACGGTAGCGGACCGTGAAACTGTTGATGGTGGGGCAAGGATGGAGGGGCTACCAATAAATCATCCCAAGGTCGGAGAGCTTCACACGTCACAACCTCCGAGCATCACTCCTCGTCAGCCCACATCGACACCCCATTACCCGCGGCCGCTTCTCTCAACTCCCCAAAAGAAAGCGCATTATCTAGCGATCCAATCGACGCGTGACAATTGCTCAACAATTGCTCGACCCGTGGTGGCACAGCACGTCTCCATCTCCAATCAACATCCCGGCATCTCAGCCCTGCGCGTCGGACAGGCGCGTCACCCCGCGTCGGCGCGCTCAACGCCAATCTAGCTTGGTAGCTCTATATTCCTTCTGAGACTTCATACATCATGTCCAGCGCTCCGACACCCCACGCACCGCCGTCAGCGCGAGCATCCCAGCCGCCTACGGGTGCTGCGACCCCGGCCCTGCCTTTTGCGGCGCCACCCATACCTAGCATTCCTCCGCCCTCTACCTTCGACGTCCTGCCCGACCTCCACAAGCTCCTCAAAAGGCTTCTCGAGACACCGTCGCAACCGCCAGCCGCGACCCCTACGCCATCCCAGTTATCTGCAGATGGCCCCCTCGAGATCCAGCACGTCGCAACCGCCGCGAACGACATCCGTCTAAAGATCCAAAAGGCACGACGCGCCGTCATGGCCCTGCCTGACGTAGACCGGACGTGCGAGGACCAAGAGGAAGAGATTGAGGATCTCGAAGCGCGCATTACCAGCCTCAAGACTTTCTTGAAGGAGCTAGGGCGCCCGGCGGCGGACCCCGAGGACGGAGACCAGAGTATGACGGGCTGATCGAAACACCCCATCTGGACCTCCATTGATGCTTTCTAGGCTTCATGTCCGGCGACTGCATGGATGCGCTGGACTTCGCGCTTGCTCAGGGCGCTGAATGGTAGGCAGTGTTACCGCATCTGAAGGATACCTACTAAGACATCAATTAGATGGACATAGTATACTCCAGCGAAAAGCGCAAAATGACACAGATCTTGGGTGTAGGTTACACGTTGTGATGGTCACGGAACCGGGCAGTCCCACGCTTTGAGGACTTCGTACACGTATGATGAAGCCTTGTATGAGATCGTACGAAGTGACGACTCACAACCAGGCATGAGACCTAGTCGTGAAGGTATGTCCAGCGCACCTTTCACATGTGTGAGATGTAGACAATGACGTCTACACCAAACAAAAGTCTCATGCAGTGTAGCGGAGGCATCAAGGGTGCGATGTGCCCCTTTATAAATCATGTCACGAGCTCTGCCTGTACGAACTCGCGGCTCGGAAGCCAAAGAATGATTCTAACATTTATGAATAAATAAACAATGTATACTTCCTCTTCCACCAACATTCTCTTCGGAATACAGATCATGAATACGTGGAACATAAAAATCGGACATGTTGACACCTAATCTGTGTCGTCAGACTCAACATTCTCTGGTTTCGACTATTCCCACGACTACACCGACAAGTACGCAGTGTTACCGCACCCGCGGGATACTTACTGCGGCATCAAGCAGATATGTCTTCTGTCATGAGCATGACCGCGCATATTCCAAGCATCATCGCGTTAAAAAAAAATAGAGTCTGCTCTGTGCAAATTTGCGTGATCTTTTCAAGTCATTATTCAAAGACCTACGGGTGGTAGGTGAATCGGTGTATCTCCCTACCATGCTCTCAAGAAATCATCTTGCATCCATCCAGATAAAAGGCCCATCGTAGCTGTGTCTGCCTGCAAGAAGTCGAAAAAAGAAGAAGAAGTAAAACATGTCCTTAGCAAATGACGCCCCCTCAAAAAGCTCGACGCTGACCTCTTTCCCCCCAAAACGCCATGTGAACACCATACACCCAAGAATCCGCTCCAAGCAAGAAACGCCATGCCCAACATCGGTGCTCCCCCTATGCGAAAACAGCATCATCGTCGTCGTCCCCCTCGTCATCACTCCCCGGCTCCGTCGGCCAATGCGCAGGCTTCACAACCCTACTGCGCTCCTCACCCGCCCTGGGCTTGCGTCCATGCACGACATAGACCTTGTAAAACGCATGCACGCTCTTATCCACAATGGCGGTCCTGAGGTGCGCAAGGTAGACCTCAACCTCGACCTCTGTCCAGCCGAGCGCTTTGACAAAGTACTCGATAGACCACGCGTGCACGCCCTCGCACATGTTCCACATCATGAATTTGCCGATGAGTTTGTCGCGCGGGTCCTTGGCCCAGGCGTTGACGGGGATGTGAAAGACTTCCTCATACACGTCCACAAAGCCCGCTTGTTCGTACCACGTCTTGAGTTTGTTCGCGATGCGCAGCGGCGTGCCGAGCTGCATGGCCGCCTTATCCTCGAGTCTCGTCCACTCGAGCAACTCCCAGTCGGCAGGCATGGTGCCGTCGGTGCAGTAGAGTTTTGGGTAGAGTTCGTGCGACTCCATGAAGCCGCCGGGCTCGAGGTTGTTGAAGCCTTTTTGGATGATTTCGCGAAAGTCGCGGAAGATGCCCATGGACATGCGCGTGTGGATGTAGTCGTAGGGTTGGGTGCAGTGCCACCATTCTTTGCGGCGGATGTCGTCGATGAAGAAGTCGACGTTGGCGGGGGTGCTATTTCAATCTTGTCAGTGGTCGTTTTTTCTTGTCGTGGAGGGGGTTGAGAAGAGATGGTGGCGTACACGTCAGGTTGTATCGGAGAGAGGTCGATGCCTTCTATCTGTTTGAGCGATTAGACCTCGTGACGAATACAATCGAGTCAATGAAGACGCACCCGAGCCTTTGGAAACTCTCTAGCTGCCGGATGTTAGTAGTATATTCGTGCATGTGCTGCGCCGCAGACGTACCCATTTCCAGACACCATATTCCCGTGCCGCAGCCAATGTCCAGCATGCGCTTCGGACGCTTGAGCGGGGCAAACCAGTTTTTATTCTGCAGCAGCACGCGTAGGATGGTGTGCTGCATGTTCAAGCGTTCGTTTTCTTGCTGGCGGTCGCATGTCAGTTCTTGGACGAATGGGTGGTTCGCGACGGTGAGGGGCATACCGCATCGTTGGGGAACGGATACGCTGTTGGAATAGTAACATTAGCAAACCTGCTGTCGCGGATAACACATCGTGTGCATGAGAACTAACCTCCGGCCATATATCGGTGGTATGTTCGGCCATGTTGTCGCACATAGTCCCATATACTCGGCGTGAGACTCTGTGTTTCTCTGCGCCAATGCTCGTCAGCAGGACACCCAGCAAAGCTTCGCAGATGTGCAACTCACGATTCAAAGTCCGCCTCGTCCGATTGAGGATCCGACTGTGTGGGAATGGGGTCAGCTACGCGTTGGCCTTGATCGCGCTGCGGGGTGGAATAGCAGCATTTCGCACGTCGCCACCTACATCAGCCTCGAGGGTGGAGTGAGTAATGTCCGTGTAGTCAGTGAGGTCCGTGGCCGACGACAGCGGGCGCAGTGGGCGCTGGCGTATGGTGTTCATTATGAATTAAAAAGGGCAAGACACGCGCGGGCAGGTGTGGGCGACACTCTTGTCGACGGGCTTCCAGAGGACAGACGCGGACCAAGGAGCTGGGTGGGTGAACGCTTCCAGCGACAAGGTACTGGATGGGCTGGAGGCGGTCAGACGGCGACGGTCTGGGCACCTGGGGAAGCAGAACGAGTCCCCCTCGTCGCTTAATAAAACACCAACACACCGCATCGCCAGCCTGCGTCTAATCACCAGTGCGTCTTTGCGCCTCCGTATGTACCCAGCGCGATTTGCGGCGAAACGCATACGCTTGTGTTACCGTGCCCATGGGTGCCAGCGACGCCCGACCGCCTGGTCGAGTTTTGACATGTCGTCTACACTTGTCATGTCATGCACCCGCCGCAATGCATTCGGGCCTTTGAGGCTCTGTCGGCCACGCCGCAATAATCCAACTGCGCCTGGATGCCGGGTCGACATCTAGAACTCCAACACCGCCGATATTGCTACCGGTGCTGTCTGCAGGACGTCAATTGACCGCGTCTTGGGATTCGCACTTGGCGAGCTTGACCACAACGTCGGATACGCTGGCGAAGATTTACGTTTTGTTGGGTCCGGCAGCATGCGGGTCTAGTGGATGTGGCTTTTGTAGCTTTGGGACTCGACGACTTAGTGAGGGGAGACGTCACTGGCTTGATGTCCGTCTATGGGGTTTTGGGATGGAAAGATTGATTGTTGTGAGTCTGCATTTTGATGTCACTCTTTGCTTGATACTGTAGACTAGCCAGATCTCCATGAAAGTGAGACATCCTGTACGCTTGCCCAGACAAACTTCAATACGGCGCTGTGTAACCCACCACCGACGGAAGAACATCGACTATCTTTTTCTTCGAATTACTGCATCCGTCCTCCGTTGACTGTATTCTCTCTCCGCGCGCCTCACCGCCTGCATGATATTCCCGCGTTGATAGTCCTCTAGACTAATCTTCGCACTGCACCCGTCGCTCTTAGCAAAGAACGTCTCAATTGCCTCACTGTTCTCCCAACGCGCCACTATATCCCGCCTCTTCGCAGCCGCCGGCAACAGACTTGCCCAATACTTCAAGTCTATGGACGACACCTTTGCGGAGACGACATAGTCTGCGACCTGCGTCGCCGGCGATCTGAAGAAAACCTGCACCTGCCGCAGATCAGGGAGGCGGGATTCATTCCCCTGCAGCAAGTTTTTCCGGTGGTGGATGTCGTTGAGCAAGTTCCACGGACAAGTAGCGGCGTCGCAGTATATCCGCAGGACTTCTAGGTCATCGGGGATTAGTTCTCTGGTGTACGGGCACGCACACGGACACGGGCGTCCACTTAGAGGTATGGAAGCGCCACTTAGCGAGAGAGTCTTGAGATGCGTCCATCGCCATGTGTTGGGTCGCGTGCCCCTAATGCACATGTTGACTTGCGCCTTGGTGAAGGTGAGTTCCTCAATGCGCGGCCTGGTTTTCTCCAGTAGCCCGTCGATGAGGAGAACTTGGCTGTGGTGGACCCCCCAACGAGGTCGTCCTTCTCCGGGAGCCACTAACAGCTCGCGATAGCCGGCTGTGTAGAAGCCGCCGAATTCCGCTGCAATGTCCAAGTGTTTCGCAGGGACAATGGCAAGGAGGACAAGAACCCAAAGCTCATACGTCTGCTTGGACTTGGTGACTTCGAATTCGCACTGATTGGGCAGCTTGCTCTCTGGGAATAAGTCGCGGACGAATTGTTCGCACGCGTTCCGTGCTGCTGGACGTGGGAAGAAAGGAGCGTGCTTTTTCCTAGTGTCCAGTAGCTTGACACGAATGATACGTCGGATCCATGTTTGGTGGTCAGAGAGAAGCTCGAGGTATCTGGGGATGCCTCGGATAGACACGGTACCGTTGCAAATCAGCGCCTCGTTGGCGATGTGTCTGAAGCGGCGATGTGTAAGTGCCAGGTGCCGGAAGGCGGCTGACGTGTCGTCGTTAACCGCGGAGGCGATTTGGAGGAGAAGCTCTTCGGGTAAGTGGAGAAATCGTGCCATGAGGACGTCGAGATGGGGAGGGCATGTTTGAGTAGCTAAAGCTTGAAGTTTGAAATGGTGGAGTGTGCTGGGATAGATAGATAGAAACCTCGTGTGTACGACTGATTTTACACCAGCGGTCAAGTCAGGGTCTGACCGGACTCTTTGCTGAACCATGGTAGTTGACTCTTTGTGAATGAGCGTCAAGCTTTATATCCATTGTTGTTTTTTTGGTCTCACCGGGCTCTCTGGAGAACCATGGTATTATGAGCGTTCTGATAGATACGCTACCGTGGTTACTAGGGACCCCTTCACCGCAGGTTCCGATAGGAATTAGGGACCGTGATGGGGAAGAAAAAACAAGAATGTCATAACAAATGAAATTTAGGGTGTTCGGTGCATCTCGGTATCGTATCGTCTCACCTTACCACTAATATACAATTACTGGAGAGGAACACGGCTTTTGGCGCCTCGCTTATTATACACGCTCAACGACCCTTCCTAACCCAATCTTCCAAGCCATCTTTCGTATCGTGCAGCTTGCCCTCGACCATGCCGATTCCCATGCCTGCGTGCGCCTTTCCAGTCTCGATGAAGTCGCTGATTCTTTGCCTTGTTCGGAGATGCGCGTCTGCCAGCACGGGGTATTTCTCCTCGTACGTCCAGATCAGGTCGCCTACGTTCTTCGATGTGATGGGGAGAACGACGTTGGCGGCGGTGATGCCGACTGCGAGCGGGACCGAGGCGCGAAGCAGAATGTTGCGGTTGCGCGTGATGATGGAGCCAGCCATGGAGGCGACCAGGACGTACAGCGCGCCAGGGAAGATCTTCTCGCCGGATTCCCTGGGAGGTGCTAGTGATCGTACGGTGCTTGTGAAGCCATGCTCGAGACGCAGAGTCTGTGTAAGCGCGTTGTCGACGGCCTGCTCACCACGGACGGCCTGGCGGTAGAGGGCCATGCGCGCATGTCCGATCTGGACGGCGAGGCGGTCGGTTGGTGTTGGGCGGTACGACTCGGCGGGCGTCTGGTTGGGTTTCGTGGTCGAGGGCAGCGTAGGCTCGGTTGTGTCCAGAGGCATTTCGTCGTAGATGGGTTTGCGGTTCTGTCACATGCCATCAGTCCACCATTCCATCAATTCTACCACAGCCTCCAATCTCCTCTTCCTCGCTTCGGGCGCGTGTAGACGTACTGAGAGATCCTCTGGCGGCTCTTCGGCGTCGACTCTCCGGGGAGTGAAGATTATGCCAGTCGAGATGGCGGCGGCCATGGCAGCGGGGACGGCGCGCTACAACACGTCAATCCATGTCTTGTTCAGCATTCTGAAACTACTCACCTGCCGTAACAGCGGTCTGAAGGCCATAGTGTGCGAGAGGAAGGCGCAATGGATGAGGTTGTCGACGCAATCAACCTGTGATGTCGAAGCTCCGTCTGCCGCCGAATTGGCACGGGCCACGCGCAACTTTCCCGTCCTCGGCATACGACATCGTTTCTGTACCCCCAGCGCCCTCACCCACCGCCGCCAAAGCGAACATGCTCAAGAGGCTCGCACGAAACAACTCTTCACCATGGATATGCTCGCGATGTCTCCAGCAATCCCAGCGCCAGCGCCGCTTCAATAGCACTTTCGCCGCCACAGCCACCGCACGCGACCATGCGCCTTCCGCCCTCTACGGCCTGTCTGCCAGCGGGAAGACAGATGACGATGCGCTGCGAAAAGTTTTTGATAATGCATCCTTCTGGGAGAGCTTCAAGAGGGGGACATCCAACAAAAAACCATCTGGAATCATAGGAAACAAATACCTTACACATCCAGACGGCTTCATCGACTTCGTCACCGTTACTATACAACGATGCAATGGTGTGGTGGAAAAGGTGTCACGGGCAGAGACAATAGAAGACTTCAAATATATGGTCAAAGACCTGGATAAGCTTAGCGATCTATTATGCAGGGTAATAGACTTGGCCGACTTCGTAAGAAGCACGCATCCGAATCGCCAGTTCCAGATCATGGCTGTAAAAGCATACCATACCGTTTTCCAGTATATGAACCAGCTGAACACTACTCCCGTGCTATATGACCAGCTCAAGAAGGCGTCAGATATACCCGAGGTGTTCGAGAGCTGGACTGAGGAGGAGCGCATAGTAGCAAGAATCCTCATGGAAGACTTTGCGAGATTTGGCATTGGCTTAGACGATGCGACAAGACAAAAGCTTGTGGATTTGAGTGGAGAGATTGCCGAAGTTGGATCGCAGTTCGTCGAGGGCATGTCACCTGAGACACCCACACTCAAGTTTGAATCGAAGAGGTTGAAAGGGCTGGACCCGAACTTGGCGAAGGCGTTGACGAAATGGGGTGAAACAAGAATATCTACCATGCACCATGAGGCTCAGGCGGTCCTACGATTCGTCGATGACGCTGAAGTAAGAAGAGAAACATACTCAGCTGTGCGAACGGCGGGCTCGAGTACCATCGCACGGCTGGAGAAGATGCTGAAGCTGCGAGCGGAACTAGCACAACTATCAGGCTATGAGACATTCTCTCACATGACTCTGGAGAACAAGATGGCAAAGACACCAGAGGCGGTCAACACGTTCCTCAAAGCGCTGTACGAGGACAGCCGGCCCTCTGTTCTTGCAGACCTTCACGAGTTGATGGAGTTGAAAAGAGGCGACGCCCACCAAGACAATTTCCCCAATCGCATGAACGCATGGGACAAGTTCTACTACACGCAAAAGATGCTGTCGACTATGGAGGGCGCTTACAAACAACGTACTGCCGACTCGCTCTCAGCGTACTTCTCTGTCGGTACCGTCCTACAAGGCATATCCCGTCTGTTTGATCGCCTCTACGGCGTCCGGCTCGTCCCGCAAGAGACTCAACCCGGCGAGGTATGGGAGGACGGTGTGCGCCGACTGGACGTTATATCCGACACCGAAGGTCATATCGCAGTGCTATACTGTGACCTCTTCTCACGACCCGGCAAGACGCCCAATCCCGCACACTTCACCCTCCGCTGCAGCCGCGAGATCCTCCCCGCCGAACTCGAAGAAATGCAACACATGCCGCACCGCTTCTCCTCGCCCATCGAAGCCGCCACAGACGGCATGTCTGTCTCCTACAACGCCTCCCGAAACAGCTACTTCCAACTCCCCACCATCGCCCTCATCTGCGACTTCAGCAAGCCCTCCTCCCCGCGCCCCACCCTCCTAAACATCCACGACGTCCGCACCCTTTTCCACGAAATGGGCCACGCCCTGCACTCCATCCTCGGGCGCACCGCCCTGCAAAACGTCTCCGGCACCCGCTGCGCCACCGACATCGCCGAGCTGCCCAGCGTACTTATGGAGCACTTCGCCTTCGACCCCTCGGTCCTCGCTCTCTACGCGCGCCACTGGGACACCAACGCGCCCCTCCCCCTCGCACTCCTCGAAAACAGACTCGCAATCGATAACCGCAACGGCTACTCTGAACTCGAGTCCCAGATCCTTCTCGCCATGCTCGACCAGGCGTACCACTCGAACCTCCCCCTCGACCCCGCGTTCAATTCAACGAGCGTCTATCACAACACGTACACGCGCTTCGCTAGCGTGCCAGAGCCCGCGGGCACCAGGTGGCAAGGCTTCTTTGGGCACTTGTTCGGGTACGGCGCGACGTACTACTCGTATCTGTTTGATCGGGCGATTGCGAGTCGGATCTGGAAGGGCGTGTTTAATGAGGGCAGGGACGGGGGCAGTTTGGACCGCGAGAAGGGCGAGTTGTATAAGAATGAGGTGTTGAGGTGGGGTGGGGGACGCGATGGGTGGGTTTGTCTTGCGGGTGTTTTGAGGGATGGGAAGGTGGGAGAGGGAGGAGAGGGGGCGATGAGGGAGGTTGGGAAGTGGGGGATTGATGCTGGAAAGTAGGGTTATGATTAGATGTGAACATTGTCCATGGGATTCTCGTTTAGCATAGAATTGATCATGACTTACATGACCAACACGAATGTCTATCTTGTTCTTTGCGCAAAGTATCTTCCTTCGTGTCATTTCATATACTATTTCTCGTTTTTACCCCTTACCATCACCCGTCCCGCCTCATATGCTCTCCTCCCACAACTCCCCCACCCCCGCTCTCTCCACCGGCAACATACTATACTGCAAACTATACAACGACCGCCGATTCATCGGCGGCACAAACTCGCCACTCGCCAGACTCAAGAACACGCCCGGCGCAAAATAATGCTTGCGGATGCGCCCGCCCAGTTCAAAGTACGGGTTGAACATGGCCCGCAGCGACAGCGGGACGGACTTCAGGCGCACATACGCCGCTTGCGGATGAGTGGAATCGAGGAGTTGGAAGGATATGCCACCAGGCAAGCGCGCGGGATCTTTGAGCCGCAGCATGACGGCGAAAAGCGGGAAGTGATTAAGACACGCAAGCCCGATTTCCAGCCCTGCCTTGAGCGCGATGACGGCGACGCGCGCACACGCAAACGTCAGGTAAAACACCCAGACGGTCGGCAGCAGGAAGAACTGCAGTGTGAATAGTATAGTGCCGAGGAGTAATTGGGTCGAGGTCGTAGGCGCACGAATTCGATGCGGTGGCGCAGGACATTGCGCTTCTTGCCGCGGAAGAGGTGGAAAAGGGAAATCATGATGGTGAGCTGCCAGTGGAAGATGCGCGCGGAAGCGATGTAGAAGGCGTAGATGTGGAGGGTGAGCAGGGAGACGAGGTCCATGAAGAGCGAGATTGGCATGGTGGCGCCGGCGAAGGAGGAGAGGCTGAGGAGTTTGATGAAGAGGGGGAGGTTGGGGCGGAGGACGGATATGCAGCCTAAGTGTATTAGCAGGTGGATGTATTTGGGGGTGGTGGTGGAGGGTGTACCAGCCCAGTAGTCGATGACCCAGAGGAACAGGTCACCCAGGAAGTCGGCGAGCTCGTTGTTCAGTTTCAGACCACCGGGCGAGCCCATGAGCCAGGTGATCATTCGCCGCAATCCGTCTATAGACCAGGTGCTGAAGATCATGTCGATGTTATCAGCAACTGCATTGAAGTTGTCCATGATGTACGAGGCCACTGCAATGCCCATGATTATGTCATTTGCGACGAGCCATAGACTGTTGTAGAAACGAATGTAGTCCGGGTGGCTATTGGTGATACTGCCCCAACTAGTTCTGCGTTTTCGTAGAGTAAGGTACTGGATGGGCCAGTAGCAGAATTGCTGTAGGCGTATGTCGATTTGCTGGGCAGTTGCAGACATGTCCTTGAGGGCGGGTCCATCAGGAGATGCTGCTGGACGCCAGTGCAGTACTCGCAGCAAGACTTCTGCAGCTACGCGGTTGGCCATCAATATCGATACAAAGACTTGTCCGAGTATAGGCCACAGCCACACATGGACGATGTAGCTCAGAGCCATGTACACATAGTCCCATAGATCATTCGCCGAATCAGCCACGCGCTCACTAACGCTTTGGGACCGATTCATGCGCCTGCCAATCATGCCTATGTTTTGCTGCAGCAAAGCATTGAGTTCCCACGAACAATTGACCTGTTCGATAAGCATGGGCAATGCGGCTTCTTTCTGTGATGGTGGCCGGGATATGACCGTGTGGAGCTTCAGCTTCTCTACAAGCCTTGCCTTCCGCTGGCGCTCTCTTTCTTCTTCTTCAAAAGCAGCGTCCCATGAAGGGTGCCGGATCTTGTCGTCTAGAGCCAGCGCGATGGGCGTCAAGGACAGGTATTGCATGCGCGCAGGTCGAGGTCGGTCATATACGATGATCTGAGCTGACACAAATGTCCCCTCCGGTTTGCTTAGATAGGGCAGCCTGGTCGCTCGATCGATGTGAAAGGTGAGGAGTTGTGGGTTGGACTGGCCCGGTGCTGACTTTGGTCCCACGACACCGAGCGCGCAGAGGGAAGAGTGCCCGCATCTTCCGAGCAGGTCGTGGATGTTGTGCGGACTATTTTGCAAGAGCCTGCCGACTGCAAGAGCATTCTCTACATGTCGGTGCTGGTCTCGATTAGCCCCAGCCTGTACGATATCCCACTGGCTGTCCACACACCTCTGCTCCGTAGAGTATGCCGACGACGAAGAGGTCTGTCGCGGAGTTTTGGAAGCCCACTAGGGTTCCAGGGGAGGTATTTAAGGGCGCATCTGATGGCCAAAATACGCGCACCAACCCCATGTGTGTGCCCATATCCCCATCCTGCTACCCCACTAGAACGATCCGCGCCGCTTGAGCTGCTCGCGCGCAGAGATGCCGGTGCCTGCAATTCGAGGATGCTACGCCTATCAGCTTCTCTCCTCAAATTGCATCGCGTAGTTCCACTAACCAGCTCCGTCTCTTGTGCTGCGAGGTGTGCGAACGGAAGGACCAGTACGACGAAGACCACGGTCAACAATCCAAAGCCCTTCGCAGCCCTTGTGATGACTCCGTGGTCCCAAGCGAATATGGCAAGCTCGTACAGGCGAGTCGCAAGGTCCCAGCGTGCAGTCGAGTAGCCTGCGACAAAGATTCCGAGTGTGAGTATGGAGAATGCGTGCATTTACAGCGTCATGCCAAGCGATGTGTTCGAGCTTCGATGGCGCACGTCTAGCGGTACAAAAGGGCCAATGCTGGATCGCGTAGTTTTCCGAAGGACGTAGGGGATATGGAGAGGAGCAACAGGCGATTCAATGCTCGGTACATAGTGCAGGAGACAGCAACAAGCAGCATACTGCAACGCTGCTTCAGCTGCGAACGTGGAAGTCCAGATCGTAAACCAACGCCACCCGGATTGGGACTAGCGCATTTCCCCGGATAGGAACCATCACTACCACGACGGCAACAACACCACTTGGAAGTACACACTACGCGTCTGAAGATGCACATGCGACCTGCAAGTTAGTAGTAGGCCGCAGGTTTCATCATCAGTCAACACATCTCGCCTGGTTTCGCATCATCCACACTAACAACCAGATTTGTCTCTAATTCGAGACTGCTATGCAGCAATCAAAATGGGCGCAGGCCGGTCAGCCAGGCTCGACGGGACAGAGCTTCAACAGGCAAAGGTAACGTACAAGTATGCGGTTTGCACACCTTTCACGGTCGAACCAGCTCGCATTGAGCAAGCCTCGGCATGTGATTGGCTAGCGCGGACGCGTTCGCGACTTACGCTCTCTGCCTCCAACTTTCTTTCAACGTCTCCACCACAACCTTGCGCGCCAACTCTAATACTCCTCTGCTAGTCTTTTTGGGGCACCAGGTACCAACTTCGCGCAGAGCAGTCTAGACTCGGGATTGAACATGGCCATTTGCACCTACTATCAACGTGGTTCCTGTCGCTTTGGCGGTAAGCGAAGAGCCGACCATCTCTCACCCATTTTCTAACTCGTCCCAGAACAATGTAAAAATGAGCATCCAGGAAGCCAGCGCGACGCAGGACGCAGCAGTGGTGGAACTTTCGGAGGAGGCTCGAATAACAACCGCTTCGGTGGATTCAATGGCGACCGCTATCGCCCAAACCAGCCAAGCGGAACTTTCGGGAGTACCAGTAAGTATTACGATTATATTGACATCGTCAAACGTGTCCAGGAATCCCACTATGTCTTCTGAATAGATGCTAATCAGTTTTAGGTAACAGAGATCCAAAGACTCTGCCGTACCATTTGGACAAGGCAGACATGAAGCTGGACCTTACCGACCAACGTCCCATCTATCCCCTGTCTTGTTACGGTCCTGGTCGAGGAGCACCACGACAGTTGATCGAAGGCCCCGTCGAGATCAGTCCAGAAGAACTGCGTGTGCGTTACTACTCACAACGACTTGCTGGTAATGAAGCTGTAGCTGTATGTATCTCTCTCCAGCCTGGCCGTACTTACTAATGCTTCCCAGCAACAAGAAGAGACTACGTTAAGTGAGAAGATGCAACAGCAAGTCCAGTCAATCCTCAGCGACCTGGACGGAGCTGTTCGCTATATCGAAGAAGGTGCCGATGTTCATCCCAACCGCATTGACCTCGCAAATGGAGCGAAACCATCCGCAGCCCAATCATCAACACCGAATCCTTTCTCACAAGCTTCATCAGCGTCAGTATCGCAAACTGCATCAAATCCGTTCATGAAGGCTGCGACGGCACCAACTTCAGCATTTGGCCAGGCGTCCACTCCAGGATCCACCTCCGCATTTGGCCAGGCTTCTACCCCTGGGTCAACGTCCGCCTTTGGCCAGGCCTCCACACCAGGATTCGGTCGACCTGCTTTTGGACAGCCTGCGAATCCAGCTCAAACGACCTCTGCATTTGGCCAGCCTTCGAACCCAGGCCAGGCTGCCCCTGGCTTTGGTGCAGCCTCCAGTCTCGGAGCGAAAACATCGGCTTTCGGTCAGACATCTGCAATGGGTGCTGGTGGTGCGTTCGGTAAACCAGCTTTTGGTGCATCTGGATTTGGCCAAGCATCGATGCCAGGTGTTGGTAGCGCTCTAGGGCAGAAGCCAGCCTTTGGACAGGCGTCTGCACCAGCTGCGGCAACTGGATTTGGTCAGCCAAGTGCTGTGGGACAGCAAGGGAATGCGTTTGGCAAACCAGCCTTCGGACAAAGTGCCTTTGGGCAGACATCACAGCCAGCTGCAGGGTCCTCACCCTTTGCACAGGCAGCTCAGTCGAGCGCTTCTCCGTTTGGTGGTCAGTCAGCCTCGACATCATCACCATTTGCACAGCAGCCAGCCTCCACAACATTGCCATTCGGTCAGCAACCACCTGCCCAGGCATCGCCCTTCGGCCAACAAGCACCAGTGAAGGCCTCACCGTTCGGCCAACAAGCACCAGTGAAGGCCTCACCGTTCGGCCAACAAGCACCAGCTCAAGCCTCGCCTTTTGGGCAACAACCCCAGCCGACGCAGTCAGCAAGTCCATTTGGTTCAAACCAAACCCAGCAAACAACAGCCCAGGCCAATCCGTTTGCTTCTTCTGCATCGCAGCAGACCAGTGCATTTGGCAAGCCTAGCCAGCCAGCCTCTGGCACGTCACCTTTCGGTGCACCACAAGCTCAGGCTGCATCTACACCAGCTGCAAATCCCTTCCTACAGAAGCCAGCGGCAACGACACCATCTGCTTTTACTAGTTCACCAGCCCCAGCTGCTTCACCTTTTGCACAGATGTCCACGCAGCCCCAGCAACAAGCTCAACCGGCAGCTCCATCTGGCGCAGCTAAGGAGATTGATCCCAAGGATCGTTTCAAGGAAGGAAAGCCCGAGGAGTACGAGGGCGAGCAAGGTCGAATCTTGGAGGAGATTTATAGGCGTGTTGGTCAACTGGGACGTTTCAACGATGACGAGGAAGTCCCACTGACGCCGCCGAAGTGCGAGTGGATCATGCCGATTCCGATACAGTCTTGATAGGCGCGGCAGTATAGGCTGAAGCAACGGCGTTTTCGGTGTACAAGATATCACATCAGTCAATGTAGGACTGTATAGACATGAAATAGCAACGACACTGGCATAATGGCATGGTCCTGGTGCGTGATCAAGCAATTTTGCTACTTGCTTTGTATTGAATGATTGTACCCTGGTTCTGAGACATGAGTTCCGTACGTCCGTACGACGGCGAGACTCTATTGTGTTATCATTTCTACAAGATGACATGAACTTGCGCACAGCCTGCAGATGCGCTGCACCTGTTGTGATATGAGCACAAGATAGGTTAGCGCGCGCTTATCGATAAGAATTGACATATTGGAAAAAGTTCACGGCTCCTCGTTCTGCCATACAGCTCAAACCACAACCAAACATGTCCAAAGATAAGAATGTCGAGCCAAAGGTTATAGATGCGATGATAGAGGATGTTTCTGTGAAGCAAGGGAAGAAAAGAAAGAGAACGACGCTGAAGAATGAAGAAGCACGTGGAGCTCCTGCTGCAGCAGCGCCTCAAGACACGGGCAAGAAAGCGGATTTCAAAATCAGTACCAGTGCAAAATCACACGTGGTTTTCGAAGAAAACAACGCCGGACATGTTAGTAAAGTTAAAAAGCACACTGGCCCGGAGTCAAAGTCAAAGCCACAGGAACCTCGCCAGCACACCAAGTCAAGCTCGACAAGCCAAAAGACACGACAACCAGACAAGTCCAGGAGTAAGCATTCCTCGACAGCACGGCAGCCCGAACATCGCGAAAATGTACCTCAGCACCTCATCAAGAAACGCGATGCATTATTACCTGTCCGCAAGGCACTGCCAATCTGGTCGCAAGCCGACACGATCAAAGCATCGTTGAAGAAGAACAACGTACTCGTACTCACCGGAGAAACTGGATCCGGAAAGTCAACCCAAGTCCCACAATTCCTTCATAGCGAACCATGGTGTACGAAATGTATAGCCATCACGCAGCCTCGTCGAGTCGCCGCGATCTCTCTGGCCCGCCGTGTCGCCGAAGAGATGGGCAGTTTTATGGGTAGCCAAAGCCCGACGGCCAAAGTTGGTTATAGCGTTCGATTCGATAATGCTACAGGACCGGGGACGAAAGTCAAATTCCTCACTGAGGGTATGCTGCTGCAAGAGATGCTGAGAGATCCGGCGATGTCGCAGTATAGCGCGATTGTGGTAGATGAAGTCCACGAGCGTAGCGTTAACGTGGATCTTATTCTGGGGTTCTTGAAGAACCTCGTCGCGGATATGGAGAGTGGGGCGCAGACTAAGCGGAAGGATCCGTTAAAAGTCGTGATCATGAGTGCTACGGCCGATGTGGAGAGTCTGGTGGAGTTCTTCGGGAATAGTCAGACTTCTGCAACGTCGAGCGAGGATAGTAAGATTGAGCGGCAGATCTCCACGTGCTTTGTGGAGGGTCGACAGTACCCTGTTAAGACGACATATCTTCCTGAGCCGACACAGGATTGGGTCGAGGCTGCGCTCAAAATCATCTTTCAGATTCATTACAAAGAGCCGTTGCCGGGCGACATCCTGGTGTTTCTCACGGGTCAAGATACTATTGAAGGACTCGAGAAGCTTATCAATGACTATGCTGAGGGAATGGAGAAGGATGTGCCTAAGGTGAGTTGATGTATCTTCTCTACTGCATTTACCATGAAACTGACAAATGAACCAGCTGCTTGCGCTTCCGCTTTTTGCCGCTTTGCCACAACACGCACAACAGCGTATTTTCCAACCGACACCATATCGCACTCGAAAAGTCATTCTCGCTACCAACATCGCAGAAACTTCAGTCACGGTCCCTGGTGTGCGCTATGTGATCGACTGCGGCAAGTCCAAGGTCAAGCAGTTCCGCAACCGTCTGGGCCTCGAATCGCTGCTTGTCAAGCCAATCTCGAGATCTGCTGCAATCCAACGCCAAGGTCGTGCTGGTCGTGAGGCAGCGGGACATTGCTACCGACTATACACTGAAGATGGCTTCAAGACCATGGAAGAGCGAACAACGCCAGAGATCCTGCGCTGCGATTTGAGCCAGGCCATCCTAACGATGAAAGCACGGGGAGTGGATGACGTGTTGAACTTTCCATTCCTCGACCGACCGCCGCGTGAAGCACTAGAGAAAGCACTTCTCCAACTTTTGCACCTGCAAGCACTGTCGGAGGACGGCAAAGTCAGCGAATTCGGCCTCAAGATTGCCAAATTCCCATTGACACCCACACTCGGACGCGTCTTAGTCGAAGCAGCCAAACCCGAGCGCGACTGCCTCCTCGACGTCATCGACATCATCTCCGCTCTCAGTGTGGAAAACGTCTTCTTGAACCTCGTCACCGAAGAGCGCAAAGAAGAAGCCGAAGAAGCGCGCCGCGAGATCTACCGCCGAGAAGGCGACCACCTAACTTTGCTTGTAACAGTCCAGCGCTACGCCGAAGAACGCACAGATCGCAAATCGTGGTGTGAGAAACACTTTGTATCTCATCGCGCGATGCAAAATGTCATGAACATTCGGAAACAGCTACAACAGCAATGCACGGCTCTCAAAATGCTGTCAAAAGACGATATCGACCAGGAAGTCTCTTCTGCGCCATCAGAAGCTAGAAGCCAGGCAATCTTGCGGTGTATGTTGCGAGGCTTCATATCGAACACTGCACGTCTGATGCCTGATGGGAGTTACAAAACACTCATGGGAAACCAAGCAGTGTCTATTCATCCCAGTTCCGTGCTGTTTGGCAGGAAAGTGGAAGCAATCGTATTCAACGAATTCGTGTTCACCGGGAAAGCATGGGCGAGAGGAGTCAGTGCAGTGCAATTAGACTGGGTGTCTGAAGTCGTCGACGCAATCATGTGATATTCTCATATAAACCCCCCTAATATTGCAAATACATAACCTTCTATCGTCGTCGTCCGACTCCCCCTCCACTCCCTTCCTTATCTGCAAGACTAACCACCTCCCCAATCCCCGCCGCCTCCTGCTCATCCTCCAGCGCGCGAATCTCCTCGCGGCAATCCCACCACTTCTCCTCCGACCGCTCAAACGCAAGCTTCTTGATCTCCTTCGGACTCTTCTCGCCCGTCTTCCCCCGGAACGCAAGATCATCAATGATGACATTCTGCCAGGCCTCCGACGTGCGCGCGTAGAACTCCCGCAACGATTCGAACGGCCTGGGGTGTGGCAGCGTGTCCGTAAGCGCGGAGATTTCTTCCTCGGGAGCTTCTTCGACTGGCGCGATGGCCGGGGAATCAGTGACGCTTGTGGGCGCAGTAGACGCGTCGTCTTCATCGCCCGACTCCTCCTCGTCTTCAGAATCATCTTCGTCATCTTCTGAATCCGCTTCATCATCACTGCCTTGCCAGTCTTCCAACTCGCGCTTGAATATCTCCACCACGCCATCTAGATGGTTCAGATTCACGCTCCACATCTCGTCGAAGGTGTATTCCCGATCTCCCTTTTCGTACGTGCCGCCGAAGATGTACAGATTGTCGCCCTGCACGGTGAGCGCGGCATTGAAGCGCGGATGCGGAAATTCATAGGTTCGCGGCTTTTCAATCTTTTCGACGGCGTCTTCTTCGGGCTCGTCTTTCTTCGGCTGTTCATCGTCGGAATCGAGCGATGCGGCGCCGGCTTTCATCTCCAGCGCCTTGAGGTTGGCGAGGAGTTCTTCCTCGTCTGCTTTGCCGCGCGCTCGACGACTGACATTGGCTTGTTGCGCGGCCTTTTTGTTTGCGTTGGTCTTTGGGCGGCGTAGGGTTAGCGGGACGTAGCGGTTTCGCTCGATGTTCCAGACGAAAGCTTGGTTGAAGAATTCGGAATCGATGGCTTCTTCGCTGTCTTCGACGTCGTGCACGCCGCCGAACAAGACGCCGCGGCCTTTGTGGTATGCCATTGTAGCGCCTGCGCGCAGGGGGTTGGGCGCGTTGGCGGGCTTTTTGCGCTTCTCCCATGATACGGCGGGGAGTGTGGCTGGAGCTACGTCTGCCGGAGGAGGCGTGATGCGGAGATACCAGCTGTCGTCGTGGACTTTGGGTTTGAGAACCATGCGGTTTGCAGGGCCGCCGCCACTGCTCTTCTTGCCTTTGCCTTGTTGCTGCTGTTTACCTCCGGCAGCTGTCTTGACACGTGAATAGCCGCCGTAGATGACGGCGCCTTGGTCATGGGGTAGCAGGGTGAAACTTGATCGCGCGTCTGGGACTGCGCGTGCCGCTTGGAGTTTGGGTGAATGCCATGTGAAGTTGACGCAGTCGTAGATCCACAAATCGTTGAGGTATTTCGTCGTTGCCGAAGTATCCTGAAATCCTCCGAACAAGATGACGTACTGCTTGTATCCGACCATGCGATGGCCGCTACGTGCAGGTGGTGCGGATGCTTTGCCCTTGCTTTCAATTCTTGTCCACTCTCTCTCGGTGGGATCTAACTTCCAGAAGTCGTTATAGTGGTAGAACGTGCCTTGTTTCGGTGAGCTAAATTCTCCACCAAACAGATAGATGTCCTTGGTGTTGGCACCACGACACCAAGCATGACCAGATCGTGGTAGTGGCGAATTTGGCGACGTGACCTTTTTCCAGGAGTCTTGCTTGATATTGTAGACCAACAAGTCATTGAAGAACTTCGCAGTTGCTCCGTTGAAGTACTCTCCACCAAACAAGAATAATTCGTTCTCGTTCGCTGGACTTGCGATTATAGTAGCAGATGTTCTTGCTGCTGGTGGCTCTGATGGCACTTCCTGTGACTGAAGTGAGCAAACAATTTCAAGGGTAATTTTCGAAGATACCTACCGTGATGGCAAGGAATTGCTCCTGTTCTTTTGCGTACTGAGCTAGTACAGCATCCAGATCAACGTCTTCAGCATCGGAATCAACCTCTTGTATCTTGCCCGCGACTTTCTTATCTTTCTTTCCAGCTTTCTTCTCTTGCTTTGCAGCTTTTGCGGCCTTGACTGCTGCCTTGTTTCCCGCCTTCTTCTTGTCTTTTACCATTTTGCGGATTTATTTCGCGACTGAAATGCGAAAGAGGCGATTTTGGAAGTTGCCCCACTGCGACCGCAAAATTCAGCAACAACGGCGGTAGGACAGCTTAGGTTGAGGCTGGTTAAGTTCACGTTCTCGCAAAGATGCCTAGAATTTTGTGTCAGTTGGTGTAGGTTTCCGCTACAATTGTTACGCTGTAGATTTACTAGAAGCGGCGGGTTGTGTCATCGCGGGATGTCGACGTTCTGGCGAATCAACGCTTCGGACACCGCTTCATTCCCCACTTATTTGCAATCGCGCATGAAGAGCTATTCAGGTGTGAATGTAACGCTAAAAGTCGCTCTAGTCATTCGCGAGTGCTATGTAATCGTACGCACATTATCCAAATTATTCCAACATTCAAAATATCTTTGTTGCCAGACAACGAACACCTTACGGGAGGTCTTTCAGTGAGCTACACACCCCGTCAAGCTCAGAGACACCGATTTCTCTCATATGAGAATCCGTGTGTCCAAGTAGTACAGCTTTGCCCTCCTCATATGAAAGCCAGCCGATATGCCGGAGACCGTACCCAGGATCTTTTGCAAAATCCAGCCAAAGGTCTTGCAGTGTTCTACCAACCGCTGTCTCCTCCGCAGTCGATGGTCCATGGTACTTAGAATCGGTACCGAAGATCAAAGGCAATTCGGCCGTGTGGTAGGCTCCTGGATACCCGGCTGGCGATATGTTAGGAAAGTTGCCGTCATACCTGTACCTGTAGGTCCTACGAGAACTCCCTTGTCGAAGCTCAGATGCGTGTGCTGCAGTACAGAGGGTTGTAATGTTTGTTATAGTGTCGGAAGCTGTTTGGGTGAAGTTCGGCCCCAGGGGTTGAGGGAGACCTATGTTGTATTCGTGCTGATTTGTTCCGATAATTGCAGGGATGGACGAGACACCTGCTTCCTCATACCATCTGGAATAGTCTGAAAAGACAATACGCTCATCAACCACAGGCAAGAATTTGAGGCTGACGTCTTCTTTCAAGACGGAGGCAATGTCTTGCCACGATGCCTTCCTTAGACAATCAAGTTGCGAGGGCGCAGATCTACAGCCAAGTGCTACAGCAACAGCCGTGAAGTTGCTTTGGGCAGAATCCGCGCTTTGTCTTACTTCAGTCGGGTAAAAAGCAGTAGCGGAGTCAAGGATCATTCCGCTGATGATGGGGTCTGAGGCGTAGGCAAAGTTGATATAGTCGACGGCTACTGCTCCCGAGCTTTGACCCCAAGCAACTACTTTTGATGGATCGCCGCCAAAACTAGCGATGTTGTCTCGAACCCACTCAAGCGAGAGACGTTGATCGAGTAGGCCAAGGTTCTGCTCCACTAGTCCAGGAGCGTTTGGGAAACCAAATATATTTGCCCGAACGTTGACGCTGATGACAATGTGTTCCTGCGTTCGTTGAACCCAGGATTGGGGGTTGTAGTACAGAGATTTCGTTCCTCCCTGAGTAAATCCCGAGCCGTAGTACCAGAAGATCACTGGTAAGTCTGTCCGTGAGCTTTGTGATGTCCAAATATTCAGGGTGAGGCAGTCTTCGCTAAAGTCCTGTGGAGGAAAGTATTCAGTTTAGTTGCCATGACTCGGAGAGTATACGCTGGCTTTGGTCAGGTCATCTGGTGGATTCTGAGGGCAGCCTGGGCCACATTGGGGGCGCTTCGCGACAGAGTTTCAGGCTCCCTAAGTTCTGATACATCAGGCAAGCTCTCCTGCACATGCATGTAATGGGTCATCATCCCGAGGTCTTTCAACTGCGTGAGAATGGTGGCTTATCATCTCAACGTTGCCTGGATTATGATTGCCGCTAATTCCGTAACAGACAGATCTTGCAGACGCCTCATTCCATCCCCAGCACACTTTCCTAGAGCAGCTTTCTTCGCGATATTGACGTGTCTTCCGAGCCTAACATCGAACTTCATCAGGACATGGCGGGGAACAACAGAGGTCGATCAAAAGGCTGCAAGACGTGTCTGAGACGCCACGTAAAGTGTGGTAAGTCTGATTATTGATTAATAGTTGGGACACGTCGTAGTCGCTGTAATAACCCAGGATGAATCCAACTGCGTACCTTTTAGTCTCACCATATCCTGAAGAAGCACACTAACACGTACACTATTATTCAGACCAGATTCGACCAACCTGTCTGCGATGCTCCAAAGGCAAATTTGAATGTCTAGGTTACCGGGAAACCCTCTTCATCGATGGTCGGGAGCAAGTGCTACGACGACTAAACTCTACACAAAACTTGTACTTGCAGAAGACCACCTCGGGCAGCCTGGAATATGCTCAGGATTATCAGACATCCTTACATTTCTCAAATGATGATGAAATTCACGATGCCGGTGTATCTCAACCCCAGGTCCCTCTTTCACTTTCTCCAATGCGAGAAGCCTATTTCGTCTCTTATCTTATTGCAAACGATGAGGGACCAATGAAAGTATTCTTCCGCGACCTGCTGTTGACGAGCCATCAAGACCCTCTGCAGAAATCCGTCAAGGAACAATGTTCACTAGCTTTTGCCACAACTTTCTTCGGGGTTGGACATGCACAGAGATCTCTCATTGATGAGGGCCGGCGGCTATATCTGCAGGCACTGGGGGCAGTGAACGCAATATTACGTGACCCCACCCGTAGCAGAAGTATAGAGGCTCTTGGTTCTGTCGTCACACTATGTCTCTATGAAGTAAGAACCTTCACAAAGACTTGTTGTTCTACCACTGACCGCTCTTTAACTAGGCGATCGCACCAACACGAAGCAACGAACATACATGGATGCACCATTTGAACGGCCTTGAACAGCTTTTTGCGATGCAAGGACCCGTATCAGTGAAGAGCAACCCAAGTTCTAGTGCGCTACTTGATGTTACCCGGCCAACGATGATCGTCGCCGCTCTATACGCTCGCCGGCCATCATTAATGTCACGACCGGAATGGAGCGCGGTTACTATGCACAATCCTACCGAAGAAGGGCTCGGTCACCTTATATCAGGTCTTGATTATCTCATGGACGCTCTAGCGCAAATATCCGTGCTGTACCATGTGCGCGACAAGTTTGTAGAAGGCGAAGCTACAACAGATTCTGGCGGCGCAAACGCTCACCTTGAGTCTATTCAAGCTCTTCTTGATCGCGCACTAAGTATTCGAGAGGACGTATCTACTCAAAGGAACAGGTGGACAGCCGCTCGTCAGGACTCGGAATCCCTCACGATTCCTTGCGGTGCCGTTCCCTCAACACAGCCACACCCTTGCTCAGTCGTTACGCAATTCTCCTCACTTGAGGCAGCAAATGCGTCCACTTTCTACAACGCTGTCTTGATCATGATCAACCAGTTCATTGTTTCCGTCCATGCGCTACTGCCACTGCACGATGCTCAGGCCACTGCACTGACATTATCATCTGAGCAGATTTCTGTTGCCGTGACGGATATACTGATGAGTATTGACTACCATCTCCCATTTACTGATCCCGCTGTTGCGTCTGCTTCAGGTACATCAGGACCTCGTAACATTTATCTGCTCTTGCCGTTGCGCATTGCGCACAGAGCTCTGTCTCAATCAGAGTCACCGGAGGATGTTTCCAGACGGCTGTGGCTCGAGGATGTCATGTCAGTCATCCGTAGCAGGGCTATGCCGTGGATGTCGAATGAGCAGATATTTGGCGCTAGGTAGCTCGGAAGTTGCAAGAGTAATGTACGATCACACTCAGACAATGACCAATAATTGGACACAGCGAATTTCTCGCATAATTCTATACGTTCTTGACTCTAACACACGGTATTTGGTCTGTCGATCAGACGATCTCAAAGCAATTGATCCGCCCATGTCTGTCTACATTCTTTCTGGTAAGTGAGCATCTATGCTCCTTTGTGATGGATTTCAACACATTGTTCGGGAGAGAGCGGAATCCAAAATATAACCTAAGTAGCAAGACTGCTACAATTGTCTAAGACATAAAGCAAAATGGGTAGATAAAGCCGTGAATTACTCTAGGAAGTCATTCGACTTTTCTTAAACTGGATATGAGTAGAGCTTTCTATCGTGGGCGACGAATTTGAATTTTGCATGTAAGATTTTGAAGTACCCAAATCTCACTTTTCTTGCAACGTGTGAGAGACTGAGTGGTGGAGTGACTGACAGGCACGGCGGTCTTATCGATAAGAGTACCACCTTCACTCCCCGCAGTCAGAGCTCCGTCCCCAAACAACGCCAAGATGATACAAGCCGCGAAGATCCTCGAGCAAAGGAGCCACCTAGTCCCAGGTGTGACTTATGTGCCCTAGAAATTTGTGCAGTTTGCTAATGCTGAACAGGCAAACTCCGTATCACGGAGCACTTCTTCCAGGTGCCACGTGATTACTCCAACCCGGCATCCGGAACTATTCAGTTGTTCTCAAGATCAGCTCTGAAAGCGGAGAAGCCAGCAGACTATCCATCAGAGTCATCAAAGGACCCCAAGAAGACTCAGCTCCCATGGCTTGTGTACCTGCAAGGTGGTCCAGGCTTCGAATGTCGCAGTCCACAGAGTGTCTCATGGGTTCCAACTATTCTCGATAAGGGCTATCGGGTCCTGCTCTTGGATCAACGTGGTACTGGTCTATCTACCGCTATCTCGCAATCCAGTCTGCAGCTGCGCGGCGACGAGAAGGTGCAAGCAGAATACATGAAGTCCTTCCGTGCCGACAGCATCATCAAAGATTGCGAAGCTATCAGGCAAGCGCTCACCGCGGATTACCCCGAAGACAAGAAGAAGTGGTCGATTATGGGCCAGTCATTTGGTGGCTTTTGCTGTTCTACATATCTATCCTTCTACCCCGAAGGTGTCAAGGAAGCATTCGTGTTTGGCGGTTTACCACCGCTCCGCAACAATGCAGATGAAGTGTACGAGAGGCTGTATGAACGTGTGAAGCAGCGCAACGAATCTTACTACGAGAAATATCCGGAAGATGTAGGCCGCGTTCATCGTATCATCAAACTGCTCTCGCGCTTTGGCGACAACACAGTCCGAGTCCAAGGCGGCGAGGGAGCGCTATCAGCGCGACGATTCATGCAGCTTGGTATTTACTTCGGCAAACACGGAGGCATTGATGAGGTACACCAGATGGTCCTACGCGCCGATACAGACTTGACTCAGTTCGGACACCTGACAAGACCGACTGTGCTTGCACTCGAGATGGCACAGTCGTGGGACACGAATGTCATCTATGCTTTGCTTCACGAACCGTTGTACTGCCAGGGCGAAGCCGCCAACTGGAGCGCCGAGCGTCTACTGGAGAAGTATCCAGAGTTCTCACTCAAGAATGTTGAGAGCGACAAGCCGGTGTACTTCACTGGTGAAATGATCTATCCATTCATGTTTGACGACTATCCGGAACTTAAGAAACTCAAGACTGTGGGACAATTGCTTGCTGAAGAAAAGGACTGGCCGAACTTGTACGACGTGGAGCAGCTGAAGAAGAACGAGGTACCTATGTACGCTGCTGCATATGTGGATGATATGTACGTGGACTTTGACCTGAGCATGGAGACGGCGAGGACGATCAAGGGATGTAAACCGTTCGTCACGAACAGCATGTACCACAACGCTATTGGTGCAAAGACGGATGAAGTGCTGAAGGAGCTCTTTGCTCGGAGAGATGATGTTATTGACTAGTGGGGAGACTACGCTTGTATTTTCGCGTTCTTCATGATCTCTTTCGCCTCACGCAGCTGCGCGTCGAGATCTATGTTCCAGATCCACTGCATCCTATTCAGATAAGCCTCTTCTATCTTGTCCAGATCATCTCCGTGACCTTCAAGCTCAAATTCATACATCAGGCCTCCTTCCTTACTCGTCAAAACATTCTTCTGTGTTCGCCCCCTCCGTACCTGGTCGAAAGCATGGAAGGCCCGCAGCACGTCCTCGATGCTCTTCGCTTCTTTGATCAAACTTGCCATGATGAACGAGTCCTCTATGCACATGCCAGCGCCGGCGCCCTGGTGTGGTGTAGTTGCATGGGCCGCATCACCAAGCAGACACACACGTCCCTTGGTATACGTTTCGCACGGCGGGTGCATGAAGAGTGCCCAGATGTCTGGCTTCTGCATTGCCCTGACAATTCTTTGAACATGCTCACCCCAGCCAGCGAAGTCGGCCTCCATCTCTTCTTTCGAAGTGCTCACGACCCACTTCTCGTTGTCCCACGTTTCGCGCGAACTAAAAGCGACCACGTTCATCGTTTTCCCATTCTGAACGGGAAACGTCAGCAAGTGGCCATGATATCCCAAGAACATTTGACTGTTCGTTGCGACCTCTTCTCCAAGCATCTCTATGGCCTGGTCCATCGGTATCAAGCCTCGATACGCATACTTTCCAGAGAAGAACGCATCTTTGGCGGGGTGGTCCTTGCCCACCAACCATGTTCTCGCTTTTGACTTGATACCATCGCATCCGATCACCGCATTGTGTTGCGCCTTTGAACCGTCGGCGAAATGTATAACCATATCTCCCGACCCATCCTCAGCGTCCGTCAGGTCAACCATCCTCTTGTCGAATTTCGCAATACCTTCTGGGACGCCCTTGACCATCTCGTCGAGGAATTGGGCGCGGTATATCCCCCCTCGACCACCCCCACCCGACAGTGGTACGTCAAACAGGGCGTCTCCAACCTTCTTTCCTGGTCTTACGAAGCCATCCTTATCGGCTCTACGTTCGTCGCCAACGCGTATCGTGAACCAGGCGTCGTGCTTGCTCTTGTTGCCGGTCTTGCACTTCAGAAAGGCTTCGAGGATTTTGGGCGACATGCCCTCCATCGCACGGCCAGCATTGGGACCCAATGCTACACCGGCGCCAATCTCGCCAAAGTGTGGTGCTGCTTCGTATATCGTGAGGTCGACTCCATGCTCAAGGAGAGTGATGGCGAGGGTGAGACCGGAGATTCCACCACCAACTATCGCGAGGTTGAAGGGCTTCTTTTGGGTGTCAGCCGAGGACATGATTGCAGGGGCGTGGCAAGATGTAATTGATCTAAACGACGATGTCAGTTCTACATGCGTCTCTATATCTTCAGAAGCAAGAGGAGCTAGACGCGCGACGCGCAACGCTTATCATACTTACCACGTTCTTCTGCCGAAATGCTGCATCCGATGACGCATGAGACGACGGCTTTGGCTTAAATGGGGCGGGTAGCAGCCACTACAAGGGCGCCTATTAGTTAGACCACCACATGGTGCACTAGCCGATGCCAGTCATCTTTATTTGTATCGAACATCCCAGAGGATGGACGAGATGTGGGGTGGACATGTGGGGTAACGAGTGCTCGGATTGTTTTCGGACTTGCACTTTCACGGGTCGCCCAACTAAGCGGGAATAACCGAACAGGCCGGGGTATTTCCTATGACCTCAACCACAAGATCGACTTATTATGGTTTTCGCCGCTGGGCTCTCTGGGCTGCGAGATACATAGCTTCCATCAGATTTTTCGGTGAGAGATTGCAAGTAAGTAGAAACTTTAGCAGGTCGTTTTGCAACGAGTGAAGAGCGATGGTTGAGATGAACCGCAAACATTAGCATGAGCTCATCGCTACCGATTCATGTGCCTTTCTGGAGCGAACCACAACAACCGCTCGGAACTTCTACCCGTCCACACATGGCTGACGAATTCTAAGATCACGATCCCTTGCCGATCGCCTTTATCTCTGATAGGATGCCCGCCTCATATGCCGCGAGACAACCTCCGGCAGAGAGGGGCGAGAAGCCAGTCACTGTCTTGGTAACTGGATTTGGTGTAAGTCGCACACCTAGGCAGATCCCGACATGTCCAAAATATCTCAAGATGCTTCGCCATAAGCTAATCCAGCCAAGCCCTTTCTGTCAGCCTTCCCAAGAAACTCATCATGGGAAATCGCATCGTCACTCCCTGCACTGATCCCAACGTCACCAAACAACCTGACGCCAATCCACATACACGTACACCATGAAGCTATCCGCGTCGCCTACAAACCTGTCATGGAGCTTGTGCCAAAACTTCTGCCACCTGCCAATCCGCTGTATCCGGCCCCTGAAATCATCCTTCACATCGGTCTAGCCGCAGGTCGCAAATTTTTCACTCTTGAGCAAGGCGCCCATGGACGAGGATTCGACAAGATCCCCGACGTCGACGGTGAGCGTTTCCCAGACTCATCCGCAGAATCACAATTCCCATCTGCCAAGTACCCAAGTGTGCTCAAAACCTCGTTCGACACTTCCGACGTTCTTGCGCGCTGGAAAGCAAATCTCGGCTACACATCCGTCGAAGGAAACGCAGAAGACGACGACGCTCCAGATGTGCGACTCAGCCCTGACGCTGGGAACTTTCTGTGTGGATTTATCTACTATAATTCGTTGGCTCACTACTTTTCGATCTCCAAAGAGGATAGACCCGTGGCGTTCATGCATGTGCCGGATCTCAGTCAAAGCGAGGACAAGCTGCGAGAAGGCAGGGAGGTGGCGATTGCGCTGATCAAGGCGCTGGTGGAGAGTAAGCGCAAGAATGGGAATGTAGCTAAGCGGACAGATAATGAGGAGGCGCCTGTGAGGCAGACTGATGATGCGACCGAGAACAACTGTATTTGAGCGCTAATTGATCCGCGCCAACCCAAGCGATGTTTCATTGTAGTCGAGAAAGCAGCTTCCATCAAGCTAGATACATATCGCGGCTGTCCGCGCGTGAGGAACAAGGAGACGCCATGGTCTACTTATGCCAAATCAACCTGCTTGTAAACCTCCACAGCATCATCTCCCATAGTGCCATTGCACCTCTCGTTGTGACATGCGCCCCACCATTTTCGATTCCAGTGAATGCACTTTCCACATCGCCAGTCTCCTGGCTTCGATGTGTATCCGTCGCCACTCTTCTGTCTCTTGTCGCTTCTCTCTTCAAGCAGCAAGTTTGACATGCCATTAGGATGTAGATCGTGAGGACGGGGGCGCTTCCAATTCGTGTCTGATAACAAATCTGGCGGCGACTGCGGCAGCGGAATGTCATCTTTCGGAAGGACATTCTCCCAGCCTTCTTCAGACTCATTCCTATGGTACCTGTCCCAGAAAGCCTTTGGCGCAAGGAGTCTGCCTTTCTTCCCCATGTCCCTTAGCACTTTCAAGATCTCCTTCGCTTCTTCGTCCCGTAGCTCCATCAGCATTCCCACATCGGACCACATCTGGTAACTTGCCATCCTTGTTGAGTTCCTCCTCTTATCGAGAATGTACCACAGGACATACACTTCTTCTGCATACTCCTCAGACACATCTCCTAGCTTCTTCACCTCGATCGAGCCAACCTTGTCTGACAGCTGCATCAGCCTTCCAACTTCTTTCGTCACGCCTTCTTTATCGACCGAAGGGTTGTGGTGCTTGTCCGTCTGGACTTCGCGCCAGGAATTGCGAATCGCTTCGGCGGTCACGGGGGTGCGGTTTTTAAGGCGTCGAAGAACCTCATTTGCGCCACTGCTGAGTAGGAGTACGGTCCTTGTGTGCTTGGATGCTCGTAGTCGCTGTTCTCCGAATCTGAAGCCCAGGCGTCGAACATGTTTGCGGTATGAGCTGGTTGTAGGATAGAGAAAGGAAGAAGATTTGGAGCTGTGGTACTTCAGTGCGGCAAGAAAAGTTGCTTTAAGCGTGTGGTGAAGTGAGAGTGAGTGCTCTTGTGTCTTCCTCTTTTGAACAATGCCCTTTTCACCTCGTACGCCGCAATGCTCTTCCCAAACACTGCCATAATGCGTGGCTACAAGCAGACTTGTTTGCTAGGGGTCGCAATATTATAATGCGAAAGTAGAATAAAGGAGGACGCTTCTTAGATATCTCATTCAAGCAGCCATTTCAGTAGATTTGACCGCACTGCCATTTGCAAGCCGTGACCCTGCTGTGACGAACCCGTACGTCAGTACAAACGCTCATAGTGGAGACACGCGGCACATCGCTGTTACGCACTAGCAATCTATCAGCACCTGTCACTCTAACACTTCTATACCGATCTTTCTTTTTAGGATATATATCGAATTAATCGTCAGTTACTCAACGAATCAAAGCCTTAGATAGTTTGGGGTTGCTATACGGCTATCTTTTCGGACCGAGTGCGGTGGTACATCCCAAGGTTTAGGTTCGATACCCGAGTTCGGCAGCTTTGACGGTATCAAACATTCTCTCTCTTTTTGCTCTTTTTGCTATTTTTGCTGTTACACTTCAGAATGCTCTATCGATGCTATAGAACATTCGAGCTGCTATGTGAGGGCGAGGTTAAAAGTTATCAGGTTCGACATGCATCATCACTTCAGATCAAACTATTTGTATAGCATACAAGCCATCATTATGCTTCGAATTATCAATAATCAGGAGCGACATAAGAAGGCAATAAAGCCTGTGAATATAGGCACTATCACATCAGAAAGATATAGAGTATTAAATGTACGGGTAGTAATGGAATGTATCTCAGCGTCGAATGAGAAGAAGTGCAAAACCAATCCACGCGCAAGGCCTTGGTGGCATAGTAGAGGGCGCCGAATAGCGGACATGTGCCTAATTCCGACCGCAAGATCGCGCATACTCCCCGGAAAGAGGCGCAAGAAAACTTTGTGAAGAACCATAAGGATGCTCTATTGTCACTTTTGTGTTTCCAGGCACCTCTGATCTTGTAAGAAGCAGGCGCACGACGATTCATTTTGTGCATCTCAAGGACGTGCGCTTTCCTATGGAGAGATAACCAAGGCACTGTATGATGGTTAGAATGTCGCGGTGTTTGTATGCTGGGTCTAGACAGTAACCTTCCTTGATGACGACCGTAGCCGAAGTGTTATTCCCGCGGGCGGAAGCTACGACGAGCGTTTGGCTGGATGGAAGATGAATTCTTGAGCATGGTTGGGAGATACAACTACTTACCTACATCATGTAGGCATTCGGATACTGACATGAAATACACCACTAAGTCCCAAAATCAGAATCCATTCCCACCACTACCATTTTTGAAGACACACACACCTAATCCCATCCCCCTCCCCCTCTCCAACACCCCCGCCCTCAATCCCTCCAGCACCTCCCTCCCAATCCACCTCACCCTCCCGCCCTCACGTTCCGCCCACTCAAACACGCCCTTCAACTCCCTCAGTTCATCCACCTTCGCACTCCTACTCAACCGACTCAGCACCAACCTGCTCTCCACCACCGTGCCCTCGAAATCCAGCAGCGTCTTCGAATGCGGATCCCCAGGCAAGATGAGACCCGCGTCACTCGTCGATATGAACTGCGCAAGCGCGGGGATGTTAAATAGCCATTTAAACGGCAATGTAGACTGGCTGGACGGCGCGAGCGCAGACAACGTCGCGCTGAAGACAGACGAATGGGTATCAGCCGCCGCGCGCTTCCTCACATGCAATGTCTGATGGCGCGTGAAAGCCGCTCTATGAAGCTTATTCCCTTCAAAATCGAGCACGGTGGGCCAGTAGTTAACATCCGTCGTCTCGAGGCGGTCGATCAGGTCGATTTCAGGCAGTAAGCAAGGGGCCACGACATTCCGCGTGGCGTTGTCGTCTTTGAGATGTACGGTAATCGGCATATTAATCGCGCGCCCCGTATCCACGTCGCGCACGACGAGACATCGCGGCTCGGCGGCGAGGACCCAAAAGTGGCGGAATGCCTGGAGGTGGGCTTTTGAGTCCTGCACGTCCATTGGGAAGAGCGGGTAGAAAGCGCAGATGAGCGAGGCAATGGCTTTGTTGGAGCGGCTGAATGTCTGGGTTCCGCCAGCGATGAAGAGGGTGCCGAATGCCATGTGCGCAGCGAGGTGGGAGCCATAGGGCACTTCTGGGCCGATGCGGCCGTGGAGACCGCGCAGGCGGCGGAAGACGTCGAGATCGCCTGTGCCTGCCATGATTGTGGCAGCGGAGAGAGCGAGCAGGTCTTGACAGTTACGGACAGTGTGGCGCGCGAGTTTGGCGTCGAAGCGCAGGGCGGGGAGTTTGGCGATGCGGAGGAATTGGTCCAGGTATTTGAGCAAGAAGTCGCGGACCTGGGTATCGCCAGTGCCGGCGTGTTTGAGTGAGACACTCCACAAGAGGCCGGCGAGGATGTTGAAGAAGGGCATTTGTTCGGTGCGTAGCTTGGAAATGTGTTTGAGATCAAAGTCTGCGCGATATTCGACGGGTAGGTTGGCTTTGATCCAGTCATCGTTTGCATCGATCTTGTCCCACATGATCAGGTGCTTTGCGAGAGTGCGCAGTAGGAAGATATCTGGCCGCACGTAGTCGAATTGAGGCAGAGTATCGGGGATATCGATCTTGTTGGCTACCATCTTGTCGTGCGTCTTCATGAAGACGAGAGCAATAGCAATCACCGCTCCGGCAGTTGCTTGGTCGAGCACATGGACGATGTCGACTTTCTTGGGAGCAACCGCTACTGTCATAAGGCGCTCTACAATTCTCATATCATGCAAACCTCGAAGGTCCTTGCCTTTGCCCAGGTTGATGAAGCCTAAGGCGAAGCCAGCAGCGAGCCTGTATGCCTCGTCGCGAAGTGAATCTGGGGGCTCTGATGGATCTGGGGTGTCGACGTGCTCGATCTCAGATAGCATGACTTCACTCATGCGACGATGTTGGGTGTTGTAGTACAGCAGACCTATGCCCATCAGACCCGTCGTCTGTGTATATGGTGATAGATTGAGCTCCGCTGCCCCAGGTGGCAACATTCTGGTAACGTGAACTGACAACAAGCGTGTGACAAGCGTGTCCATTGTGCCCATGAACGATGCTGCCAGGCCTAAAAGTAGTCCGACTGAGGTCATGGTATGCTTGGGTGTGAGATATTTGAAGGACAGCCACTTCGCGATGGTCCGCAAGTGACCGTTCAGGCCTAGACCCAGCAGCAGACCAGCGTGCTTATTCGTAAGCTCGGAGGGCTTGTTGTACATGATCCAAGAAGTGTCGATGCCCTGAGCTTCGCGTGAGATACTGAGCCCCGCAGCAACGCCTGCGTTGAAGAAGGCCCAAAAGTACTTTTCCTCACTATAATTCTGGCGTTCAGCAGTCACTACGTTTCCCATTGGCTTCATCAGGCACGAAGTCGAAAAGCCATAGAGCGGGTACTTTTCTGTGAGCAACGGCTTCTTACTGCTGAACTTGATCATGGAACTGCCCACTGGGAGAGAAAAGGTGCGAACCATGACCCATTGCATTTGCGTTTTCTGGCCTTCCAATACGGCTGCATCGTCAGCCCGACTGTCGGCTCTGTACTCTGCCACAGCTTGTCGCAAGGGTTCCAAGAGCGAGTATGCTTCCATAAAGCGCCTGTCTTCGTGAAAGATGAGTCTGGTAATGTAGTGTCGATCAACCTCTGAAGATGATTGGATTGGTTCATTACGATCGGTGGCCTGGCATATCGTATGCACATCGCGTAGATTGTTTGGTGTGGTCAGACTTGCTTGGGCTTCCTGCGCGGCATCCGCGCTACTCGTCAGTGTCAGGTCAAGGTCTTCGCGCTGTACCAGTCTGAGTAGTGAGCCCGACCACGTTGTAGGAGGGTTAGCTTGACAACGTGTAATGGCTTCCATGAGTGGTGCTTTGGCTGCCTCTGGCAAGGTAGCCAGCACATCTGCATCGATCCCGCAGGATTCAATCAATTCTACCACCTTTCGAGGACTTGATGAGGGGTCGATGTCGCGGAAGAACCTGTGTAATGCCACTGTGCGTGGGGGTTACGCTGGCGATAATATCGTCGATGTCGATGGATGAATGCGGGGAGGCTTTCGACTTGCGAATAAGCACAGCCGGGGTAGGGAATGGAGCATAATGTTGAGAACCGACCACTAAACCGAGCCATTCCAGGACCGACGGAGGTGTGTCCCATGGGCTGTGCGTGCAGCTTTACTTTCGAAGTGAACACGGAATTCTTCATAGGCTCCAGTTCGCTCGAGGATCCACCATTCAGGTCGAAGAATCCTCCTGTTCTCCAACTCCACCCATCCCAACGTAGCCAATGACCGAGTTGAGCCAAAACTGGCGCCAGATTACGAGGCTGTATTCCGGCATAGTCCTGGCACAGAGCGTCGAGTTTTCTCTCCTCGCGGAAGAGGTGCAGAATGACTATGGCTTCAGAAAGAGTTCCAATGCGAAGATCCTGTCGTTCTGAAAGGGAGAGCCGTCTCCAGATGTCGCCAGCTGCTTTCCCAACGGGAGACTGCGTGTATTGCCGCGCAGCTTCTATATAAGTATTGATCGATTCATCCTTACCATTGATCTGTTGTGCGATGGTAGGCGTTTGACGGGCCGAAGAGCGCCTCGAAGGCGGACTCATTGTGATAGATGCAGAGCTGCTGTGCAATGCCCAACTCCAAGGCGACGATGACCAGCTTTTGGCCTGGGACTGGGATGCCTGCCGAGCGCACATCAGACGCCAGCTTGAATCTTCGTCATCGACCACTTCGTCCGGTTTTGCCTGGCTTTGTGGTCGGCCGGAACTTCTTCGTTGAGTAGACTTCGCGCGACCGCTTGCTTTCCGGGATTTTTCATCCACAAAAGGCACTGCAAGTGTGAACATTGTCGTAACAAAGGCTTGCCAGTCAAGACTAGCTTGGTCATGCTTTTCCTCCGCGATTGACTTGCGGACATTCCACCATATTTCGAGGAGGAAATCGCCAGTGTGATTGGGTAGAACTGTGGATAGCACGCGAAAAAGGTCTGCCACAAAGGTATCGGAGGGTGACATGCGCAGCTCGATCCCATGTCTGCGATATCCACCATCCACTACTTCGAGCTTACCACTTGGACCTGGGGAGACCAAGTGCTGCAGTGGTGCGATTGCAGTAATTGTTCGATGCAAGCCCGCCGCAGCTCTTGTTTGCTCCTGCTGGAAGATGCTATATGGGTCGAACAGCTTCAATTTCCCGAGGGGTAGCTTTAGTGGTAAGTGATTTCCCCAGCCTGCTACTAGGCCCAGACACGGTTCCTGGGGATCGGTAGACGTAAGAATGGCTACGCGTTCGACATGGCCGTCACGCGTCTTGACCAAGTCAAGCGCGCCCTCAAGCAGTCTTGTGTCCACATATCTTGGTACACATGCATAGCGGGGTGCAGCGCGGACTGAACGAGGTTGAGATGCCGATGCTGATGGGGACAGTCGCTTTCGTGTGACGCTCAACTCGCACTCCAATGGGCTTGCCAATGATGCATGGTTGATGTACAAGTATACTTTTCGCTCATGGAGTGTCGCTGAGTTGAAGGGTGCTTTCAACGTGAAGACTCGCGATCGCGGTTGGTCCTGTGTAATCATGTTAGTGAAGGACCAAAGATGTATAGTATGGTAAGGGCTACCTTGGGGCTCAGAGCGGGGTCACTCAAGGCAAACAATCCACTCTTCAAGTACTGCGTTGCTGGTATCTCCGTAACGACAGTCATTACCATCTCCTTGTGCAGTCTCTTCGTTTCTTGGTTGTCGCCCTCTGCGTCTGGTGGCGCGAAGAGGTCATCTAGCTCGTCGTAGTCTTCGATAGTATCAAACGTGTCTTCGTCCATAACGTCTTCCAACGTATCGTCTATAGAGGCTGCGAGGCTCATGCGAGATGTGATGCTCCCTGGGGTCGACGCTCGATGTCGGGACTGTGAATACCCGCCAAAGCTGGCCCGATCATTGCCCATTGAATGACGACTGCGCTGACTTGCACCAAAGCTTGCGGAAAGATTGCCTCCCAAACTAATTCGTTGCGTGGCCAGATCCTGGAAGGCTGACTTGTCGAAACTTGTTGACAATTCTGCTCGAGAGAGCAGCCCGCTGACGCGCCTGGACTCTTTTGGTTGTCGGACGATATCAGAGTCGGGGTTCAGCTGTGAGGCAAGAGCTTCCTCGACCGCTTCGTCCGTCAGCCGTTCCTTGCCCATGGACGCCTCTTTGAACGAGGGGGGCTGTGTCTTGCTTCGTGGCTTTCCACCGAAGCTCTCTCTGAACCTCTCTGCTCCCCGGATGGCCGGTGTCGTTGCCCCGGTGCCGGGTGCAGTTGCGCCATACGAGCTGCGCCGTCGAGACTTAGTAATTGGCAATGGGACATGGTGTTTTCTGGAAGCTGATATTGATTTGGGCTCGAGGTACGCTGCCGACCAGATGGTAAATACATTCGTCTCGTAATTAGCCGTGACCACCAACAAAAGCGGTTTGTCGTTGCCGCTTCGATCAAACAAGACTTCATTTTGAGGAGAAACGTAAATGACTTCTTCAGCCTTGTCAACGGGTTCGAGTCTTCGATGACCTGAGCCCTGCACAGTAAGCAGACCGCTCCGCTCCGTACCTGCTTGCACGTTGACCACCAGACCTAGGTTTGATAAAGGGTCTGTGAGTGAATAGATTCTGGGCAAGCTCTCATCCTTTGCATTCCCCAATTGACCCAAGCTTTCAAGATACCCTAGTGAGCCAGATTGTCGGCTTTTGCCAGCTCTTGAAGGTCCGAGAGAGGAACCATGCCGACGGGTGGTCTGAGAAAAACTCTGGGAGAAGCTCTGAAGCAAATTCTGGGAAAGGAAAGACTGATTGTTGGTGAGGAAGGAGTTCGGGGGCGCATTGGGAACCCGTGGACTTAGTGCAGCAGGTTGCTCAAACGCAGTCTTTCTCTGTATCACGACACCGCGAGCCGCAGGGAACGCTCGGTCGACCTCAAATGCGAGGTTGACAATGTGGGTGGTGCCAGAGAGAAAGAAGACATGCGCTTGCGACTTCAGGAAGACAACAAGCGCACGGGCACGCACTTCGGTCGTTGAAGGGGCCTGCTCTGTGGGACTGTTTGGGTCTGTCGCAGGTTGTGTTCCCTGGGTCAAAAAGCTCTTTGACGCATCGGTTCCGCTGTATTCGAGCGCACCCGGGGCTGCAGAGGCCGCCTGGGACTCTACTTCGATGGGAAACCAGGTCAACAGCGCTTGTATAACCTTTTGCTTCTCAATCTCGAAGTTGAAGGCCTTGCGCACAATGCCCCCTCTTGACCATACCACGTGATATTCTGTGGTCACTATTTCATCGGTCGGCCCGTCGGGGCTGTCGTCTGTGTAGGTGTCCCAAACATAGTCGCGTTCGGTACTATCGGCGGACAGTATGGACTCGGACACCAGATACTGCAGCGCGGCGGGCTTGTGGACGCCGATTGAGCGGAGGGATGCCATGCGGAGGCTCGATTCGCATTATGAGGTGTCGGAGAGGGTATACATGTGCGGTGGTGGGCGCTGTGGCATTTATTTGCGGGGCGCGCAGAGGTGAAGTGACGCGCGATCACCTGTTTTGGTGCAACGCGCCTTCCCCAGAATTCTGGCCGCGCATCCACTTCCAAACCTTCCTTTGCACAACACTTCTGCAACCGCTCACCGCACGACCACACCTAGCGCCAAGCAGCTGCTGTTGGAAGTTGTCTGTAATTTCGTTCCGGTTTGCGTTGCGATCACGTTCTATCTATTGGAAGCTTCCTCATAGCTAAGCTCCCAGCTTCGCTGTAGTAGCAATCATGCAGCCCATCATTACGAGCAAGGGCAAGTCGACTCAGCTCAGGTAAGAAAGGTCGAGAAGATACTAGCAGATGTCTCTAATGTGCTTCCTCCAGGTACGAGCTACCGCAACGGGTGCACGGGGCGACGATATACCCAGCCAAGGCTCCCAACGGCTCAACGATCATTCTCACCGCACTCGACAATGGTGTAGGCATTCAATGGAGGGGTGGACGCGCCCTGAAGAAGGCTGGTGCAGCACCTAAGCAGCCTGCGAAGCCAGCCAAAGTGAACGGCACGAACAACGACGCCATCATGATCATCGATTCCGACGACGACGAGCCTGCGAAGACTGCGTCACAACCAGCCGCAGAAGCCGAGTTCGAGGAAGACGAAGAAGAGCTCGACCCTGACCAGCCTTATCCATCGTTTGTCCAACAAATACGCCTTGCCCTTGGCACAGAAGTCCTACATATTGCCGTTCCTCAGATCCCGACCATTTCGTCGACACGTCCTGCCGATACAGTCCCAGCCATCTTCGCTAGCAAAATGGTCTTCACTGTCACCTGCGCAGACTGCACCGTACGCGTAGTTACAATGCCGCTGAGTCCTCCGTCCAATGAGGCCAAACAGAAGTCTCTGAGCGCAAAGTCACAGTACGGGGAGGATGTGACCAAGATTCAAGCACACCAGAGCATTGCAAGAGGTGTCACCATGACCTGGACGTCAAGATCTGAACCGAACGCCAAAGACGCTTCAGACGATGACATGGATGTAGACGCAGAGGAAGATGCAGGAACCACACCTGGACGTCGGCGTCGCAAGCAACAGAACCGCTCACGATCGCGTGGTCAAGAACAGGACGGCTTTGACTTGCTCGTGGCATCGCACTCTGCGGAGCTTGGAGGCTTGCTCAAGCTCTGGCGGTTCAAGCTGACCGATACTTCGCTGGACGCTATCCACCCCGTCGCGCCATTGAAGACGATAACGCTCCGCAAATACGCCTCTCGCGTGACGTTCAACACTGCGCAATACCCCAAGCGCCGTCACTCGCAGCTGCTCATAACCGACGCAACAGGCACAGCGCGCGTCTATGATGTCTTCGCACCTGGCAAGCGACGCGCGCACGGTGCTCAAAGCGAAGCCGGCGCTTTCATCAGTACCTTTAGATCAAATTTCGAAAGTGTCAAGAACAATGTATACACGCCCGCCGTTCTTGCCGCACGGAAACCTATCATTGATGCTACTTGGGTATCAGATGGTCGCCATATTCTGGCTCTGCTCGCCGACGGAGAATGGGGCGTGTGGGACGTCGATCGATCAGGTCCTAGCCCCCCAGCAGATCCCTTAGCATTCTCCCTGCGCGGCTATGTGGGCACATCGGAAAAGGAGAGCAGTGCCAGTGGAGCCTCGAGTCCGAAAAAGGGGAGTCGAAGCTCGCTCGCTCCTATGACGCCCAACACACGCCGGAGGAAAGAGGAGAATCTCTTCAAGGGCAGCCCATCGATCAGCGCCGCCGCGCCCCATGGCGGTATCACCGTCGCGTCGTTACCTTCCTCGAACAGCGCCGCCTCCGAAGAGTCGGTAATTATCTGGTACGGCTCAGAGGTATACAGGATAGCGGACCTCGCCAAGTTTTGGTCGCGCACTGCCTCCGCAAGTGGCGGTAATTCGCTGCCCAGTCCCAGCCTCACTCAGATCCAGGACATCTCAATGTCCGGCGAGTCAATCACTTCAATCTCGCAGTTTGACACCACCTCGCAAGCCTCGCGCATGGCTGTTCCCAGGGATCTCCTCATCTCCGCAGAGCACCGCCTAATCATCGTCACCGGTACGACAAAAGCCCTTGGAAGGGACATGAACGCCATGTTCTCTCATGCCCAGACGGAAAGCGATGACTCAAGAAGAACAGATCAAGCACTGTTGTCTCACGGCGCGCTCGACCTCGGCGGTATGGACAGAATGCTCGATGATATGGACAACAGCGGCACCATATCCAAGTCTCTGACACTTGGAGGTCCGCGCAAGGTCCTCTTCGCATCGTCTGCGGCCTGATCACCCACAACCTCCAAAGTTTGGATACCTTCGTAAGACTCTCAACATGTTTGATATACCCACCAGCATCGAAAACAAGCCCATTTGCTCACGTTCCCCTGCCTCATCTCTCTTCTCCTCTCTTTCTCATCCCTCCATATGTGACCCATGCCCTCGCGGCCTAAGGTGGAGCTCAGCGACCAGACCCATTCCTGCTGCTCAGTATAGCCTCGCGAAAGAATAAACAGCACTGCCGCAGTCGCCAGCATCTCCTAGTACCCTCTCACGAGGCGAAGCAGGGAGAGGCTTGGATTGCTGTAGGGTGCGTGCACTGTGATTTCTTCTACAGTCGTACTTGAGCCAAGCTGTCTTGTAAGAGATAGGGTGGTGAGGACGGTGTGATTGAGCGTGCGATGGGAGGTCGTGCGTTGAGGGATCGGTGCGACAGTTTACGTGACGTTGGGGATGGATTGATGAGTGCTAGACATAACGATGGGGAGCAAAGTGACTTGCTCATGACACGGCTTGAAGCCATACGCACCATTGCCAGACTTCGAGACGGATGGATTGCGCTTGCAGCTGATGACCCCCAGTATGATGCTGTTCACTCTCGTATATAGCCAGTGCATGTCCACGGTCTATGTAACCAATAACCCCAAACATCCCCCACTCACTTCCCAACCAATCCTTCAAACAACTCATCCCTCCTCCTCCGCACCTCGTCCAACCTAACCTCTAACTTCCCCACCTCCTTCCTCGCCATCTCCTTATCTGCCGGTAACCCCGCGAACCCCCCAACCTCACTCTCCAGCCCCTCCACCCGCTCCCGCAACTCATCCAGCGCCTTCTGCTGCTCCAACATCTCGCCAATCGCCTCAGCCGACCCAATGTACTTCGACCCCGGCGTCATGCTGCGCGACTGGTTCGATTGCAGCGATGACAGCTTATCTTCGTACTCGCGGATTTTACTACGCAGGTGCTTCGTCTGGCGTGCTTGTTCGGTAGTTTGGCGCTGGAGCGAGGACGGAGCGGTGAGTGCGGGATTCGTGCCTAGTTCGTTAAGTTGAGCACGTAGAACAGCGTGTTGTTTATTCAAATAAGTCTGCAGCGTCTCAATATGACTCAGTTGATTCGTCAGATTCTGGCTCGTTGTCGTATGCTGGATCAGCGTGTGCGCGATGTTTTCCGGCCTCGCAGTCGGCGTGTTGAGCGCCACGGCTGTGCCTGCGAGTGCAACCAATGCTTGTTCGCCCTCGGGCGTCAGGCTGGCTTTTAGTTTGCACAGCAGCTGTGTGTCGGTGGAATTACGTGCGACCTACCGTTTGTGAGCTGGTGGGCTCGTCTACGAAGGGCGTGATGAAGCGAAATACCTCGTCTAGCTCCTTGAGTGCTTCACGCTCTACACGCTCTATGACCGCGCGGTCCTCGTCTGCGCGCTCATTTGCCATTGAGAGTTCGCGCAGCACTTTCAGCGTCTCTTCGTTGCGCTCGAAGGTGGGCACGGAGCGGCCGGAGTACTTGTACGACAGCCATGAATCTATGTGCGCCCAGTCCTGGGCTTGGGCGCGTTGCTGGCGGGCTTTTGACGGCGAGAAAAGATCGGAGGGCGTGAGGTTGTCCATTGTTTGTATGTTTGTTTGTGCAGTGATGCAGGGCCGACGCAGGGTCGGAACGATGGCGGAGAAATAAGGTGAGAACCGTGCTATCGATAAGCTTGTGATTCGCAATTGCCGATGTCGCTCTAGCGGATTAGTGTCGACCAGTTTGCCATTGGAGTCATTACGGCGATATATTGTGAGATTCTCCCGATTTTTTACTGGTTACACTACACCCTTCTACCGTTCCTTGTCACGCCATCTCACCTGATAATTTGCCAAATGTCGCCAATGGTGCTGGAAAATGATGTTGAGGTTGGCGAGAGCTTACCACCGGCCACTGAGCACGTGGGTGGACCGAACACAACCTTTAGGTGACATGTGCTAATGTAGCATAGGCTGTAAGCGTCTCGCTACCCACATGGCGGGCCAACGTTGGATACGAAGAGGGAGAGGAGTGGGTCATAAGCAAGATGAAGACTGGCTACCCAAGGTTGGTGGAGTGAAATACTGCAGTCTATTGACCACAGCTAATGTACATACAGGTTCTTCATACATAAGCAAATCCAAGCTTTCTCAGAAGCAATCGCCGAGAAGCATGGTAGGAAAGGCGAAGTAGCCATGTTGTTTCCAACCAATGCTACTGCATCCAGAGGCCGAGACTTTATACTGCGGTATGCGCCAGACATGGAAGTCCGAATTGTAGATCTGGTGCCAGCGGCAGAAAGAGAACGTTTAGAAGAGTTGGAAATCATTTCACCGCGGATTTCGGCGATCCTGTACCCAGCAGAGCACTTCAAGATTGCCAAACAGTACTGGCAACATTCTGGGGAAGGTGTCTCAAGTCGCAGAGCCGAGTACTGCTCCCAATTGTTCCGAGAAGGCCTTTTGGTCGAACCTTCCACATTGACCGACTCAAAGCCGCAATCACCACGAGTGTGTAAAGGACCACGGAGGTACCAGAAAAAGACTTCTGTCGATTTCGATAGCATGAAAGGCTCGACCGAGGGCGAGGTCCAAGACCCGGTTTCTTTCGTTGAAGAGAGGTTTGGACGCAATCTGAATCTCACAATGACAAACAACGCAAAGTTGGCGATTCGAAGAAGAATTGCAGGATCATTGACTGCTGACGTCGGTCTGACTGAAGCTATGGCCTTTGGATGTGGAGCAAGCGACAACTAGACGTGTACCTTGGTTTTTCCGAAGGATGATGTGTATCTGTACCCTACCGGCATGAGCTCGATCTTCAACGCCCACCGCAATATCATGCAAGCCAAGGGACCGCAAAAAGCCGTCGTCTTTGGGTAAGTTACATGCTGGAAGTACCGCTAGCTTCGCTCACGCACGCAGGTTTCCTTACATCGACACCCTGAAGATCACAGAGAAGTTTGGACCAGGTTCGATATTCTATGGTTTTGGGTCATCAGAAGAGCTCGATGATCTCGAAAAGAGATTAGAGGGCGGCGAGCGATTCATGGCACTATTCACAGAGTTCCCCTCAAACCCACTTCTCCGGACACCAGATCTCGAGCGCATACGTAACCTCGCCGACAAGTACGACTTCTGCGTAGTTGTAGACGAGAGTGTCGGCAACTTCATTAACGTCAACGTCCTACCATACGCGGACATAGTCGTCAGCAGCTTAACGAAAGTCTTCAGCGGCGACAGCAACGTCATGGGTGGAGGGTGTGTATTTCCCCTATCAACCCTTCACTGCAACATCACTAACAACCCACAGTCTCATCCTCAACCCCAAAACTCAAAACTACGCCAAACTCAAAAGAATCTGGAACGAGGACTACGTCGACAACCACTGGGCCGAAGACAGCATCTTCCTCGAGCGCAACAGCCGTGACTTTGTCTCCCGCATCGAGCGCATCGGCATCAACGCAGAAGCCATCTGCGACGTCCTAAGCGCCCATCCACGCGGTACGTTTCTACCATCCATGTCCTCCAACCCCTCTAACACATCCCAGTCAAACAAGTAAACTACCCCAAAATCTCCCCCACCCGCGCCAACTACGAAAAATGCCGCAACCCGCGCGGCAACTACGGCGGCCTGCTGTCCGCCACTTTCCACACCCGCGCCGACGCCGTCGCTTTCTTCGATGCGCTGGATACCGTCAAGGGCCCTTCTTTGGGTACGAATTTCACGCTGAGTAGTCCGTATGTTATTCTTGCGCATTATGGGGAGTTGGAGTGGTGTGCTAAGTGGGGCGTGGAGGCGGATTTGATCAGGTTTAGTGTAGGGCTAGAAGAGACGGGGAAGTTGGTGGAGGTTTTTGGGAGGGCGTTGGAGGCGATTGGGGGGTAGAGAGTGCATGGTGGTAGGTGGAGGGGAGATAGTTCAACCTATTGATTTATTAGTGGGAGGGAGGGGGGGATTCAACGATGGGGAGTAATGGGAGAAGCAGGTAAATGGAAGTGGTCATGTACAAAGACTTTGTACTTGGTTCATAATGTGAGAATCTGTGCTGTTGCGGTGCGTGCCTTGCTCGAACGTGTGTTTTCCGTTGTTCTTGCGAGGGCAGCATCAGATCGTGATGTTTGAGTAGGCAAGCTGGCGATAACCATCTACAATACCGTTCCTATCGTTCCCGCATACCCATCTTCTAGCATGTCAGATACCGCTCACGTTCGTCCGCGCTATTTCCATACTCCGAATCGTACTAGATACCATACAACGTTACCTATGGAGGCCGATGAAGTTGATCAGGTGTTAATATTCCACTGAGTGCGATCAAGCAAAGTGTCACGTCCTCTCTCGTGTGTACGTGTTCGGGCTCCGTTCGGACTCAATCATACCTACGACGCTCTCTCGGACTAGCATTCAGTGCTCGTATTCCGACTGCAAGGCACCATTTCCACACCACGAGATTCCACCGTCTGCTAGCGTCGTGGCTTGAGAAAAGTCTGACGCGGCCACTTGCATATGGTGTACAGGCGTCCCGCGCAGCCGTCACCTCCCCGTCGAAATTGTTGGACCAATCCAGCAAGTCCGAAAGGTGTGCCGAGCATGTACGACTGTCCCGTTAAGTCATCGCTAAACACGAAGACGTCTTCCGGCTCGCTAAGATTTGTTTTTATCTTGAGTAGCAACGTCAGTGGTTGGCGTGGGGGCTTCGTGGGCATGCGCATGACTCTGTGTATGCTGCGGGCGGGGCGAAGCAGGAGGATCCCTAGGACGGAAATGCGTCGTCGGGATCTCGCTTCAACACGTGTGCGTGGAAAGTCGGGGACAGGTAGCCGGAGTTGATGTTACATGAGGATCGCGACCGGAGTGTTGGGTTCCACTCGGGTATAGTTGGGGTAACGCATTCAATTGCGGTATGCCTTCAAGTGTGCTATGCTGGAGATGCTGCAGGTTGGGCGGTGTTCTAGACGGGAGGATTGAGTTTGAAACGCGCGGTGCCAAGATCATGTGCGAAGAGAAGGCTGCTAAGTCCTCGATAGGTTGTCATGCACTGCTGGAAGGGACATACGCGTACTTTGTGTTGGTGGCGTAAGAGACGATGGCTTGAAGAGCGGTGACTCGGGTTTTGGTCTTGTCACTTTACTTTGTTCACAGATAGGACTGTTGTCCGAACGGAAAACGAATAAGGAAGACGTTCAGGCAAGCCACGGATATCTGGTGGAAATGCTCATGAACGAGTGTTGCACTTCGGAAGTGAAAGGGATAATGACTTTGCTTCAAGACTAGAGCATTTGTCGAGGTAAATCTCTGACTGACTGATTTGCCAAGTTTGCTGGCAATAAATATGCATTTACCTAGCCATAAAACAATGCCCAAAGCACACAGCAGCTAACTATGACGATATCTTCGCTGCCAAATTGCGGTATGCTCTCAGCGGTAATTAAGGGCCGACCGCACGTTGAAATGCACATCTGATAGGGTTCCGCCAAAGTGATCCTCCAATTGTGGATCAACTCGTCTGTACACCTGTACGGTTACTCTCTCGTTCTCATCATAAGCGAACAGGCAGCAAGAGCTGATGAGTTTCGTACGAGTCTAGCGAAATCGTGAAAGAGGGCTTAGTTGCTGAGGATTTATTCGAAGGGTGTGACGCGCCGGCAGGAATGAGAAAAGATACACACCGACTGGCGGACCCTTGCACAGAACCAAGTTGCCCGGATTTCCAAAGAGGCTTGAACACCAAACGAGATGGTGTCGAGATACTCATGATGTGGGATACGCGAGTCTTCTCGCCTCTCAAAAATGCACTGTTCCAAACATATTGGGGAATTATGCAAACTTCTTGAAAACTTGCAGTGGGTGAAATTTGTTGATGCTGGAAAGGGACACAGGTATAGCACAGTCAATTATGATCGCATCGCCACATATATTCCTTTTTGGACATGTAGTTCTTGTATGGGGTGAGAAGGTTCGAGGCTCGGGAAGTGGAGCGCGTCAGTGCATTTGATACATCTCCACAGTGGTGTGGAGACTTCCTTTCAATTATCACGTGCGTCGCATTGCCTTCTCCAGTTTGATTGCAAACTGGGTGTGGGCCAATACCTAACAATTTCAAGGCCGGATCTTCGTCAGGGTGCAAATCTAATAGTCCCCATTTTCTTGGATCTCTCTCCGCGGAGTGCGGAAGATGGTGTAGCCGAAGACTCAGACCCAAATCACACAGTCTGCCGAGCGGCCTCTGCCGCTTATGATGTCCCTGCATAGCTTCGTGGGATTGCTCTGCACTAACACTTGTCGACTGCGCTCATATTGACCAGGGTTGCTTGTTCACCAACGTGAAGCGTCCAGGTACTTTTGTTGAAGTTGATGGAGCGAACAAGTCGGATTCCAATCTTTGAATTTGCAGGTCTCCTGGGTAGCAGACCGATGAAGGAGATGTGCGCATCGTGGAGACGTCGATCAATAGTCGACTGAGAAATAGCGTTTTTCCAATGGTGTTTGCGGGCGTCTAGGCTCTGGCCCACTGGAAACTGCATCCGTGCTTTCTGCGGATCGATTGTGATAGAATTGTGTGGTTGCAGTGTTGCCCGTACTAAAACGTACAGCAAAATGTGACGAAGTTGCTCACACACGGATAGCATAACCAGCTATGTTTTCACTCGTCAAACTTTACCGGATACGGGCGCTGTGCCCCTTCTAGACTTCCTAACACCCACCACTCATGGCTAGGCCACAAATTCGCCCTTCTGAACTTGTTCAGAGCCGCGAAGCTGTGCCTCAGCCGTCGGGGACCGGCACATTTCTCAAATAAAGCAGGTATAGGACTAACACAGTGCTGATATTGGTGAAGGGTAGTCCTTAGCCTGGAGCGTTCGCTTCCCGGGTCCACCGTGCATCAAAGCGAGAGAGACGTCATTGCTAGTTGGCTATCGACTATGTCAAGACCTGATTTGAACGGAGTTCGTATGGTCGGCGCACGTGCGCCATAGTGCATAGACGCAGCATCTTCCAGCAGGAGCCAGTCTTCATTGTGCTGATCGTCAAGCGTTTGAAACTCTTTTCCTGGTTTTGGAAGATCTCGTGCAGCCTGATTTCGCATCGAGTCGTCGACGTGTGAAGCGAGCCTGAAGGTACATTTTGACCTCTAAAGGTGCACTGGAATATGATTGGAGCCACGCCAGTTTCAAAGGAAGTTCGGCATGTCTGGAGCGTCGGCACCGTGACTGTCGCTCCTGCAGTGTTGTTAGTGCTTTTAAATTGACATTCTAGATGGGAAAAGGTGCGGTTGTGAAGGAAACAACGTCCGTCCACTAGTGGGTGAGCAACGAACGTCTGATACGTCTTTTGAGCCACAGCAGACGGCCTGAATGTTTCAATGGGTTGATCTTAGCCATGGTCTGCAGAATGTGCGCTCAAGCCAAGGTTTACGACCCCGACGTCTACATGCTCCAGTAGCTGATCCTTGCTGTTAGTAGGGGCGGAAATTAAACCATGTCACCCCCGGCCCCGTCTGCACATGCAACCGAATCACCTACCTCAGAGCACTCAGATATCGAACCACACCGTCCTGCATGCAGACCTGGGATCGAAAACCATGCATGCCGGTCAAAACCCTTCACTATTCGACATGGCTTCCAGAAGCTATCGACGCCGACGCGGCTTAGGCCCAAGTTAGCAATGCTTCCGATATCTGCCGCGGTCACTAATGGCCCGCCTTGCCAACACTCATTTCGCAGCACGTACTCGGTACTCGGGGCCTGCTGTCACGAAATAAAAATAGCAGCAAATGCGCTTTCACACAACACGCCATTTGCGAGCCGATGGAGACTGGACGGCGATGAATGATGGACGTTGCCGATGCCGTGGCGGTGCCAGCTTTCCCCGAAAGACGAGGCTTGGAGAAACCAAGTGCGCACACGCCACAATCCACTTCGAGCCATGCTCGACTCGAGCTGCCCCATAGCATTTCGTCGCGCCCTTTTAACTGGTCGTCCTGGGCTGAAGCTTCCTGAGGTTGATTCTTACAGGACGATTCTGAGTGATATGCGCCCTGGTCCGCCACCAACGTTTTCATGGGGTGGAAACATCTCAAGATGCATACTCATAAGCACAACAGCATACAGTCATTGAAGCCCCGCTACGGGCGATGTTATCAGTGTCCGACTGGCGCGACATCGCTGCTTCCCGTGGTGTGCGGCAGCGTCATCATTGTGTGGTCCCGAGGTCTGCGTACGCATCTGGCTTCTGCTGGTCACCCTGAATCAGGTAAACAGCGCGCATGTTCCAAGTACAGAAGAAGGAACGCCTTTTTCTCTCCTAGAGCCAGGTTCACCACGGCCCAGGCACCCATCGCGTGGGTACGTATAAAGACTAGTCAAACGGTCTGGGAGCTTGGTCACTACTGGCCGGGATGAGGATCCTTCGAGGCTCCCAGCCGCAGCGCCGGTAAAAGCGCTGTGCCGCTGAAACTGAAATGTAAACTACTGAAGCGCAGTTGTTCTATGACCGTAAACACTCAAGTCCACCCCATGCCGGTGCGCAGACCACCTTCATAGATCGTGGTTCAAAAGCGCAAGTCTGCCTTGCGACGAAGACTCCATAAGGCTGGTATACGCCCACTTCATTGTCCAATTCAGGATACAAGCGTACGTTACCCCACTAGCATTTCTGTACCAGATGTGGCCCTTCCATGATTGAATATGACCCCTCGGTCTCCGGCAAAACAACACCCAAAGACTACAACCATCTCACAAAGACTCAGATCTCACGTGGACCATAACATATCGAACCAGCCGCCAGAGCTCATAGGACTGAAAAACGTTCGCCCTCGCCGTGCTGCAACTTCACCTCCGCCCCACTCCCAGTCGCTTGAATCTCAACTTCAAGACCCGCATCAGCCTCTGCAGAACGACAATCTTGCTAGAGACCCCACACAGTGGGTAGACGCCGTTGAACACCTTGATCCAGTGAATGTGCTGGGACAGCCTGTAGACCTTCGCTCGTACACATCGCCAGCGAGCTCTACCAACTTGTCCACACAAACGCAATCAATTCCAAGTTTCTCTCGACCTACCCACTATTTCCCAGAGTTCCCGCATTCGCCCCTCCCTTCCGTTTCTGGCAGTCTCGAATTCGAATCGTCATCGTCTGCTGTAGATCATCGGCAGCCACACAGTCCTTACTTCGAACTGCAAGATATGAGGTAGGTGTATTTGCGTTGACCTCGTTTGGCAACGACTGATTGTTGTAGCGCTTTAGGATACATGATGGCGCCTTCGCAATATGGTATGCACCATTACGGTTCAGCATCTTCTTACACGCAAAATTATCCTCCAAGCAGCCAGCATGGATACATGGAGCATAGGTCTTCTACTACAGCACCTTACGATTCAGCATACGCATCCAGTCCAGCACTGCAACATGACCAACGGAGACCGGACGATCAAACTGTACCCCCTCCATATCAATCTCAACCGCAAGCACTTTCACGTAGCTCTTACCAACAGCAACCGCCTAATGCGATGCGCTCTGGCTCCACCTCTTTAGCCTCTAATGTTCCAGGATACGGATATGCCAACTCAAATGGCAACAACCCAAATCAACAACTTGGGAGTAACGCTTCGAGTTATGCACCGTGGGTTACGAGTTCTGTTTCAATAAGCTTCCAAGCTCACAAGCCATAGACCACAATTATATCCCCCTTCGACTTACAGTGTCGGCGACTATCAACCACTGCCAACTATGTACCCACCGTCATCTACGACTCCGGCTGCTTATCCGCCCTATGGATCTTCACCAGCTATTCCGCAGCCACCAATTGGTGATATTCCGCCATTGTCGCCTTCTCCAGGCGCCCAGAGTAGTACCGTCATGCCACGCGTCTTGAACTCAAGACCGAAACCGCAGTGCTGGGAGCATGGGTGTAACGGGAGGCAATTCTCTACATTTAGCAACCTCCTCCGACACCAACGCGAAAAATCGGGTACGGCCTCGAAAAGCTACTGTCCTAGGTGCGGTGCGGAGTTCACCCGTACAACCGCAAGGAACGGGCACATGGCTCATGACAAATGCAAACCTCGACGGCCATCAGAGTCAAGTCACTGAAGCGCTTTCTTCAAAGCGGCTCTATATACAAATCTGGGTCGACAGATCACGGCACATACCAGGGGGACGAACGAAATTTGTCTGAGAAAGGCTACAAGCTCTCAGCGCACTCTCGCTACGGCCTGACTTCGAAGTGAAGGTTTCGCGCGGAGAGTTCATCGGCGAGGAGGCCTGAAAGTTAGCACCGAAGCTTCTCCGAAAGCCACAATCGTGCAAATTCTTTCTCAAGATATTCAGCCTGACGACGTCTGCGACTACCACAGAAAACTCGCTCTCGCACCGATATTTGCGTGTCCCGCCTTCCGGTTTAGGATCGAGAGATGTGACAGGTTAGGCGGGAAGAGCAATGTAGCAGCGCATCGGCGTTCATGCTAGCATTTAGCTACTTTCCAATCTGTGTTGGTAAAATATACGCCTCGATTGGATACTGCGATTTGGAACTCTCCAGCTCATAGCATTCCCTGGTTCTCTTCGGTATGTGTTCTGCTCTGCACTCTGAATACAACCTCGTCACAGCTTTTCTGCCTGGATTGCACTCCAGTCAAGTTCGTTAGGCAGGCATTGGTCCCCCTGCATGCTTCCCTGCGGGTGAGGCGCAATACGTATCAGCTGGAAGAATAAGGCCTGCATGCTGGCAAGGCGGCAGGATTTAGAGAACCGGGAGGTTGGGCCTCTGATTAGTTTCTGGCAGCATCCTGGCTTCACGCAGGTGCAAAGCTCCAGCTCAGAGATCATGACGAATCATTTTCGCCTCAAGAGTAAAGAGAAATCTCGCAAATCAATATTGTCTCTAGTCATGATATCACAAACCGGTTCATGAGAACTGGTCTACAAGATTCAGTCGTCCATCCAGCCAGCATAGAAATGATTCATACATACTGCCGCGCGCATGTGATCCCGGTCAAGGTCGGAGTTAACGATTTGAGCAAACAAGGTCTCTCCCTATAGCAACCGCGCCCTTCTCCTGCCTTTGATCGTAATGACCGTGGACTGTGGCATTCGGTCTACTAGTCGCCCAATGTTTTGCTCGATGAGCGAGGCACTGGATCTTCCCTCATCGGCACGCCAAGACGGCCGGTGAAGGCCACACGCGATAGCTGCATGTTGCCCAAGGTGACTGACTTGCGAGTGGAAAGATGAGACTAGCGGGCCGTTATTGCCACGCAGCGCGGGAATGTTCGCAAAGAATGACACAACAGCCGAACCCACAAATCTGCGCAGACTTTACCCACTGTAGGTATCCACGCACTGACACCACTGGACGAGTCAGGGTCGGGACACCATGTGAACCACATTGTCGGGTGTGTGCTAGCAATCCCTGGTTCTTCGCCGAGCAGCGGAAAAATAGTGTCTGGCATTTACAAGGCCCGGGTCGATTCATCCGCCTTTTTGACATGGTGAAGCTTGTGGATTCAGAGATGACTTTCTACACGTGGTAAGTTCGCCATCGGGGTGGGGATACCGTCATGATTGTTCTTCTGAAGCAATTAGGGCTTACCAGTTGCGGCAAGCCATTCGGTCTCCTTGCGGTTACCTTCAGGCGTACACTACGCGCCAAGGCCTTTGTCGAACTTGCACAAGATGCGTTGTTTTTCCGAAGGTACTGAACAGGAACCTCAAGAGTGGGGCGATGTTAATTTCTGCCCATTGGCCGCGGATCGTCCTCCGCCATTTCGCTTTGAGAGCTTTCAGGCGCCATCAATGCGGCACAGCGGTGAAATTCCGAAGATGCAGCTGCCTCACGCAAAATTTCGCACTCGCCCAACTCCGCACATAATGAGCACATACAAGAAATTATCGCCCGACCCATTTTAATTTCGGACGCTATTCCACATACTACGCTCTCGATGTCCACAACTGTTTGCGTGCTTTCGCCAAAGTACCGTCCCGCAGCGGAATATCGGGCCACACTGACTACTCAGGGGTCTCATCCACGGGTGCATGTTCGCCTGCGCCCCACCCCAAAGCGCTGACAGACGCCATATCGCTGACATGTGGACCGGGGCCTGCCGTGTCTGTCACAAGGATGCTCCGACGGCACGACGGGAAGGAATGAACGTTGATTCTCGATCATCGAGGGCACATCGGGGGCGAGACATGTCTAAGGAGCGACTGCAGTATGGGCCTCTACCAACAGAAGGATTCCAGGCACAATTCCGGTGCTATGTACTTGGGACGAGCAGGTATTGCGCGCGCAGGAACAAGGCTGCATTCTGCGTTACCGAAGCTTCGGCGGCACACTGCCGAGACCAAGGCTCCCGAATGACGAGGCTAGGCATCATCTGTTTTGCACCAACAAACTTCGACTGGACCCTCACGTTCGTTTAATTTCCTTGCACAGTTTGGACTGCGAAGGCCGTGATGGATCTCCCCGCGACTAACGCCCTCTCGTACTTTCGCTTCAACGGCAACGTGCACTGATCTGGACTAGCCAATTTTGGTCGACTTCCTCGCTTCGATAGGCTTAGGTCGTATGTTGTTTGGAGGCCTGATATACGGCCCTGCGGACGATTATATCTTCCGACTGGTTTTCTGAGCAGCGAGACGCCTATCCTCTCTAATTGTTCGAGCGTCATTTAGGCATAGTGCGAATTTCCGAGCCGCTCATCCCAAGTACCTTTCCTTGTTGACCTTCATGAATCACACGACATCAGGCCTTCAAGCACACATCACCGTGCCGCGTCCCAAGAGCAAGACCAAATCCTCATTCGTGCAGCGGAGGATACCAAGAAGGGTCAAAAATAACCACGGAGCATTTCACCATTGCTCTCTAGCGGCGACTCCAAGCCTTCGCGTGGCTGAAATGGAACGCTGCTCGCTTGAGTCTGTCTGCGGAAGGAACCATGCGCTGCAGTGAAACCCGAAACAAGTCAGCCAAACCATGTCTCCCCACGAGCTCGCAACGTGGCTATTGTCAGCTGGACGCCTGTAAGGCCGTCAGAAGCAGACTTTCTGACATAACTTGCGCATAGGCAAGGCTGATGTGCAAGGTCTCGCAACTCCAGTGCCTTGGGTCGAAGCGCTCGCGTGTCAGACGTCATCCCAACTCCTGCAGGATATATGTGGTGCCACCACCACAGGCGGCTAATGTGACGCCTGCCGAAACTCTAACAATCATCGGTATGACGTGTGGATTGAGGCGCAGTCGGGCGTATGTAGGATGTTGCGAGCTCTTGTAAGCCTATGGTTTTGCAATACGATATAGTCGCGGACCACGCCTCGATGCATGTCAACACCGATCAGCCTCAAGCGTCGGGGAGCCAACACTCTCAGCATCGGCAACCTCAGTTTCGGGCTCAGTTGGGTGTAGTAAGCTCGCGATGTCCAAGCGGCTTCATATGGTCTTCGCGGATATTCTTCGAGAGTAATTCATGCTGACTGCATACAACGTATGCAAAGTGTTGTCATTTGATGGGGTATCATGCAGTCATGCAATCTGTGACTGATCATAGTCCGAGACTGAAGTATGCCTCTGTAAATGACAGCAGGCTCTTGTCAACAGATTGCTCATCAATAAGCTGCTGATACTTTCTGTCCTTTAGCTACGCCAATTACTCACACTGATTAGACTGATCAAGCACGTGAAGATGATGCTCAAAAATATCATAGCTGCAGAATAGTATGCCAATGCAAGGGTATGAAGGCTTCTTGAGACGAGGAGCCCATGACGAACATGACTCCGCATTGAGCAACATTATCACCTTCTCAATTACCCCTCAACAACACGTCCAACGAATCCTTCAAGACCTGCCAGGCCTTTCGCACCCCTCTCGTTACTTCCTGACAGGCCTGGACCTCCGCCTGGCATAACTAGAACTTTGGCGCCATATTCGACAAACTCTTTAGAAGCAATGAATTGAAACGTTACTATCGTGGCAGCTGACGTATCAAGGTCTGAACCGTCTGTTTCGTCGTCAAAGCCAAATCCAAACTCATCGTCGTCTGCTTCGACAGGCGCAGTACTCAAAGCCGGCTCCGTGGCCACAGATATGACCTTGGAGGATGCTCTGACACTGGCGATATACACGACAACTGCACTTCCAAGACTGAGGCCTTGAGCCGCACGCGTCTGTGAGCCTTCAAACCGCACATTGATGACTTTGGAAGCGTATGGCTGCCGGTCTGCCAGGACCATTCCTTTCCGGATTCTGTTGATGGCTGGACTCAGGATCGGTGTGTCGACCGGCATGATGCCCATCGTACCTACCTGGTCTGCGTAAAGCGTCCGTACAGGTAGACGTAGATTCCGCAGCGATATGATACGAACACGTCGCCACTCCGTACGATGATCGTGAAGAGATGCACTCCTGGTATGGGTCTTGTTCATAGCCCCAGGGAAAGATCGCGACTGTGGCAGTACAGACGCTCGCAGTGATGGCTGACCACTGCCACTGTCACTATCATCAGAGCTTATGTCTACGGGGTATGGTCCGAGCAATAACTCGTCGCCAACATTCATGGTACCGTAGCGGAGATAGCCTCCAATGACAGCAGACCTATCAGACGATGTACGAGTCTGCACGCTGTAGACGTCCTCGATATAAAACAATCGCTTGAGTGCTGGCTCGATGCGAGGCTCTTCGTGAATTGGGATGGGAAGCTGACGTAGAAACGCGTGTAATTTGTTCATACCCGTCCCTTTGATCGCGCTGGTCAGAAAGATTGGTACGGTCGCCAACGGAGATGCCGCTAGAGTTCCCACTAACTTGTCAGCTTCCTGCATCTCCTTTGCCGAAATAGAGTGCAAATCTTCGTCTTGAGCTACTGCAGTCGGGTCCGATATGATGCACGGCTTGCGACCAGCTTCTTTCAGTACAGATAGCAATTTGGACAATGTCTGGCGGAGTCCAGCTTTGGTGGCAAGATCATATTTGGTGATCACGATTACCAATGGCAGCTCTAGGTTCAAGCATAGCTGAAGATGTGCCTGTGAGAGGTCAAGATCCGCAGCGGCAGGTCCAAGTAGTTCTTGCGGCGTTGGAGAAGCACCGATTTTTCCTGTTGAGTCATCTGTGTCGTCCGCGGGTATACATAACAAGGTCCAATGCGGTTGCCAGCCAACAATCCCGCGAACTGTGGTTCTTCGGAATCTAGGATGACCCGCAGAGTCCGACATAATGACCAACCTTCCATTGCCACCATTCTCTACTGCTGCGTGAATATCGATCCAGGATGAGACGTCTCCGGAACCATAGCCTATTACGTGACTTGCGATGGTTCCATCCTGATCGACGGTATCTCGGTAACCTATCAGCTCTTGAGTGACAGAGCTCGTCATACCGGACGCGATCTCATGTCTGTGCTTCAGCAGACTGAGACGACTTTTGCCACGCCCATTGTCGAGCGTAGCAGTGGATAGTGTACCTAGTAGACTGGACTTGCCAGACATTGTTGCCCCGGTCACCGACACACGCAGCTGCTCCACAATGCGTATATCTTCAGTGCCAGGTGTCTTCAAATCTTGGTCTTCATTGGAGGTAGTCTTTGCGCTCGTATTTTGGCGCGAGTTATTCGTATGTTCCACGAGGTGTTGGAGCGGCCTCACGAGGGCCTCAGCGAGCTACAAGTCTCGATGTTTGCAGCTTCTGCTGGGATGCGCCACTGCACTCCATCCATTCGCACTCGCCAACCGGTACCATCCGCAGCACCTCTACTCCGCAGCCCAAGCTCGCGGCCATAGCTCGCAGGTTGTTCAGGCTTTCTTCCATCTCATCCTCTGCCAGGCCGACAATGGTGCCATCGTCGGCGACTCCGATCTCGTAAAGTGCACCCTTGCTCTCCTCTAAGCCAGGGAGCAGTCGCTGCGGCGGCTCCGAGGAAGACATTCGCACATCATCCGGTAGATGGGGAAGCACGGCCGCAGTAGTGGAGGATATATGATAGGAACATGACTGCTGCAGACGCCACAAGAGTTGTGTCGTCAGCTGTTCGAGACGGTGCTGTTTGGACTGGATGGACGCTAGTGGTGGAGGCGTATTGGAAAGAACCCCTGACTCAGATACGCTGCGACTGACAGATGCTGGAGTGGGTATGTCACTGCGGCGCATAGACCCAGAGACTCTGCGCGCCGTGCTCGCGCGTGTGAATGATCTCCGTCGACGCAGGAGGAGATGCAGTTTGTATTCGGTGGGTCCCTCCTGTGGCTCTGCCTCTAGCCTGGTGATAGTTGTGTACTCCTCGGGCGCAAGTGAACCGATACTGGTCGCCTCGATTACGGTGGTCGCGAGCTTCGTTGGAGGTGGCTTGGCTTGCTGCCGGGTGGTCGGCGACTCCGAGGGATCGCCGCTCGGGACCGCCGTCCACGGTGACGATACACGAGGCGGGTCGGGATCAAAGGTAAATATGGAGGCCATGTCTTTCCTTCACTGAGATTGGGGAATGCGAAGGTGTAAGATGCAGTTTCGACTTGTTCGTGGTACTGCTTGCTCGTGTGAATTATCTCAGGGAACACGTAATCGTGCTAAAGAGCGAGAATTTGTATGTGAGAAATGCGTCTGAAATAATTGCGATAGCCGTGGAAGCATCATGACTGATATAGAGGCAAACAATGTGACTTCGTCTAGCGAAAGCGGGAAGCAACTCGTGGTAGGACTGCGTGAATTGCCACGTTGGCGTTCAATTTGAGAGAAGCGACATGACAGTGGTTATGCGGGCTGGAAATTTGCCGTGTGATTTGTGCTGTTCCGTGGTATTTTGAAGTTGTTGGTGACGTGAGGTCGGAACTAAGGTGAAGCAGTCTTGGCACGCGGAGTCAGTGGGGAAGTCGCTGTCGGTGAATCATCGTCACTAACTCCATGACTCTAAGAATCACTTTGCGAAAGTACGAAGGCTGCGCCCTTTATGCGCCTTCAAATGACAAGATACGAGTGGATTTTATCTAAGCCATGTATATTGTAATGATCCCTCCTAGACATCCTTACTATATTTGGAGACGCGTCTCGTAGGTATCGTGTGATCGGAGGGGAGTCCTTGGGTGCTCTGATCTAGTGTATTCAAGGCCAACACTCCTCGGAATCTTCTTGAAACTGACACGAACATCTCTTCATTTCGGCGCATCAGTCAATGGCACATACTGCACCCCATACAGCTTCTTCTTCTCCACACTACCATCCTCTTTCTTATCAACGATATAAATATGCTGTGAGCCACCGTCTGCAACCGGCACAAACAACCTCCCTGGGCTTTTCAACTGCTCTGTTAACTCAGCATGGTGTTCCGCCGCCGCAGCACCCACGTGAATCGCATCATACGGCGCGCCTTCCTTCCATCCTTTCCTCCCGTCCCCAAGCACGAACTTGACTTGTCCCGTCTCCAGCATCTTCTTGCCTACTTCACTTTTAGACAGATTCGCAATGCTCATGTCTACTAGTGGTTGTATGTGGTCGATTCCAATCACGGTCCCTTTGGGCCCCACGAGGTTGGCGAGAACGGCGGTCAGGTAGCCTGAGCCAGAGCCGATATCGAGAACTTTGGCGCCAGGAGGCAGATGTGTGAGAAGCGATTCGCATGCGTTGGCGTGCATGTGTGGCGCGGAGATGGTGGCGGCGTGACCGATGGGTTGGGGGTAGTCCCGGTACGGAGAAGAGGGCGCGAAATGGGCGCGGTCGACCTGGTTGAATGTTAGATGTTGAAGTTGGGTGTGGAACAAGTCGTGTGGTGTGAGATGGGAGTACCTTCATCATAGCTTCTTTGACGCGCTCAGTTTCTATGAGACCGTTCTTCTTGAGATTATCGATGAGCTCTTCATTGGTGTCGCCAGAGCTTCGCCATGCCATGCTGAACGTTCTGGACGATTGGTATAGGCGCGCAGACTCGATGTGAACAGATAGACCGCGCGTAAGGCGGAAAGGCTTTGTTAGGACAGGCACGGTGAAATCGAATGCACAGGACGACGAGGGGCTTGATGTCTGTAAAGAAAAGAGGATGTATTCGTGCTGGAGGCTACAAACTGCGTTGCTATGGCAAGGAGCTCCTACGTACACAGGACCTAGAGCGTGAGTGTAGCGTGGCAAGACGCGTTAGGGCACATAATGGTGACGAGAGAGGGGTGCTGCGCGCATGTGAGCTCCTTGCTAAATCCGGGGTAAATGAACGCTAGTGTTATCGATTGTGCGAGGCCCCACTTAGTCATGCCAAAAAAAGTTCGCGACGAAAAGTTGGTCGCGTCCGATCAGCACTCAAATACACAATGGCGCCGCCCGCCGTAAAACGAAGAAAGCTAGACCATAGCGACCTAGAAGAGGAGAGTGAAGGGAGCTTTGCGGGGTTCGATGGTGTTAGCGACGCAGCATCCGACACAAGTGCTGGCGCGGGAGAAAATGGCGACGATGGAAGCGATGTTTCGATGAACGGCGCACAAGACTTTGAAGACTTGGAGGAGCTAGACAATGCCAGCGAGGAAGAGGACGATGATGATGAAGTGGCGGAAGAAGAGGGGAGCAAGCCAGCGCCAGCTGTGAAAGCGTCTACTCAAACGAAGCCGCCGAAGCGCCCTGCCGCCAGCCTCGAAGACGGCGTGTATACGTCCGAGGCTTTCAAGTCGAATTTGTTCAAACTACAAGTTGATGAGCTCTTGGAGCAAGTAAAGCTGAAACATGGGAAGAAAGAAGCCGCTGCAGAGAATGCGATGCGGACACTGAAGGCCCTAATCGAGCAGATTCCCAGTCGAGAGCCTCTTGCAGTATGTATATCCAGTATTGGATAGACGTGACGTCTTCTGACCCGCCCTAGGTCTCCGAAGCCGAGAAAAGCCTCAAGTCGTCCGGAGTAGCGGTACCTTTCCCCGTCCCAGGCCCACCGAAAGACGCCAAATACAAGCTACAATACGAACGGCCCGCTAGCATCAATGCGACCGGCAGTTACCCGCTCAAGATTGCGACTCGCAACAATGACGAGTTCTCCATTGACTTGGTTGTGACTATGCCAAAAAGCATTTTCACAGACAAGGACTACCTGAACCACCGATACTTCTACAAGCGCGCATTCTACCTGGCGTGTCTTACATCAGGGATCAAGGCATCGAAGGAACACACGTTCAAGCTTTCGTACGACTATCTCAACGGGAACCAGCTCCAGCCGATCTTGGTGGTCCGCCCAAGCGGTAACGGCGACGGCGACGACTTTTCGAGCGCAAAGTGTGCGATCAACATCCTGGTCGCCGTGCCAGAAGACACCTTTCCCAAGAACAAGCTGCAGCCAGGCTCGAACGGTGTGCGACCGAAGGAGGCCGAGGACGATGCGGTGAACAGGGCACTCTCACCTACGCCATTCTACAACAGCACAGTGCAGTCAGATGCGAATGTCACTGCGTATCTCAAGCTATTACACGCCACAGCTTCGAAAGCTGACGCATTCAGAGATGCATGTGTACTTGGTCGTGTTTGGCTGAAGCAACGTGGACTTGGAAGCCGATCGCGCAAAGGCGGATTTGGCAACTTCGAATGGGCTACACTTGTGGCACTGCTACTCCAGCCAGACATAGGTATAGGGGGACAAGCGCTTTCTACAGGCTACAGCAGCTATCAGCTGTTCAAGGCGACCCTTCAATTCCTCGCACGCCACGACCTTTCCAAGAAGCCGTTCATGATACAGGCCCCAGGCGTCACCATCCCCAAGAATCAGAGCACGCCTGTCTTCTTTGACGGAGCTCGAGGACAGAACATATTGTTCAAGATGACTCCGTGGTCTTACAGGCGATTGCAAATTGAAGCCAAATCTACCGTGGACATGTTGAGTGACTCCGTTTTCGACCAATTCGATTCAACGTTCATTCTAAAGACCGAGCTTCCCAAATTCAAATACGACGCGACCCTGGAAATCCCGCTTTCGGCCTTCGAAATCGATGCAGAGAGTGAGAGCCAGCATGACAAGCTCATCCTTACCTGCAGTAAGATGAGTAATGCGTTAACACGCGCACTGACTGATCGTATTACTGCACTATCGTTCACCCTGCCCGAGGAAGAAACCTGGTCTCCTGCCTCGCAACGTCCGAAGGGTGATCTACGTGGCTGTCTGCTTGTGAGCTTGGCGACCGATCCTGCAAATGCCAGTCGTACTGTAGACCATGGCCCGTCTGCCGAGAACAAGCAGGAAGCTGCTGCTTTCCGCAAGTTTTGGGGCGAGAAGTCTGAATTAAGACGTTTCAAGGACGGCAGCATCCTCGAAAGTGTGGTCTGGTCATCGAAGGATGCTTCTGTGTCTGTCGTTGAACAAATCATACTCTACGTTCTCGGCAAGCATCTTGGTGGAAAGGTGGTAGAGCAGGCCAAGTTTTCTGGCGACGCATTTGCACAGCTTGTTACAGCAGGCCGCATTCAAGGACAGTCGGGAGTGACGCCATTCCTGCCAATCATGAACGCATTTTCCGCCATGGAGAAAGACATTCGCGATCTCGAGGACCTCCCACTTCAGCTCCGACATCTCAGGGCTGCTGATCCACAATTGAGGTACACATCTGTAGAGCCTCCACTTCCTGGACACTCGCCTGCCGCTGTTGTATTGCAATTCGAGGGCTCAGGTCGCTGGCCAGATGATCTCTGCGCAATCCAGCGAACCAAGATCGCTTTCCTTCTTAGGATCGCGGAGCTACTGGTAAAAGCCAAGTCTGAGTACGCCGCACGTGTTGGCCTGGAGAATCAGTCGCAGCCTGCCCAAAACCAAGCGTTCCTAGATGTTACGGCTCCCGGAGGCTTTACATTCCGGATTCGAATTTACCACGATCGCGAGGTGACACTGTTCGAGAGACAACTGAAGGACAGCACATTAGATGCAGCTTCGCGGGAGTCAGCTGCTGCTTCGTTGGCTCTGTATAAACGCGAGTTCGTTCAGTCGCCTTTACATTCGCAAGTACTGCAGACTCTCTCAACACGCTTCCTTGCACTTTCACCGTCAATCAGATTGATGAAGCGATGGTTTGCGTCGCATCTTCTTGCACCACATTTCGCACCCGAGCTTGTTGAGCTACTCGTTATCCGAACTTTCTTACAACCACAACCTTGGCCTGTACCATCTACTGCCACCACTGGCTTCATCAGGACTCTATCATGGATCAGTCGCTGGGATTGGCGCCATGTGCCTCTTATAGTAGACTTTTCGACTACGTTCTCCAACAACCCCATGGAAGTGGCTGACACTACATCGAAAGGAATGAAGGCTGAAGATCTCGAGCGCTTACAGACACGCTTCGAAGCCTGGCGCCGCATTGACCCAGCGATGAACCGCGTGGTCTTGTTCGCAGCCACCAACCTGGATGAGGAGGGCACAACATGGACAGACAAATCGAAGCCAGAAAAGGTCGTCGCGGCACGCCTCACCGCGCTCGCAAAAGCTGCAACACATGCTGCGCGTGCTGATGATGACCGTTTGTTGAAGCACATCAATGGCAACGACGCGAAAGCCCAGACTGCATTGACACCGGAATCCCTTTTCAACGCCAACTTCTCCGAGTACGACATCGTCATCAACATCAATCCAAAGCACATACTCAAACCATTGAAAAAGCGCAAGTCCGAGGTGCAATTCAAGAACGTTGAGATCCAGCAATCTGCTCGAAAGGATCCAGCAACAACTCCATTGCCACAGCTCTTCGCGAAAGAACTTTTAGATGTCTATGGTGATGCGGTACTCTGGTTCTGGGATCCTGAAACACTCGACAAGATTGTAGGATTGTGGAATCCGGTTGTCACTGGGCAGCGTAGCTGGAAGATCAAGGCTGGTTGGAACAGTGAACCCATCAGGAAGAGGAGCAGTGGAGAGGAGAAGAGCAAGGATGTTGATATCAGGGTGAACAAGGCTGCTGTGATGAACGAGATCAAGAGGCTTGGTGGAGATCTGATCAAAGATATTGAAGTGAAGTCCTGATTTGGCGGCTATGTAGCGAACAAGATATCCAATTGAAGTTGCGCATCAGTGCAAGATTTTGCCCACAGACGCCTTTTGTGTCGATACATCATGCGACGGCCCAAAGAATGAAGTATAGATTGATTCTTCAGGCAACAGCGTGAAGACTAGCACTATCAAACTTCACGTGCTTCGTTGACAGCGGAAGATCGACTGCGTACTCCGGGCTTGTATTTCGGCCGATATCACGTGCACAGCCTTCCCTCGAAGGGCATCGCGCTTCGCTAGATGACCAGGTACCCGCTTTGTGAACCTACAATCATATATCTGCTAACCTGGTTCAGATGAGCTGTTGCAGAAAGTTGGTACGTGGTCCAACACCTTAAGGCTATATAACGCTTGAGTTCTCGCAACTCAAGTGTAGCAATCAGTACAGTCCTTCACCATGACCGCAATTCTTCAATCGCCTTTTGGCACTTTCCAGGGAAAGCAGAGCGATGGCATAACGCAGTATCTTGGTATTAAATATGCCAGCGTCAAGGACCAATTGTCTCCGCCAGAGCTGGTGACGGACTATGGAGATGTTGTCGTTGATGCAACACACTTTGGGTAGCAGACCCCACCAATTTGATTGACTAATACTAGACTGATATCTCTGGATCAGGCCTCGCGCACCAGCAATAGACGGCTGTAGTTTCGAACAAGAACACCTCATACAATGCAACACCAACGCACAAGAAGAGACGCCAAATATGTCGGGTACGGAGTGCCTGAACTTGAACATCACAGTCCCGAAAATGGAACTCGGTGATAGAAAGATTCCGGTCATGGTATTTATACATGGTGGCGGACTGATTATGGGCGCGAACTATTGGCCGCAATATGACCCGTCGCTGTTGGTTAAAATGAGTGGAGAGATGGATATGCCGGCGATTGCGGTGAACATCAAGTAAGTTATCAAATTGCCCATCATGAGGAGTTTGACTGAAGTGGATGATTCAGCTATCGTCTGGGTATCCTTGGAAACCTGGCATCCCAAGAACTTCATGATGCTGGATACATGGGAAACAACAGTCTACGTGATCAGAAATGTGCACTGCAATGGATCAAAAGACACATCGCGGCATTCGGTGGTGATGAAGAAAACGTAACGGTCTTTGGAGAAAGTGCGGGTGCATGTGAGATACATGGTCGCCGGTTCGTCCCAATGTCGAGTGCTGACAGTATTGTAGCCTCCGTGCTGTACCAACTCCATTCCAAGGAGCCGCTGTTCAAACGTTGTATATCGATGTCCGGCACGCCACTCATGCTCCGACCCCTCCCATTACCTGTCGCAGAGACATCATATGCCTCCATCGTCCAAACATTCGGGCTTGAGAACGCATCGACTTCAGAGCGCATTGAAAGGCTCCGAACTGCATCGCCAGAAGATCTCGTCGCCAATACACCTTTGAGTGTACCTTTACTTCCTGTCTTGGACGGAGACATCCTATCAGATGCCACAACCTTCGCAAAGCTTGCATCTCACGATCATGCAAACCTACCCGGCATGCAATGGTGCGAATCTCTGATGATCGGCGACTGCCAGCATGACGGCATAGTGTTCTTCTTCATGGGTCTATCACAACGCAAAGATGGCATCGCAACCGCACTGACAACCTCCCTGCATGAAAATCTTGCTACGTCTGCGACCCAATCAGTACTCGAAGCCTATAACATCACTGCTTCGACAGAAGACACCGACGCTTTGAAACGTATCATGGAGCTCGCAACTGACATTGCATACGTCGCCCCAGCGCTGGCGTACGCAAGGTCGTTTCCGGGAAAGAGTTATTACTACCAGTTTAATGAGCCGAATCCGTGGGATGGAACATTCAGAGGGCATAGTACGCATATGCTTGACGCGGCGTTCTTGTTTCAGCATTTCAACCATGAATTGTCGCCTGAAGCTCTGGAAGTAGCAACGACTCTTGCGCAGGACTTCGTCAGGTTTGCAAATGGCGCTGAGCCGTGGTCGGAATTTGAAGAGAAGATGGGAATGGTGAGGAAATATGGGCCGGGCAAGATCGGAATTGTTGGAAACAATGGTTGGGGAAGTGGAAAGAGAGATGTTTTGTGGAAGCTGAGTGAGGAGGGAAAGGTTGATTTAGATGACTTGATTGGAGCGTGGCATATGTTCATCGCTGGGAAGTGATAGCTTTTTACAGCTTAGCTTTGACTTTTCCTTCTTTTTTCCACTCTTCAAGTGCTTTCCCGGCTACTCGGAAGCCTTCCATAGCTGCGAGAATTAGTACTCTTTCCCTCCTGTCCCACAAGAAATGGCTTACAAGCTGGCAGACCAACATAAATTCCAACCTGCAACAGCGCCTCTCTAATCTCTTCCTCCGTCACTCCGTTTCTCAACGCTCCTCTTACATGCACGCCCAATTCCGTGCTCCTGTTCAATGCGCACAGCATACCCAGATTGAGTAAGCTCCGCTGCTGCCGGGTCAGGCCGGGTCGACTCCATATCCAGCCCCAGCCGACTTCCGTGACAAGTTCCTGGAGCGGTTTGGAGAAAGGTGTAGAGTGCCGCGCGAGAGAAGCGTCAACGTAGGAGTCGCCTGCGACGGAGCGGCGGATCGCGATCCCTTCTTCAAATAATGTCTTGTGTGCTTCGTCTACTTTTGCATCGCGTATCTTTTTTCGATCGATTGGCGGCATCTCGATAGTCTGGCAGGAGGTATTTCACGGATGGTGATGGCTGTAATCTGGTAGATGTGATAATGGAAGTGCATTGCTTCATCCGAGGTACAGCCACTAGGTGACGTAGTAATTTGTGCCTGTTCTCGCACACTGCAGTGGCCTGTAACGGCGCAGCGACAGCTAAGTCTGTATCAATTCAAGGTGTTTTCAGAAACATGTTACTGTTTAACCATCCTGTAAAGCTATACGGGACAACTATTGTGTCATAGGTAGCTCTGAAAAGCCCGACGTCATCATCACGATACTACATTGTCGCTACCCAATCTGGCCAAAGCCATTGAATCATGGGTATCCCAGGCTATTTGTGTCTTGCACAGCGATTACACTACTTGGCCTACTTTGTTGTAAGACTTCAGATGTCATTGCGTTCATTCACCCCACACGCCCAAAATGGCTTAGTGCGGGGAAGCTTCAACTCCCGTATCCGTCTACGGGCCAACTTTCCCGGCCTCAATGTGGGGAGAATACCTTCCCCACAACACCAAACTCGCTGCAATGATGAGTTTGCCGATGCGATTTCGGAAGGATGGATCCTATAGAGACTGCTTTGTGTCACGTACACCACCTCTACCATACTATCGAGGCTTCGTGGAGTGAAATCAACACAGAAATTTTCTAGTCACTTAACGGTACTCCTAAACTACCACCAATATGTCGAAACCTGTAGCAATCGTCACGGGCGCCGGATCCGGCATCGGCGAGGCTGTCGCGAAGCACATGTACAGCAAAGGCTACAAAGTCGTTGTTGCAGACATGAATCCGGCAACGGGCGAAAAGGTCGCGTCGGCTCTAGGACCAGATGCGAAGTTCCTACAAGTCGATGTCTCATCATACCAGTCTCAAGCTCGCTTGTTCAAGCAAGCGTACGAATGGGGCGGTAACAGGCTCGATTTCTGCCATGCGAACGCTGGAATCGATGATCGACAGATCTTGTATGAAGCTGAGGATAAAGAAGAGCTGGATGCGGAGGGACTCTTGAAGCCACTGAATACGAAGACAATGCAAGTCAACTTGGAGGGCGTTATCCAGGGATTGTGGTTGTTCAAGTACTATGTACGACGTAGCAAAGAAGCCGGTGGAGGCAAGGGCAAGTTCGTTGCTACGAGCAGCGCAGCTGGTCTCTAGTAAGTTTTAAAAAGCCGCAAGAGTTGTGACAGTACACCGATGCTGATCGCGTACAGTTCCATGACGCAATGTCCGCAGTACACCGCTTCCAAATACGGTGTTATCGGCCTCGCCCGTGCATCCGGCCCTGTCTTCGTCAAAGAGGGCATCACAGTCAATGCAATCTGCCCAGCTTTCATTCCGACAAACCTATGTCCGCCAGAGGTGCTCAAGCGTTGGCCTAAGGAGCACATCACGCCTCTCTCGACGGTGAACAAAGCTATCGATGCTTTCTTGGCTGACGACAAACTTACTGGCCAAGCAGTCGAGCTTTCGCAAGAGAACATCTACTTCCGCGAACAAGTCGACTACCCGAACGAGAGCCAGAAGTGGATCGGACTCGAAAGTGACAAGATTTGGAATGAAGGTTATGAAGTAGGCAAGCAGCCGCTGAAAAGGGAGGGCTACTAGGGACTCTAACACGATAAAATTCAGTAATTCATCAAGTCTAGTTGCAACAACACTGACATTGCTTGATCTCAGTCCACGCCATCCATGTTTTTCAAGTGTGAGCGAGGACAGTACGCTTGCTTGCAACCGTCTGATCCACATTGTGGCCATGCAGCAACCCACCCCTCTTGCGCGCTACGAATTGCAGTGCAACGGCCCCCATGTTCTTCTGGCCCCCAAGATCCTCGCTGGTAATATTTCGCGACACGTGTATCATATATATCCTAACTCAAAAGTTCAGCCCCTCCTTTTCTGCTTCCGCCCACTGCTTCTTCATGATCTCTGCGTGCTTTGCAGACCTCGGTCGAATGTCGCATTCGTAATTTTCCGGAACGCTGAAGAACCCAGGCGCCATCTTCTCGGTGACTTCGATTACTTGACCGTCTTTTCCGATTTTCTTGCGCAAGTTGAATCCCCACAATACCCGTGCGATGTTGATGTAAAGTGATCGCTCTGCAACATGCACACCAGGGCATACTCGTCGACCTGCACCGTAAGCAAAATGGTCTCGTGTCTTCGGGTCGGAAGCGTTGATGTAGTCTGCTGCTGAGGCGGAATGGTTGAGATAGCGCGAGGGATCAAATGCATCCGGGTTAGGCCACAGTTCTGGATCACGGTGGATTGCCCTAGCATACGATCAGATATCGTGTTTCAATCCCACTGTTGGAAAGACTTACCACCAGTTTAATACTGCAACACTTCCCTTAGGAATGAAGTAGCCCTCATACCAATCATCCTCGCTCGTAGCGTGCGGCATTCCAAATTTGTTGACTGGTCTCCATCGCAAGACTTCTTTGATCACGCCTCGTACATATGGTAAGCTCTCTTCATCTTCCCAGGTTGGCAATCGATCTGGTCCTACCACTCGGTCCAGCTCTTCTTGTGCCTTCTTCTGCACTTCTGGGTTTAGTAGCATACACAGTACGAAGTTGTTCAAAGTGGTACCAGTCGTTTCAGATCCGGCCTCAATCAGGCCGCCGCAGGTATACGCTGCCGAAAGATCATCGATTCCACTCTTCGCTGGGTCTTTGAGGTAGAAAGTCTTTGTGAAGCAGTCTTTCGCTGTTCCAGCGTCCGTTTCGCGCTTTAGTCGATTCCATAAGTCCAAGTTCAACTGACTGTCTTGCTCGAACACCCTCTGTCCATGCGATCTCCAGTTGCCCAACATCCATTGCGGCAAGCTGGCTAAGCTTGGAAAAGAGTCAATTGCATGCGCACCAGGAGCCGTCATCTTTGTAAATCGATCTAGCATAGCGTAGATGCGCTGGATAAGAGGGTCGTTCCAGCTCGGTATCCGGTAGCCATATGTGACTAGCATGATGACGCTAGCAGAGTATCGTCGATTGATCAAGATGAAATCGTCCGGACTTTCCATAAGCTCTTGGAGGAGGTATTTGCTCTCGAAATCTTGAACTGGCTGGTACTTCACACTTGAACGAAGGTTGAGCAAGTCGTGGCTATGTTTTCGAATGCTTCTCCATCGTGCTCCATAAGGCATGAACAGCTGTCGTCTTCCTGCGGAAGCTACGTCTTGAGCCAAAGGTGCCGGTGCCCTGGAGGAGTATATGCCACTCTTCTTGTCCATAAGGTCCTTCACTACTTTGGGTGAAGAGAGCCAAACGTAGTCCGTGCCGCCGATTTTCGTATAGAATATCTCGCCGTACTGTTTGCGCCATGCGATAGCCTTGTCACGCACGAGTTCGGTATCTGCTAGATCGAGCATGTTTCCAACGAAAGGAAGACCTTTGGGGCCTGGTGGAAGTTTACGCCGACGAGGATCCTTTGAAATGGTCAGCAACGAATGCGCTCTCCTAGGAAGATGCTAATAGCAACATATTTCGTGGCGGTAAGCTTACCTTGATGACATTCGGTACAATGAAGAAATATGCAGTAAGTAGAAGCAATACAGGCGAGATGAAAAGAAGCGATAATTTCAACAAGACAGGCGATAATGATACATTCTGAATCATGTCGAAAGCTGCCATGGTGGAACGAGGTTCAATCGAGGAGCTTTTGATGGTTGGGAAACACGTTCAAGCCATCTACTATGGTGCGACAGATGCCTTTAGACAATGAGTAGAGAATAGACTGCAAATTGGGGGAACTGATAGTCAACCCATTTCTTAGTTACTGAAATTATTTCACTGGCCGTCCGACATCTCACGCACAAACCTCGGACTAGCATCTCAGGGTCCAGGATTTGGGGTGTTGAAGTTCCCCACAGCTTCCCCGCAAACAGTGAATGTGCCCCACAATGCGCTAGCACCGTGTCTGGAAGTGTGATGATCCCAAAGAAGGAACGAACGTAACAAACTTAGCGTGACAAAGTTGATCATGCCTTCTATGCGCGAGCTGCTGGACATTACATAACAAAAAGATGCCGCTGGAACGAGATGCTGAAGGTCGAACCTACGTTGTCCACCCGAATGGTCAACGAACACATTATATTTGCGACGACTTCACAGATCCTTGGAAACCTCGAGAAACAATCTTGATCCAACACGGGTTCGGCCGACATGCGAATTTCTGGTACCATTGGGTCCCGGTCTTGTCCAGCAAATTCCGTGTGATCCGACGCGATCTACGCGGCCATGGCTACTCGAGCTTTCCATCTCCAGAAGAGAAGCAGAAATATCTGTACGATCTTAATACTATTATCGGAGAAGTAGTCGATACACTGGATCAGCTTGAAATTGAGAAGGTGCATTTCCTTGGTGAATCGACGGGTGGCATGCTGGGTGAAATCCTCGCTGCAAAGCATCCGGACAGACTGTTGAGTCTGACAGTATGCTCGACGCCAACATATCTACCACCGCCTGCTTTGGAACTCTTCGCATTTGGGCAGAAAGACTGGCCAGCTGCTTGCAGAGAGCTAGGATCACGAGGTTGGGCCGAAGCACTGTCTCGCATCCCGGGAACCATACCAATATCTGATCCTGAGTATCTTCCGTGGTACCTAGATCAGATCGCCATCAGTAAAGGCGAAGGATTAGCACAGTACGCTGAGTTTCTTAGTACGCTTGATGCGCGGCCGTTTTTGCGGGAGATACATGTGCCGATGTTGGTTCTGACCCCGACCGAGAGTGTTGCCGTCAGGGTTGATGATCAGAAAGCTTTGGTGGAAGGCATTGAGAGTTGCAAGTTGGCGCTTGTTGATGGCGGTGGGCACGAGATCTATGTGACTCGAGCTGAAACATGTCAACGTCTCTTCCTCAATTTTGTGAGTAGTGTAGTACAATGAGTTTCATCTATCTTGGTTTTTCGCTTCATGCTCTCTCAATAAAAGGTCCTGGTGCATGAAAGTGTAGTTAGGGGCCGGTAAACTACCATCCTAAGTATTATGCAATCTCAGTATATCCTTAGAGTACTAATGTGCTCCTCAACATTCATTCTAACATACTTGATTCTACTGTAGGTACATCTTGCGTTGCCAGTTTTCCGGTCGAGAGTGATCCAAATCTGAGTCGCACGCATATCTATGAGCAAGATTTGTGTAATGCGAGCTATGCCGGAACACTCAAGCCCATGACTACATGCCCAGCACATCCTATCAATATGCTCAATAGCTAGGTCCCAATCACTCCCACCTCACCGCTCCAGCTCTGCTCAAATGGGCCAAGCAAAGTTCTTCACAGCCCCACTCAGCAACGTTTGTATGTCTGGAACATCAACAGGTTGACGTATCGGATACCACTTGTAGTTCTCGTCCTGTTTTGTCGTCCACAGGCGCATGTTTCGCAGAGCGCTGTTCGCATACTTGATGGAAAGGTTCCTCTGCCTCCACCTCGAGCAGAGGTGTCTCTTTGTCAGTGCCTTCGGGCGCGGTCTCGTTCTTGATATCGTCCGAATCTTTGGTCACGACCCAAATGGGCACAGATGCCTGAACAGTTTCATCTCGGGGACCTGATTGCTTCTTCTCCACCCCCTTCAAGATTTCCAGCAGCCGCCTACCGCCGCCAGTCTCATGTCGATATCTTTTCGCAATGCTATAATCAGCTCGAGTAAATGCCTCGCGCACCCCTCGTTGGACACCGTCGACCATCATCCGCAACGTACCCATTGCTACACCCTTCGTGATCCTGTCCTTGAGCACTTCGCCCGTGATGGCGAGCTTGATCTCGCCTTCCCATGTAACATCGGTGATATCTTCGTAGCCGCAATGAAGTTCGATATACGCGTCCATCATGTCAGTTGAGATAGTAGGCAGGCGGAGGACGCGCTCGCGTGGTGGGAGCTCGGCGTACGCAACAAGGACTTCAGAGAACTCAGGGACATCGACTAGAAGGAAAGGATATGGTGTTTCATTGGGTCCTAGGAGAAGGAGGATTCGGTTGGTGGGGCGGTTGAAGGGAGTAAGGTAGGGGAGAAGGGCCCAGTCGGAATCGTTGGTCATGCTCGATGATCAAGGCGTTGATGCTGGTAGTGTGATTATAGTAGAGTTGAGGTTATAGAAAAGATACAATGAGAAGAGCATGGCTGGATGAGAGCATGCCGACTTATGAGGAATAGGCGGGGAGCTACGCAGAGACAATGAATGAAACATGATTTGCCTGTTTCCTCGTGTTTCTGATAACATTTCACCGGTTAGTCGTACAGCGAACTTTCCCTGGGGACAAATCAACGATCTTGTACATGAAGTAGAGCTAGGTCACATATTGAATATGCTCGGCGTTGGCGTCGCATAGCAGGTGAGCTGGTATTGATGCTGTTGCGTGTGGTGACGGTCCAGCGTGTGGTTGCGCACCGGTGTGGCGTACTTAGATACCTGTGTAGGTAGTGACAAAGCAGATTTGCACGTGCGCGTGAAATCTCATTTGGCCAGCGCAAGTGAATGTCCGCACAGCGGGATCAGTGCTGCGTTTGCCTCCGCACGAGCAGCACCGACTACTGTAAATGCATACACAGTACCTTGAATTCTGCTAGTAGTCCACGGTTAATCAAGGCGTATATAGGACAAGTCATTGTTGGATATTTTACAGAAACGCCTTCGGTGGTGTGGGTTAGGTCCGGATAACCTCCACATCAGAGCAAGTCATCACTCCGCGGGTTCGAATCTGGGGTTGCTAGGTTTACCGGTTCGGCTTTTTTTTTACTTTTTCATAAGCTTCTTGCTGATGTCTCAAATATGACCTCTGTGGCGCGCCAGTGCGCGGGCGCCAGTAGTCATGGCATGCAAGCAGATTGCGCCTTTTTTTGTCCACACAATGGTCTGCGCAACGCTCGTGGATGTAGGAATTGGTGTGTGATGTTCACTGTTCTCTGATTCGCTATCAACCGTGATATCACCTCTTCCTGCCATCGTGTATATACACTCCAATCACAAAGACGCGCTGATGACCAGTTTTCGGTTCTTATTTCGTCTCGTTCTCCGGTGTGACAGCAAAGGTTGGCCGGACGAACCTGCGGATGGTTATTAATTGTGTCCTGCCTCAACGTTCTGGTAACGCACCTGTCGCTGTTGTAGATCCTGGTCTCTGAACCGAGCAATTCCTTCTCCCTCGCCTTATCCGCCAGGTATCTTCGGACCTGGTCGCGGTCCTCCTCGGCCTGGAGCGCTGGGATGAGGTATATCCGCGCCCACATCTTCTCGCGTGCGAGTTCGCTGCAACATGTCAGTTAAGTTCTCCACGCCGCCTAATTCCGTTACAGCTTCAAGCTAGGCCTCCGAAGCCATAAACACATACTTGTGCTCTCTGATGCCCTGTCCCACTCTCCAGAAACCATATGTCATCAACCCTCCCATTCCAATGATGTATACGGCGGGTCGGAAGCCGCGAACGGGCAAGTTGCGCTTGTATTGAACGGCGCCGTAGCCGCCGATCGGCGGCATATCCTGCGGCATGGTGGGCAGTTGTTATTCGTGGCTCAATGGGTGAGGGAGTGCGCCGGCGATGCGGAGACGTGAGGTGAGGCTGCGAGTTGGGAGCTGCGATGCGATGACAAGGGTACAGGCTTGGCGCGCTAGTGATCGCATAATTTGTCGAATGTGAGTGGGCGGTTTCTTGAACATCATCAGAACCTCGACAAAATTAATAACTTTTGGCAAAAATGGAGTCAGAAGAGAGGCCTGCGAAGATGCGCAAGTTGGAGCATGAGGAGAATGCGGACATCATTCTCAACGATGAGGTTCCTACAACAACTGCCACCGTCGACGAATCAAATCCCGTAACTACGGAATCCAGCGACACAGTGGCAGCGACTGGAGAAACCCCCGTAGCAAATGCGGAAGAACCCAAGATTTCGAAAAACCAGTTGAAAAAGAAGAGGCGGCTGGAGCAATGGGAAGCAGGTCGTGAAGATCGCAAAGTCAAGCGAAAAGAAAAAGCCAAAGAACGCAAGGAACGCAAACGTGAAACTTGGAAGGAGCAGAATACCGACGAGAACGGCAACGTACTGCCAATGCCTCCTTCACGGTTACCGAGGCACTTCTCAGGCTTCGGTGCACAGGTGCCTATCACCATCATCTTCGACTGCGATTTTGAGGACCTAATGTACGACGCCGAACTCAAGAGCTTGGGACTGCAAATCACTCGATGCTACAGCGACAATCGAAAAGCCAAGTACAAGACGCATCTTGCACTCAGCAGCTTTGGTGGCAAAATGAAAGAGCGCTTCGATGGCATTTTGGCGAAGCAGTACACGAACTGGAAGGGCTTCCGATTCTTCGAAGAAGACTTCGTTGCTGTCGCTGAAAAGGCAAAGGAATGGATGGTCGCCCCGAACGATGATGAAGATATTGGAGCATTGAGACGACCAAGCGAAGGCTCCGCGGAAGGCAAGGAGCCGCAAGCAGGTGACGCAGACGAAGAAGGCGAGATAGTCTACCTGTCTGCCGAGTCCGACAACGTCCTCACACATCTCAAACCCAACAGCACATACATTATCGGAGGTCTAGTTGACAAGAACCGGCACAAGGGCATTTGTCATAAGAGAGCCGTCAACCGAAACATTAAGACCGCGAAACTGCCCATCGGAGAGTACCTAGAGATGAGGGATAGGAAGGTACTGGTCACGAACCATGTACTTGAAATCTTGCTCAAGTGGATGGAGTACGATGACTGGGGCAAGGCCTTCATGGAAGTCATGCCGAAGAGGAAGGGCTTCAAGCTGAGAGAAGACGGAGAACGGGAAGAGGCTGAATCAAACACCGGGACTCAGAATGGCGACGAACAGGATGAGCAGGAAATGGAGGATGCTGCAAAAGAGGCAGTCGAGGAGGCAGAGGGTACCACAAACGTGCCTGAGACAGAGATCATCGAGACTACAAAAGGGCTTCCGGTTGGCGAGACCGCCGCCGACTGAGCTCTACACAACAATTAAATTCGAATATGCACCCATTACACATTTCATCCTTTGATGATGCCTCAGGCGTAAACGCTCGTGACTATCTTATCGGCTAGCGGCATATAAGCTTTCCGGGGACCGCTAGTGCGCCGCAGCGGGTAAGGCAGCGATCGAGGTACGAGAAGAAAAGCAATATTTGGTGCAAGGATTCATCTCATTTTCACTCCCATTTGAAGAAATGTCATGCTATAATAGGGAGCAGCTTGAACTCGTAAGCGCGAAAAGGCTCCCTTACCGCATGGCTTGGCATCGATGCCTTGCTTTGAGGCTCGTAACAGCTGTCCGCTCACTAAGCATGCAACGTCACAGCTCTCCACCCACCTCTGACTTCTAACTTGCAGCGATCCTAAGCCATCACGCCTATGCGCGACGCTCCACAATTAATCTAGGCACACAGACTTCGTTACATACATCGAGCGATGTCGCGTAACACAGACTCTCCCCGGTCTTCTCAGCCATCCTCTCCGCCATCTTTACAACCTCCAGCCGCGCGCTCATCCTCATACTTCACATACCCAATATCATATGCCGTTTCTGGAGTACTGCGACGTCTCAACACCGAGGGCGCTCCCAAACAAGAAGCAAACGGGAATCCAAGGACAGAGACTAGCTCAAACAGCATACAATCGCAGCTCTTCGACACTGCTTCATCGCTATCTCATTCTTTCGCTAGCCTGGTTTCCGCCTCTTCCACTTCGGCCTCCGACATGAACGACGTATTCCGACCGCCTCATCGATACGCGAGTCCCTTCCAACCACCACCGCTCACACCTCTGACGTTGAAGGGCTATAGGCCTGGGACACGGGAGAAGGGCAGGCTCCTAAGCAAGGCGCTGGCGGAAGAGATACGGTTGCTCGTACCACCACGGCTACAGCTGGTGGACGAGTGGAAACTGGCATACAGTCTGGAGCAGAATGGCGTGAGCCTAGGAACCCTATACAAGATAAGCGAAGACTATCGAGGAAGACGAGGCGGCTACGTGCTCGTTGTCAAAGACGGAAGCGGAGGCGTGTTCGGCGCATACCTTTCCGACCCTCCGCACCCTTCATCGAGCTTCTACGGCAATGGCGAATGCTTTCTGTGGCGCGCGCATATTCTCTCTTCGCTGCCGGATCTGGCGATGAATCTGCCACCGCCGCCTTCTGCAGACACGACGCACGCGACCCGCATGACGACGATTTCGAGTCCCACGAGAGCGTCAAGAAAGGATGCGCTATCGCTGCCAGACTCAGGGTCGACGAGCAGGAGCGGCACAAGTACACCTGAGAGGATACGGTTTAAGGCGTTTCCTTACAGCGGGGTGAACGACTACATGATTTTCTGCGAGCACAGCTATTTGAGCATTGGTGGAGGGTAAGTCCTGCAATTCTCGGCGACACGAGGCGAAGCTGACCATATTACAGTGATGGCCACTACGGTCTTTGGCTGGACGACAATCTCGAGAACGGTGTATCGGATACGTGTCCAACATTTGGCAACGAGCCGCTGAGCGACGACGGGAAGAAGTTTGAGGTCATGGGCGTTGAGCTTTGGTATATCGGCTCGTGATGGATTCGAGGTCTCTGGCATATTTCTATCGCATGGCGTTTGGGTAGGTAAATGATACCAGTCTAGCTCTCAGGTGAGAGACGACATTTCGAAATTATATTCATGCACAACATCATACTCGCCTCTCACCTCTCACTCCGCTAGTCCCTAACCGCTCGCTTGTTTCTACTTCCTCTATCTAGTCTTAACTTTGTGTCTTCCACGACAGCTGACCTACCTCATTGCTTCCAGCTTGCTTTGGTGGGACTCTTAACATATTCTCGAAGACGTCCTCGACATCGAATCAGGTATTGCTTGTTTCAGACTTTACCTATCATCACCTACCCGGAGATCCTCACATTAGAGACAGTCATGGTCATCAAGAAGACCCGCGGAGCTACCAAGAAGCTTGGTCCGATCAGGTATGAGCTGAAGCTACATTCATCAGCCTCCACTAACACAAGTGCAGCCTGGGACATAAGACCATCCGCTTCCAGACTCGTGGTAACGACAAACGAACCTTCTCCGTCCATGAAGACCTCATATGCGCCCACTCCCTCGTCTTCAAGGAGAAGCTCCAGAAGGTACGCAAAACCCTGGAAGGTGAATGCTCGATCTGCCATGAAGAGCTCGATCCATGCAAAGGCGACATCGCGTTCTGCAAAGGCTCTTGTGGTCAGAACATCCACGAGAAGTGCATTCAGCAGTGGACTCGTACTCAGCGAGCAGGCTCAACTACCTGCCGGATGTGTCGCAAGCCATGGGTGATGGGGGCCGAAGACTTGATCACTTTGGACTCGGAACTCGATCCAGACGCCGTCCAGATCTACCTGGATTGGCTTTATACTGGGCAACTACATATCAGCGAAGCCATCACCCGCGAGTCAAACGAGTTCAACATCCAACTTCTGAAGGCGTGGATTGTCTCTGAAGCTTTTGGTGATCGAGCCTTCAGAAAAGATATCATCGTACAACACTACGCGGCGATAGATGAAGACGACAACTGGGGTTCAGACTCGATGCTATAGAGTTTGCGTTCGAGGATAACAATCACGACTACACGCAATCCTTCGTCGTTGACTCAGTCCATGCTCATGCCGACTGGGATGCCATCGATGACGACATAGATAACTACCCAGACGAGTTCGTGCGCAAACTATGCCTCGCTGGGATACAGTTCAAGCAGAATCAAGGGACAACAGCCAAGGATGACATGCGGGAGAATTGGGAATAGACCAGATGCTATCGGACCAGGCCACGAGAGAGCACACGAACGAAATATCGACTTCAGATCTCTAGGCACTGGCGATATTCGGAATTTCGATTGAGGCAATGCTTCATGAAGATACTGTGATGTAGCCATCACAAGAATCTGCGTTTCTCGAGAAGATTATAACACTTCCCAGCGGATCTTGGACACCATCTATGCATCCATGGAATGCGCGCAAATCACAGCAATGAACTTGCAACCAATGACGAGATCCTGCAATTTTGGATGGACCAACTGGGGCTGTGGCGTGGAAGATCAGGGCATGCTCTCATCGGAGGATATCATTGAGATTTCGGTTCCACATACGGACTCAGGAATGTACTTGAACTTTCATGAAAGGCCAATGATACACAAAATTGAACATTTCATACAACAAGCTCCCACAAGAGTACATGAGAGACGGCGAGACATGTTGAATCCTGCAAGAATCCGTCTGGAATGCATCACGCAGGGCACCCTAACCCGCACAGAGCATCGTTGGTATGACCAGTAGCATTAAACGTCAGCTTCAAATTTTCTACATTAGTCACTTCGGCAACAGGGTAAGCAACAAGCAGGCGGAATATCGACTCAGTAAACCTGCCAATCCAACAAGTCGAACCGACGGTTTGATGATTGAAGCTCAGTCACAGCTTGGAGATGGCGGATCCAAACCATCACACTCTAGTCAATATCGACTGTAGGCCGGTAAAGTCGAAGACTGGCGACATCATGACTACGTAAATGCCATGTGTCCGTATATTCTACTTCAATTTTGTGCGGAGGTCGTGTCTTTCTCTTACCTTTGTAAGAGCTGCCCGCGTCGTCCTAGACGGATATCACCTCGCTCTCTTACCTTACACGGCCGATGGCCCGTCAGTGGAGGGTATACGTCTTTCGTCCTCCTCTTGACCTTCTGTCGTTCCATCTACAATCTCTGCTTTTGCCTCCTCACCGCCCATGATGACCGTCCACAAATCTCGCGGATCGACCAAGAAGCTGGGCCCAATCAGGTACGAAGCATCAATGGTACTCTTTATTTCAACTGCAGCTGCTGATACCATCGTAGTATCGGCAACAAAGTTGTGCGCTTCAGAATCCCAAGCATCGAACGTCGATTCACCGTCCACGAGGACCTCATCTGCCGCACCTCTGCGCTATTCAAGAAGGAGCTCCAGAACAACCGCAAGATCGTCGAGCATGCCGCCGAAGCTGAGGAGTGTTGTATCTGCCAAGAGGTTCTCGATCCGACTATCAAGGACATTGCCTACTGCGTCAAGTGTGGCCAGGATATACATGACTGTTGCATCGAGCAATGGAAGCGAAGTTCGACCACCCCCATCAAGCCAGGCGCCGTTCGCCCGCTGCCGAAGTGTCCGATGTGCCGCGCCGACTGGAAGACCGAGCCTCTGATCAAGAGCCTGGCACTCAACGACAAACTCGACGCTGAGGCTGTGCAGAGGTACCTCGACTGGCTCTACTCCGGCCTCCTGCATATCCCCGCCACGATGTCTCGCAAGACGGAGGTCTTCAATCTTGCCCTAATTAAGTGCTGGGCTGTCGCGATTACCATGGAAGACAAATGCTTCAAGAATGTGGTTGTCCGCACCTTCTTCAGCGAAGTCACTGCGCAGTTCTGGTTCGAGAGCGTGAGATGGGCGTTTGCGAATGGTGGTGCGAAGGACGAGATCAAGGAGTTCGTCATTGACGTGTTCATGTCCGATATGGAGGCGGGATGGTTCAGCAAGGATGGACACAACTGGCCGACGGAGTTCGTCATGGTGCTTGCCGACAGGGCGCTCGATGGTGCGGCGCGGAGGAGCTATGATCAGGTGCAGAAGGATTGGACGAAGAAGCTGCAGATGGAGGATGAGGAGGTCGATGAAGGGGACGAGGAGGCTACAGGTGAGCTAGGGCACGCTGCAGACGATCGATACAGGACGGAGAAGGCGAAGAAGTGTTTCGACAACGCCAAACTGTCGGCCTACACTAGCTCTAGGAATAAAAGAAGGGATGACCATGACCAGAGGGAGAATACGACGATTGGTGCGAAGTTGGAGAGCATTAAGATGAGGGTAGCAGATTTGACCCGTGGCTGCGCGGCGTATGACCAATCGCGCTGAACCAATCCTTCCATTCTCTTTCAGACCTTCTATGTCTCTCTCGTTTACTTCAAGTATTATATTATTGCAAGTTTAGCTTCGATGCATTTGATGCTGATCCGGCCGGGCACGAATCCTGCGAAACAATCCAGGCTGATCAATTCCAATTACAAATCATGGTAGTCCTCATAAGTATGAGTGGTCGAGGCTTTCTGCTCCAACTACGTTAGACCTGGTGCTTTACGCATGCACTGCTTTCACCTAGACTCTCTCTCTCACTTCCTTATGTGCTTTCCGTTTACCATGTAGGCCGCAGGTTATCTCACTTAGGAGGTGAGGTTCAAGTGTGGAGTCTCGCCAGCTACCTACACTATAAGACACCCCGCGTACCTTTCCCACCTCCGTCTCTTCTCCACGCCACTTCCAACATCATTGCTCCTCGTCCAAATCGTAAGTATCGTGCTGTAATATGTCGAAAGGAGCAGACAATTGACTTGAAACCAGATCAAGACCATGTCGCAGCTCGGATCGTCTACCGCGGCATCAAGTGTCAAGCGAACCTCAACTGCAAGCCATGGACGGACTGAAGCCAGACCTGAAGAGCGTATCAGCATCCGCAAGAGTAAAGCGGTCAAGTATGTCATTAACCAACTGAATTTGATTCCAGTCGATCAGAACTGACAGTAGCCAGATATGGACGCCGCATCGCCAGGTTGCGCATCGGCCGTACTAGAGAGACCTTCGCGATTCACGAGGAGCTCATCTGTTCCCAGTCGACTTATTTCCGCGAAAAGCTATAGAAAGACAGAAAGCCGATTGAGGGCGAGTGCTCTATATGCCACGATGACATGGATACTTGCAAGAAAGAGATCACGTTCTGCGCTCAGGGGTGTGGAGCCAACGTGCATTACGACTGCATGAAGAGATGGAAGGAACAAAAGCTTGCAAATGCAGAAATCGTCAAGTGTCCATTATGTCGTCGGATCTGGCCAACCGAAGGGGGTGAACAAGCGCTCCAATGTGCAGATCTTGACGCCGATGCGTTTCGTATTTACTACGATTGGCTGTACCATCGCACTATATCTCTACAGGAAGACGAGGCTCCAGTTGATCTTACGCATAGACGTACCCATGGTGGCAAAGAATTTTGCGGCTTGCTGAATGCGTATCTACTTGGCGCACAAGTGCAAGATAAGGCTTTCCGTACAGCCATTCTACGAGCCTTCCTGGAAGTCATGAAAGAGACCAATATTTATCCCGGTCCATATCAGATCAACCCAGTCTACCGTAAGACGAAGCCTTCATCAGGGATCCGAAAATTCCTGGTCGAAGTTCATGTCTCTTTCGCCGAGTGTGGTTGGATCCAGGAAGACCGGAAGCGATATCCTGCCGTCTTCCTTGCGGATTTGAGCATTGCACTCTTGCGAACACGAAATGTGGCTGAGAATACTGGTCCACAAATAGCGAAGCTGAAGGACAGATTCTGCAACCACGGAGATGACATCGTCGAAGAACTGAGATCTGACGCATCAGATTCTGACTCTGATTAACTCCTAAAGGGATGAGGTGTGGCTGTTACCGAGGCGGCTACAAAACACTTGCTGTGCAACAGCACACTAAACACTGAACATCATGGCTGCGATAAGCCATTATGGAAATGACTTCCGAAAGGCAGTTTCGACACGCAAGCCCGGAGGATCGGTCCGTTCGTGCTTGTGATACACAAACATTTCGCTCTTTGAGCACTATGATTGCAGCAAGCGTTAATGGTCACGTCAAAGAGACAAATCAAATCAGCCGTATGATATCAGCATCTTTTCACATCACCCTCAATCATATACTGTCTTTTAACTCCGTTCCTACCTCATAAATTGAGAAAATTGCAATTATTTTTGACAACATACTAGCACAGTGTTCTGTCAATCCCTCTCTTCGACCATCAGATACCTTGCGTGCGGTGCAAATCATTGTTCCATCTTAACGTATGCCTGTGTGGATAGACTGAAGTCGTCGTCTCCCGGCAGCACCAAGAGCGCCGTCACTTGCATTCTACCTGACCTAAGGTTCCTCCTGGACCCTGCATTGTCACCCACCATTTCATCCAAATGGAGTTCGTATATAAGGCTGCTATCCCGAGAATACATGTTCTTCTAACCTATTGTAAATTCTGTTATGTCGTGGAGTCTATGCGCCATCCGATCACGCGGATGTCCCGTTACGTGGGGATGGACGTTAAAAATGAGAGCCATGTTCATTATGATGTTATAGGGGTAGATGCCTTCTAACAGCCTGCCAAAATCCCATTATTGCTCTTAATTAAAGAATTCTAGGTTGACCTTTTCCCTTGGAGACAAAGTGATTTCACTCGCCATTTGTAACCGCGATGTAACAAACCGTTCTGCTAGTTCTGGGCCATCACCTGTACGCAGCCACTTAGTAGATTGGAAGGTTGGCTTCTCCATCCGCAGCTCCACTCTCGAAAAGCGCTGGAAAATGCGTACTATCAGATACGACATTTCTATTAGCGCCAACTCTTGTCCAATGCAGACGCGAGGTCCTCCACTAAAGGGAATATATGTCCAGGGCTGGGGTGTCCAATTCTGCCATCGATACGGAGAAAACTCATCAGGTGGCAGGAAACTTGGACTAGTCGGTGGTTAAAGTTCGGGAGTAAGATCTTTTGTGTAAGGAGTCAGCATGTGCCCCAATCCCTTGTCAAGTAATTACCTACGAAGCAGATGAGTTGAGTAAATGACTTGTGTTCCTTCTCTGAGACCGATCTGACCAGTTCCATCTGTTCCACCGCCGCGTGGCAAGCTCGTGTCCTTAAGAGCGGTGCGAATATTGAATGGAGCATTAGGGTAGAGGCGAAGGGTTTCATTGAGTGTGTTGGATAGGAACCTCATTTGCTTCAAGTCCTTGTACGTAGGCTTCCCAGCAGAAGCATGGATCCTTACGGTTTCTTCAATCTCGCGGCGTAGATCAACCAGCACTCCCGGATTTCTTGCCAGCTCGTAGAACAGAAAGGTCATCGTCGTAGAAATAGTGTCTCGTCCGGCAATCAGGACTGTCATGAGTTCGTCGCGGAGAAGCTTTGGATCTCGTGAGATTGCTGCGCAGGCGTGAACAAAAGTCCACTCTTTATCAGCTTTACCCAATGCTTCAAGATCAGCTTGTGGCAAGGAGATGGCTTGCTCGATTGTTGGCCGCATAAATGCATCCACTGTGTTGAGATTCTGACGAAATTGGCTCCGAGGAATGAGAAATTTCAACGGCCCCAATCGCTCGATTAGAGATTGGGTCCGACGAATGCGATCAAATGCGTCGAAGAAGCCATCGTTACAGCCCCACCTGTCTACCGAGAGAAAAATCTGCTGACGAGTTCAGGGCAAATCTGCATATTTGAGTTATCGCTGCTCTTTGTGGATTGTTCGCGACCAAGCTTACCGACTCAAGAGATCTTTCATATCAACAGTTTGATGTTCTTCTAAGACAAGGAGTAAATTCCGAGCGTGTCTTTCGACACAATCAAGATCGTCGACTCTTCGGCGCGTGAACAGAGGCCGCAGTCGCTGACGAGATTCGTGCCAAGCCTTCCCGTCCACATTGAAGACGCTGTTAACCATAAGTTCAAACCAATCAGTTCGAAATCTCTTGCCCTTGCCAAAAGTATTGAATCGAGCCCCCTAGCATGGTTTTTATGTTTTCAGAGTCCGCTGTCAATAAAGTACGGCGTCCCATCAACGTAACCTCTAAGGTGAGCGGATTCTCTCTCCTTTGTCTGGCGTTGTGAAAACAGTTGTACATAAATTTTGTATTATCATCGCGGAGGGCATGCTAAGTGATGCTCCATAGAAATATAAGTCCCGCTACGAAGTCTGATCACCGTTCAAAGAAAGGGAAAGAAAAATGGTTCAAGAACATACCGGACGGGATCCAAGACTGAAACCTCGGCGCATGTCCTCAGTGGCACCGTATTATGTTCTTCTCATGGAAGCTAAGAAAGACAATGTAGGCGAAGATGGGAAAGATGATGCAAATTGCAAGCCAGTCGACTAGGGGGAGGTCGTACACGTGTGAAGTGAGCATGATTGTTCGTCTGTTCCTCCTACCTGTGGAATGTTTCTCAGTCATATGGCGAGAGCGAGGAACACATTAGCTTTATCTCACTAAGCGGCCTCTCGGACACTCATGTAAGACACTGTCTTCCTACAACTGGGAAAGGCCTAGTATTAGGCTTATTCTTTGTTAATTCGACGTTGTACGTTCAAGGTTTGATCAGGCCTCTGAAGAAAAAATGGAGATTGTGAACTGGGAGGTGGTTGGGACTACACTATTGTTCGAGGCCAAACAGCCCAAGCTATGACCGCAATCAATGCTGCGTAGACATCGATATGGGGTGTAACTAATCCAATAATGATGTGGGAAGTAACGAAAGAACAAATGGCTCAAAGTTGATCCCGCATTAGCGAGAAACACCCTGAACGAGATGAGATTCAAACTAGCGCATTTGGTTCGTTTGTACACAAGTTGCATAGATAGAACTAATGACTATGCTATTATTAGTTAGAAACTATTCTGTAAGCTATCAGCTTGCAGCATCAAAATTACATATCTTTAGTCGTGCTATCGATTGCTTCATAATGTCTAGTTCAAGAGTGACCACACTTTGCTAGACCAACACATACTGGCGTCGCCTAGACGTAGGCGGTATGGCAAAACAAAGACCGAACATGTTAGTAAGTATATGTAACCCCATCTTCATGCACACTTGCCCTACGGGGTAAAAGGCAGTGTGTTTGGTAATGATGGGGGGTTTGATCTTGGCTCGAAGATATTCCTTCAGCAGGTCGAAGATTGATAGCTTCTGTTGCTGTACACACTAAAGCCGTTTTGCGAGGTCTTGACACCGACCTCTAAATCACTTACAAATCATAGTATCCGATGAGGTTGTCGTGCATCACTCGGGCGGAACGCAGTGGTGACCCAAAGCCGACGTTTTGACTTTTTCATTGTCGCATCTCATGTGCCTGTGTGGAACCAGCATCCACCTATGAGCTCAAAGCCATCATAGAAAGTCCGAAGCCATTGACGCCGACCCGATGTCTCGTGAAGGAACTGAAATCCGCCCTCGCCGCTTGCTCGTTATCATTCGTTTATGCCGAGTCACGCTTGCCCTCCTTGACCTCCTTCTGCGCGGGTGTCAGCAATCCGTGTTCGCCGCGGTGTGAAGTATGCAGTTTGTACGCACCAGCGCCTTCATGGTGCCGTGAAGAGCATGCCTATGGTTCCTCCTGAACTTGGGGTCGGTGCCCTTGAGGGAAGGGTAACGGTGCGTCTTGGGCTTCTTGATACTGTCATGGCACTGTTAGCCGATGCTCTTCATCTCCAAGCCGCGATCCCATGTGCGAAAGGTGTTGCAAGTCGCCGTGGCGCGTTCGTGTCATCAAAGGAGTGATGCGTACCCGTTCCTGTGGTTCTTCTTCGACTGGTTGTGCTGGGACGAGTTCTTGGATTCTGCGCGACTGGATTAGTATTTCTAGCGGTTCAGTAGGTATAATAGCGACGTACTGGCCATTGCGACGGTTGTGTGTGTCGAATCGTCCGGGTGGTGTTCGTGGAGACTGATAGTCGGAGACGAGCCTGGCGAATTTGGAGGTGCGAGAGGGCTCGCTTACGAGTGGAAACCCACGCTAGCCGTTTATGGCTTGGCGCTCCAGTAGCCAATCGAGGCGCGTGCATGTCGATAGACAATGAATGCTCGATGCGTTGCTGCCATACAATAGCAAGTCAATGCAGTCAATCTTCTGCAACATCTTTGCACGTGCTTTGGAAAATCAGCGACTTGGTAGGGAGTCAATCGAGAGCATCATGCTTCACAGACAATACTTTCGAGCAGCATGGCACTCGCGTCATATGCACAACAGCAGTAAGTGCTTGAATCCGACTTTGAATCATCTAAATCGCCATTTGTGTAGGTATATTGCATTTATATTCCCATGCAAGCCCTCAAGCCTGTCAATATTGGGTAGCTTTCGTTCGCAAAGAACATCAAGTGAAGCATAGTCTAGCAGACCAGCGCATCCCAGTCCGAACGCCTGCTCATAGTAAACATGTCGAGCTGTCTTCGCTTTTCCCTAGTTCCCTTTCTGCTCAAAGTCCATTGCATCTGACTCTGCCTGTCGCTGGCGCATGTGCTCCTGGACATTTTGTTCTGTCGTCGAAGCTCGTCCAGGGCCATGGCCTGTCATCGCGCCGCGCTGAGTCGTGTCTACAATGCCTTCGTCGTAGGTCATGCCATTTATCATCCGCGGGTCTTGCTTTTGTTGCTCCGTGGAAGATGAGGATTGCATGGTTCCGGTGCTAGAGGGAACACTGACACCTGTCATTGGGCTTGCTGGTACTTGCTCTCTGAGGTAGCCAGGCACTGCGCTTGCCTTGCCTACAGCAGGGCTACCCAGCTGGCTGTGTTGTCGAGCTGGGGTCCTCGCGCCCTCGCCGAAGCCGACGAGTGAAGCAGCCTCGTCACTGAAGCCTCCAATGCTCGAGGTCTCAACGTCCTGGTCCTCGCTCATTCGGTCGGGCTCGTACACGCTGTCGCTTGCCCAGGTTGTGCGACCTCCAACGGAGCCAGTTGCGCTGGCGCTGCCAACTGTGCTACGCTCGCGGAAGATCTGGGGCTGGTTGTTGGAGTCAAAGTAGCCTGGCGGTGGGTTGTTTGCGCTGCCAGGAGCAAGGCCCATGGGGTTGCGGCCACTGACTGCGACTCTCTCGAGACCCGCCAAGCGTGAGATGCGATCGGCGCGCTCAGCATCGGCGGGGTTGCGGTGGTTTGGAAAATGTCCTCGATGTCCGTCTTTGATGGCGACAGTAGAGAGCTCTGACATGGTCGTGGTGGCCGAGTTGGGCGTGCCCCTGAATATCCGTGATCAGTCACTTCAACACTGAACCCCGCGGGGAAATGGCACTCACGGGGCTTCGTTGGGCGTGCCCGGGTCAGAGGGCGGGGGTGGCAGGTTGATCAAGGTGGGCGCATTGGTCGTCATGATGGATTGTGTGGATGTGTAGTGTAGTCGAGAGGGTGCTATGGGAACGTTGAAGGGAGCTATTCGTATTCGTGTGGTTGGGTGTTCAAGTGGTACCGGGCGCGCTGGGCTCGTCAACAAATGACGTCGTTGCACACGGCTCAAAGAATGCAAGAGCGATCACGCGCGCCAGTAATTGGGCGGCAGTCCCACATATGAGACTGCCCAAGTTCCGTATATCTCTAGGCCGGAGATACGCTTGTTCTAATTGTAGAATGCAGCCTCACATTTTCTACAATTCATCAGCGTCCGACCATTTGCTTGGCATTGACGCAGGGTCTGCCCCAGCCTTAAGCTGGTGGGGTCTTGCTCCGCTTACACTTTCGTGCCTCTCATCCGCCCACGTTTCCACATTTGCACTCCAAGACCTGCTGAACGACACAGTGCTCAGTACCAGATTAATACATCTACGGCTTTTGCGAGGTTCTCGTTTCCAACATGGATGTCGCACTTCACAGGTTTCGTCGCAATGCAAGTACATAAAGTGTAAGTCACGTGATGTCTGGATGAGTTCATTCGTGGATCCCTCAAGAAATTTATGCAAGATAGCGATGCTTATTCTATAGCTTGACATCTTGCTGCTCCAATTTGTATATCTTCATCTAGGTCGACGGCTTTCTCTATCATCAACCCCTTTTTCAGAAGTCTATTCTCTTCCTACAAACTAGTCCGCATCAATGAAACAACCTACAAGAAGTATGAGAGCGCATAAATCACCCGAAGAGCCATCACAGCCTGACTAGGATATTGTGGGCTCTCAACTACGAGAGGACTACGTTCTTGCATGTGCAGCACAGCGGTGCTGCGTATAGGTTTCGTATAGCTTCAGGCTATCATCCTTGTCATTGTTCTTCTAGGTGACAATACGCTGCAACCCTAATTCGAGAGGGGTCGCAACGATTGCGTAACTTTCTCACTGGTACCCTGATGCATTATTTTCTCACCCTTGGCAATCTATGAGTGTTGCGAAGCAACTGCCGTCCTGTATAAGCGCTGACTGCAAGTTTCGGTCCGCCTACCTGTCGCTAATGTACATATACCCACTGAACTACGCTTCGGGCGACAACAACGACCAGCTACAAGCATGCCTTGGTACAGCGGAAGGCCCGCGGGCCAGCGCCGCCAGCCCCATATTATTCAGTTTCCCCGCATACACAGTCACTTCCCAGTAAACTTTAGTGGTGAGCTGGCATGCTTGTCATTCGTTCAACAAACCTAGCTTCGCTCGCCATGGGCCAGTCTTACGTGAAACAAGAAGCTGCGCCGAGACGCCGTGCGTACATTACCCTTCGATACATCTACCGCTCGCGCCCAGGTTGAACATCGAAGTCAGATAGTCTACTTCGTCAACTATGGCTGAAGCAATCCCCAGATCGTACTCCTCAATCGAGAAGGACGAGGTGATCAATGAAACTCCTGGAACGAACATCGACCCAGAGGCTGAAAAGAAATTGTTGCGAAAATGCGATCTTCGTGTCCTACCACCTTTGTTTGTCATCTTCCTGCTCGCATTCCTCGACAGAACGAACATTGGTATGACCTTGCAAAGTAAATCGACATGGCACAACTAACAAACTTGCAGGCAATGCGAAGATCCAGGGTCTCACCAGGGATCTTCACATGGAAGGCCCGAATTCCGTGCGATACAACATCGCGTTGTTCATCTTCTTTGTACCATATGTTCTCTTTGAGGTGCCATCAAATTTGATCCTAAAGAAACTCGCGCCATCAACATGGCTGTCGCTCATCATGGTGCTTTGGGGTAAGTACAGAATGTCTTGCGACCACGCGGTTGTACTCATCACACACAGGTTTCTCTACAATAGGCATGGGACTGGTTAACACTTGGGGTGGTCTGGTTGCCATGCGCTTCATACTTGGGATCTTTGAAGCTGGCATATTCCCCGGTATGTCTGTTTATCTAAGAATTCAAGGGTGTATATTGACATCATCAGGCGGTGTATACCTCATCTCCATGTACTACAAACGCTACGAGCTCCAATGGCGTCTAACACTCTTCTTCTCCGCCAGCATTCTAGCCGGCGCATTTGGCGGCGTACGTCCCTCCCTCCACCATCTCCCGTCATCGCAACTAACACAACATAGCTTCTAGCATATGTCCTCGCCAAAATGGACGGCTTAGCAAACTACGGCGGCTGGCGTTGGATCTTTATCATCGAAGGGGCTGCCACTGTCGTCGTCGGCCTGCTAACTAAGTTCTGGCTCGTCGACTGGCCCGAGACAGCGAGTTTTCTCAACGATGCGGAAAGATCCCTTCTCCTCGCGCGTCTGAGTTCGGATACGGGGGATGCAAGTATGGATCGATTGGACAAGCGTGCTGCAAAGCGCATCGTGCGTGACCCGAAGATGTACCTTGGCTCATTGGCATATTTTGGTAAGCTCCATTCCATTCTCCCAACCGAATCTTGTGATCGCCAACTTACACAACCCCAGGCGTCGTAACATGCAGCAACTCGGGCAGCTTCTTCATCCCCACCATCATCCATGAACTGGGCTACAAAGCCTCGGACGCCCAAGTCCGCACAATCCCCATCTACATCGTCGCCTTCGTCGTCGCCCTCGCCCTCGCGTGGTTAACCGACCGACTGCAGCACAGATACTGGTTCTGCATGACCGGCGTCGTGATCGCGACGGTCGGATACATCATGCTGCTCGCGCAAAACAACCTGTCCATTGGCGTCAAGTACTTCGCGCTCTTCCTCATTATCCCCGGCCAATTCGTCACGCAACCAATTGTGCTGGTGTGGCTGTCGAATCTGATGAGCGGGCATTACAAGCGCAGTGTTAGTTCGGCAGTGCAAGTCAGTTTTGGCAACCTGGGCGGCATTATTGCGAGTAACATCTTCATTGGGCCCGAGGCGCCCAAGTATCCGACGGGATATGGGACGTGTTTGGGCATGTTGGGGATCTGTGCGGTGGCGTGTACGTCGCTGTTTTGGCTTGTTAAGAGTGAGAATAAGAAGAGGGAGAGGGGTGAGAGGGATTGGAGACTGCAAGAACCCGATGCGGATAATTTGGGAGATGATCATCCGGCTTTTAGACTGACTACGTGAGGCACACGTTACGAATTGCGCGACAAGGTTGATTGACAAGGATAAGACGTATTTATAGAAGAAGCATGTGCCATCTTTATCTTCCTCCAACTGTCGGCAGTCTGCTCTTCAGGTAGCGTCCATTGTTGTACTCTTCGACGTACTGCAGCTCTGGCCACCCGCCCCACTCCTCTACACTGTCAATCTGGCTCATGACCAGCTGTACGATATCGTCTGGCGCCCCGCTCCTGGTATGGCGTCCTCCTTCTAAGGCCCCCGTGACCGCAGCTCTCAGCGCCACAAGTGTCGTGAAGAGCCATCTCCTGCCAGAGTACTGGGCGTTGGCAAGAGCGATGACTTCGGCGTGATGCCGAGTGAGCCATGTAGAGAAAGAGTATAGACCTTCGTAGTCGCGGAGCATGCCTAGAGCGCGAACGTACGCGTGGAGGTCTGCTGGACTAGGAATGTGTGGAGGGATGGTGTTTGACTCTTCCATGTCCAAGGTGGTACCACGCTGCGTATCTCTATCGGCACCCACGAGGGTATGGAAGAGTGTACGAAGACGGCGCGAGCCCAAGCTTTGCAGGTATTTAAACTTCCCAGCGTCTGCCTTCGATGTTCTCGTAGCCCGTACCGCATAGCTGGTAATTGCACATGCACGTTGAAAACCCCTGCCATCGATGCCGAGATCTGTCTCTTCCAAGGCCTCGACGAGTCCCCAAATGGTCTCATACTGAATCATGACTTCATCGCTCCTTATAAGATGTCCATCGTCGCGTGTTCTCGTTTCGTTGTACCTACGACTGATTACATCCATATACGCAGTCCATGCAGGTCGATAAAGTGGCCGGTATAGAGAGAGTAGAACATAAGCATATCGTAGTAAGTAGTGTCGGTTACTCTTGAGCTCTGATACATGACGGTCGGGGGAGAGATTCAATATCTCGGCCGGGCCTGAAGGAGGACAGAGACCAAATCGACATAGACACCGTATAAAAGCAGCCAAGAGATAGCCTGGTAAAAGACCAGCGCAACTGTCAGGACCGTGCTGGCCTGATACTAGATGGCCGACACCACCGTTGAAGTCGTCTTTTGCAAGCTCAAGCACATGGATGCATGACTGAAACGATGGCAGTGATTCGAGAAAGAAAGCCAGTAGTCGCCCCGAAGGTCGTAAACCCTGCCTCTGCATGCGATCGGTCAGCTCCTCTATGCTGGGGATAGGCTCACTCAGATACACGTAGTGTAAAGGTGAGGTTGGATCCGGAATGACCTCCTTCATATCACCTGGTAAGAGATCATTCTCTGCCTCATTTGCCTCTTGATCTACAGTCAACATCTCATCTAGGTTAGACTGCTTCTTCCACGTGGATGAACGCTCCAGTGCAGGATAATGCAGCTTTTCGAACATGGCGAGGTAGACATACGAGCTGACAGGGGCGTTTGACAGTTCGTACGCGAGGAAACAGGCCCATGCTTCGCGCCGCGTCCTCGTTGACCGAACTCTGGCACTCCACAAGAGCTCAGTGATGTACCTTTTGCTATGCCGCGGCGAAGACAGGTGGGGTAACGATGTACGTGTCTGGATTGTTGGACTGGAGTCGGTGTCCCATCCGGCGTAAACTTCAACCATTTCTTCCCAGATGTGACCTCGGTAGCCAGCTTCGTACATCCGATGGAGAATCTTGGAGGCTCTAGACGCACCAAACGCGTATCCCTTATATTCATCCATTGCGGTTCGGTTTTCCTTCCATGGAGGCCACGAACGACCCTTCAGCTCAGCCCAATCCCTCTCTGTAGCGGTCTTTGGGTGTGCGAGCTGATTTCGAGCAACGGAACGGAACCCCAATTGTGTGACAGTGATTGCGGGTGTACAATTGGCCATGAATTGCAATACCTGGAACTGTGCCTTCTCCTGATAAATCGCACTCAGCACCGGGGCGATATTCGCAGGCAACGACAATAGGTGTAGTAGGACATTTGTGAAGCGCGTAATGTCCGAAATTTGCCGTGGTGACGCAAGATTTAGGTCGCTCTTCTGGACCATCGCACTCGCTTGAGTCACAAAGAATGTCGCAATCCAGGGTATGGTCTCTGGCCATTGTTGACGGACGTGTCGCAGTAGTCGTACCGAGAGAATCTTGAGGGCGGCCCAGGTCAGTGGTTTCGAAGAGACTCTTTCGTCCAAGTGGCGCATGATTACACCAATAGCAAACCTGTTCAAACTCCGGCGGCGCAGGAACAACAGGAGGACAAATAGGGGTGGCGTTTGGTTGCTGTGCTTGAACAGATATGTAGCTCTATGCGAATTTCGGTCTAAAAGGCATGTCGCCCAGCTCTCTACATTGGCGAGGTCGAACCCAAGTCGGTGAAGCAGATCTTTTTCGAGTTCCGTCAATGTGAACCCAAGATCTGCCCCGCAACGGTGATCCAGATAACGTGCGAGTATCGTGTAGGTCGAAATAGGTTCCGGGAGATCCAAATTTTGCTTCTCTTCGAGTGGTGCGCCTTTGTGCCTGCGTGAGCGTCTTGCCTTCCGCGCCACGTCACCTATAAAACGACCCGGCCTTTGGTACGACAAGTCACTTCTTCCAGTCTTTGGGTTTAAATACATCATCCGCGCCGAGGTTTTGATCGATTGGAGCACACGTGCAGGGCGGCTCAGGCGTCGTTTCTTCCTCTGCATACTGCCCAGGCGGTTTTGAGATTGACCCTCGTAATTCTCCTCTTGTAGCAATTGCGATACGAAACATCCATGTTCTGAGTCCTTGATTGAATCGATCTCTGGCGATAAAGAGGGACTGTGGATGTTATTGTCGGGCACTGCATTGTTGGAATTGGTTGCCGAATACGCTCGTCGAGTTTCAAGGTGTGCCTGAGTATGCGACAGGTCTTTCGAGACACTTCCTGGCGAGAAGCGCGAATACCGCTGCGAAATAGGGTGTCTGGTTGGTTCTGCCAGCCACAAGCGGACATGGTTGCTGGGCGATGCAGGCCATTTCTGTCCACAGTCAGATTTCAATCATGGACAGAAGCAATACGATGGAGCTTACTGGACGCGCGGCGCAACGCAAGAGACGGTTTGGGCTACCTGGAGCTGCCAGGAAAGAGTTTAATGGCATTCATCGACAGGGTGATCCGGAACGAGACGCAAGGCGCAGCAATGACGAGGATTTGAAGACGACAGCCAGAAAAGTCGTGATAGCTCGCGCGTAATTTACGGCAGGCGCTAGTCTATAGATTACCGCTAGCCGCCTTTGCATCGCCAGGCACAGCATCATCAAGAGACACTCTACAGTACAGTGTCAAAAGCTCAGCAGGCAACGTTCAGACAGGACCTAGTTGAAACTCGGCTGCTGCCTAGACGACTGATTCAGAAGCTCCCGTTGTTGGCAGAAGGTTGTGCGACAGCAACTGCAGGCGTTTGTCTTGGCACTCTCGCGTCGCATCGCTGAACCTTTGCCAAAAGCAACCCCGACTCCCGCAATCACAACGTCGCGACCCAACACATTCCCGCCACGACTCTGCGCGTATATTCCGGCACTCTGCGATACCCCGAAGAACCTGCTGGAGCTGCAGCGCGAATCCTTCCCTTTTCATTGGCAGCGATTGCGGTGAAGGAGAAAGACTGCAACACTGGGGCAGCTCAGAGCGCGTTCCACGCCAACGACATCACTCGCGCATCGCGAAACGACCTTCACCATCACCAACCATGGCCGCCAACGGCACCCTGACCCCGCCGTCACTTCCGCCTGCGCCCGCGTCGCCATCCGCTGCGAAGCGGAAACACGTTGCGACCAATTCAATTGTTCCAAACAGCGCGTTGGTGTCTGCGCAAGGGCAGACCACGGCCAAGAGCATGTACACACTGCAAATGGTTCTGGACGATATGCTCTCCGTACTGAAAAGGTATGTTACGACTGCGGCAATCGCCTATGGCCCCTGGCTTGTAATCGCCTGCAATGCGCGTGTGGTTTCAATCAGCCATCAGCGTGCCCCAGGACTTGTATTACGCGGTTCTACTCACAGCCTGCGCTTCCACCGACCATGTCGTGCATTACTGACATTGAACAGCTACGACACACAACCCTCGATTCTATCTCACCCAATCACCTCATCGATCACACGAAGCTCGTCCGGCGAGGCCGACTCAAAACGCTCCAAGTTGACACCGCCAAACAGTCCCACAACCATAGCTAGTCAGATGCAGGATGGCTCGTACGAGACTCTGCAAGCGCTGGAGCACGATATTGAGAACGTCACTACGGATATCCTCGCATCAAGTGGTGGGGGCGATGCGTCACACGGATCGAACTCTCTGCAGGAAACTGCGCTTC